CATTCTTCATTTTTTAAGTTTAAAGTTAGAAATTGTTTTGTAAAATGAAGAAAATTTGGAAAACACGAGGGACAAATTTCGATTTAAAGCTTTCGTGACTGCAGGGATTCATCTTCTTGGTTCTTTCGGTAAAGTCACGTAGAAGGGAAGTAATAAAATAATAAAATAAAAATAAAACATAATAAAACAATTATGTTTTATTTTTATTATTTTATTACTTCCCTTCTACGTGACTTTACCGAAAGAACCAAGAAGACGAGGGACAAAGTTAGTATTTAATAATAATAATTAAAATGTATAATACGCATTTCATCCTAGGATCCCAAAGCACAATGTGTGAAAGGCAGGTAACAAAACAGAACCAGGGCAACCGACTAAAGAGGGAAGGCCACTTTATAGAGATGGGTTGTCAAAGCAGACTTAAATATCTACTGACTCTGATTTCCTGATTTCAAGTGGCAAGGCGTTCCATAGCTTGGGTGCCACGCTACCAAAAGCCCGATGACCAAAACAGCACAACCTCGACCTGGGAGTGCTGAGTATCTTACAATCCACTCGGAATTTGACCAGTAGCCAATGAAGAGATAAAGGGGGACCGGTCCAATGTGCTCACGGAATGGTGGACATGGTGTCGGCACTCCCAGCTGCATTCTGAACAAGCTGGAGTCTCCCCCAGTGCTCGGAATCCCAAACAGCGAGGCGTTGCAGTAGTCGAGTCGGAATAACACAAAAGCATGGACCAGTCTCTCTTATTTCCCTTCTACGTGACTTTACCGAAAGAACCAAGAAGATGAATCCCTGCAGTCACGAAAGCTTTAAATCGAAATTCAGTCTCTCCAAGTCGGCAGGTGACAGGAAGCGATGCATTCTGGCAATATTTCTTAGGTGGAAATTTTTTTATTTTAGCCACGTTAGATATGTGCCTCAAAGGATAATGACTGGTTAAACTGAACACCGAGGTTTCTAACCTCCCGTGTGGGACTGACATTGTGACCATCAACTAACGAGACGAACCAATTTTAGAAAGATGCAGAGGGGAGCCGATGAATATGGCTTTGGTCTTGTCAGCATTTAGAAGTATGAAGTTTCGGTGCAACCATGATTTCACGACTGTCAGTGATGCAGATGCTGTTGAATAGTCTGGTCCTAACCGGTAGGATCAAGATGTTGGAGTATAATACCCAATGGTGCCATGTAGATGCTAAAAAGTGATGGGCCAAGCACAGATCACTGCGGAACACTCCGGAGAACCGGTCTAATTGGTGACTTAAAGCCAACCTTTGTGACGAAGTACCTACAATCCTTTAAGTAAAAGTGGAACCCACAAAGCAATGCCAGAGAATCCCCATTGAAACTTCTAGTCGCTTGAGGAGGACTTAAAACTGTGGATTTTCACAGATAATTTCCAGTAAATCATGAACGAGCAGCCAAACTACAGTGTAGCCACCAGGGTTTCTCCTAATTTAGAAAGTGTTCCTCATCTTAGAATTGATTATAGCAGCACCACGGACGAGCTGTGAGTAATGCTTTGGTGGGAATAGCCAAGAGGCAATCAAAGACTCCTCCTTTAACCAGAGCTGGTGAGCATAGCATTAATGGCTTGAGAGTGTATGTGCTGTTATAGACAGACGGCTGATAGTTCAAGGACGCCTCTGAACAGGTTGCACTGCATTTTCTGTACTTGCATTCCACCATGCAGTGAGCAATATCCACACATTCTTTGGGTCTTTCGGTAAAGTCACGCAGATAGGTTCAATAGTTAAGTGGAAACCCTCCCCATAGAGGCAGTTTTAATCTTGACTTCAAGCTTCCGTGACTGCAGGAATTAATATTTTTGGGTCTTTCTGTGAAGTCAGTCAATAGATTGGCCCAACGGAAGCTTTAAGTCCAGATTTAACCGCCTCTACGGGGAGGGCTTTCACTTTACTATTGAACTTATCTACGTGACTTTACCGAAAGACCCAAAGAATATGAATTCCTGCAGGTCACGAAAGTTTTAATGTCAAGAAATAGCCACACATGCTCTGTGGTGCTGACAGCATTGATGAGGGTTGCGTAATTGCTATTTCTTGCTAGTCATGTAACCTCACTAAATAGGTGGACTTGTCTGCGGTAACCAGAGCTTGCACAACAGCAATGTGGCTCTGCTTTGAGTAGTGGCCTCAACACAAAGACAGACATATCCTGTGTGTGTGTATGTATGTGTCTTTGTGTAGGGATTGCAGTGGCACAGTGGTTAGTCTTCGCCAAAATGTGCCACGGCTAACACCATTTTCAAATATTATATCAGAACTTGTCATGGGCCTTCTTTTATTGACTCTGCCTTGAATGAGTACCTGGGGCAGTGTGTATATATTTTTCATTGGAGAAACTAAAGCAGCCAGGCATGCTGCTGGCCACACCCCACCCCGTGTTGTGCTTGCCTTGGTAGGTGCTCTCTCACAGCCCTTGTCCCAGGAGTCTGCAAGGCTAAATGGGGAACGTTTGTGTGTGTGTGTGCAGAAAACAGTTCGGCCTGTACCCGTTCCAGATCCACAGCATTGCTCTGTCAACCTTCGCTTCGCTCATGGGACCATTTGGAGGGGTTCTTTGCAAGTGGATTCAAGCGTGCCTTTAAAATTAAGGTGTGGATACTTTAGCATTGTCTCAATTATGCATTAAGTGCTCTCCTTGCCTCATTGATTGGTATGAATTTGCTTAATGTGCTCACACACTAACATTGGTATATTGCATTTCTCATCATTATCGCTAATATACATGGACAGCCCTTTTTCAGTCCACTGCTGGTTGAGGTCATGTCCATGCCGTGCGGGTGGTGGAGGTTATATGACCACATTTCACCATGCTAGTTTGTGTGGGTTGGAGAAGCTTGAGAGCGTAGAGATGGGTGCCACTGGAGCGAGATGTTAACTCCTTTGCCTGGTATGCAGGAGGAAGTGGGTTCGATCCCTACACTGACACCTGTATATTTGGAGTTTGCATGTTCTCCCCGTGGTTGCGTGGATTTTTATAAGGCAACACTTGGTTGAGCGATCATTTGTGGCCAGGTCTCTTCTGAAAAAGAGCTTATATAGTTCAGTGGGCCTTACCTGGTGAAATTAAAAAAAAGTTTAATTATAATAGTTTTTTATAGTTTAAGAACAGTAAAACAATTTGTTTTGTTCCACTGCTCTCTGCTGTCCTGCATGTAGCCGGCAGTCAGGTAAATCTGGCATGTACTGCACATACGTTCAACAAACTTTAATTTATTTGATAGTTAAGCATAATTGTGTGCAGAGTTAAAAAATTGTGCTCAACTCAAAGCTACTGAAAACATATTTTCGAATTGGCTCGTGTGCAGGAGGTAGATTCTTGTATCATGAAACCTTGAGGAATGGGAGCAAACTGGGGAGAGCTTCATCCAGCAGTGGACGGATCATGGCTGATGATGAACCCAGACAGTAAATTACTCTCATGTGTGTTTGCACCCTTGCAATGCACATTAATGTTGTTGTGCCATGCTTCACCACTTCTGTCACAGGATTTTGCCGACACCATTCCTGGCCACGGAGGGATCATGGATCGATTCGACTGTCAATATCTCATGGCCACGTTTGTGCACGTGTACATGGCCAGCTTCATAAAGTAAGGAATTTAAACGCAGTTTTTTTTCAATTTCACGCAAATACACCCTAATACTTATTGTAATGAGCTGCAGGCTTTTACTGAAGGGATTTCTGTTAAAAGCTTGAACATAAGAGATTATGTAATCTCTGAGTCAGTATTTTATCTCGAGTCCTTGCAAGCCCACCTTCAGCCCAGTGGTCCGCTTGATATACACAATCCGTTTATTTGCACAATGTGGTAATGTGATTCCTCGGTTTTCCGTGGGGTGTATAAAGAAGATAAAAGTGGGGCGGTAATTCACACTCCTGCCAGTCGACTACACAAATATACAAATATGGTTTTGTCGTAGGATGGTACAGGAAATGCATTGAAGGCTGCAGTGTAAACACATGCTTATGTTACGTTTTAAAAAATCTCTTCAATTAAAATGTGTTTTGCGTTTTGAGTGAAATTTGACAACTGTATTATAACACTACCCTGTGACCACGTCTGACTCTTGTTGTCTGTCTTCTTATTGAGTTTTCTATCTTGAGGCAGCTTCTTAGTTCAAGTTACCTCCAATGTGTTGAATTCTGCACTCTCCTCTTCATTTTTGCATATAGCCCCCCTATCTTTCTTTTTCTTGGTCTTGCCCCCCCCCCCCCCCCCCCATCTTCCATTTTGAGTTTCAATCAGCGAGTCTTTTCTCTCTGACAATTTGCCCGATCCAGATCTTTTGTCATCTCTAAATTGTTCCAATTCGACTTTGCCTGAGCCTGCTCCTCTTTCTGTCCAACTGATTTCTCCAATTTAACGCCAAACCGAAATCTCATAACTTCCCAGCTTTGTAACTTCTTCCTTTCTCAGCATTCGTATCGCTGCCAAATATAACACACCAGGCTTTAGACTAGCGTCTTCACTCTCTTCCAGTTACCTACGCGGCCATTTTATCGGCAGCTGAAAGCGTTTTTTTCAAGGGAAATTGTAACTTTGATCTCCTTTAAGCATCATCTGTTTTCAGGAAAAAATATGGCTCACATACCTAAACTATCTCCTCTGTTTTAGTTGCTTATATCCATGGTGATATTTAACCTGCATCCATCAATTGTGTCTTTGACAGAGGGCCAAATCCAGCCAAACTTCTGCAGCAGCTGCTGGTGCTTAGGCCAGACCAGCAGATTCAGATTTTTAAAGCGCTCCGTGACAGTCTGATGGGAAAGGGACTCATCCAGAAGGAAGACGACTTCGTGGGCATTATCCAACCCAAGCTCTCCTAGGTGGCCTACCTACGCACCAGGATCCGTACGCACACGCTCATATTTAAAGGGACATCGCAGGCCGCCTGTATTTATTAAGATCAAAAGTCATGCTCGGGAATCACTTCATCGTTTTCTTGGCAATGCGACATAGCGTGATGTATTTGCTCTGTACTTTTAAGTTGTTCTCGCGTTGCGAAATTTAAGTGGGGATTTCCCTTCGCTGTCAGATTCGCAGGCCTCCACAGTGACCACAGTAACTTAACCTACCAGCTTGTTCAAGCAGCGTTTTATAGCTTGGGGATGTGATGATTGGTCAGCCGATGCCAGTAGTGCAATTGCAAAGTGCAGCATTTATCTTGCATTATCATTCTGTGCTTCTCTGGTTTTGGCCAATTCCGATGGAGCAATGGTTATATTGGAGCCTATTTGCAGCAGTATCCTTCACTCAAGCTCATAAACATTTATTGAAAACAACTCTCTTTTGCTGTTTTTACACGAAGGCTTTGCGCATTGAACTATGCTGCAGCAAATTTCAATTTAAAGCTTTCGTGACTGCAGGGATTCATATTCTTGGTTCTTTCGGTGAAGTCACGTAGAAAGAAGCAAGAATATGCTGTAGCATTTACAAGGAATTAATTTGTTGCCTACGTGATAACATTCCCTTACTCTCGGAAGTATAAAGTTAAAATGTTTCCCGTAATATGCAACACAGAATTATTTTGTCATTGACATGCGCACTGTTTTTTCAACTGGAAAAAAGGCAAAAAGCATTTTGGAAAGCAAGGGGGGGGGGGGTTCAGGCTTGCGTACAAAGATGCATCTTGGTTACTGGTCACAGGTAGTCGATGATGCCTGATTAATATAAAGTATCAATATTTAACACGCTGTCCAATTTTACGAGCAAACCTCTTCCCCCCCCCCCCCCGTATAAGAACGATAATACAGCACTTATGATTATTTTGAACTCAATATGTGCAAAATGTCTGGGAAGTGCAATTGTTTATCTTTGCTGCCCCCCCCCCCCCTCCCCATAGCGGCTTGTTCCCTGTGTGATAACGCAATGTAACTCGAGCATCAATCTGCCAGTTGGGGATAGGTGATTGCTACGTTTGTAATTCCAGTCGAGGTAATTACGTTATGTTTTGAATTTTACAAAATGTAGACTGACGGTTGGTGCTCAATGTAGCCCCTTCTTTTGATACATTACCACGCGTGAACGTCCGAATAATGTAATGCGCCCTGATTGAGAATGGCGCAGTCTTATGCGAAATAATAATTCGAAAATTTTATATCTCGCGGAAATAAAAAAACAATCGATGCCAGAGCCGAATTGCAAAATGCTCCATGTAGCGTGCATTCGAAGGCTTATGCGTGCGTAATTTAAGCATGTGCAGTTGATTTGGACCGTACTGAAGCAGTCTCTAATGAGGTATAATTAGACTTACAGTATATCTGTGTAGCATTGTGATGATAATCATTGACATTTCTAATTAGTGATCAGGGCTTTGCAATTTGAGTAGAGTATATTGCCCGTAGATGTAAAGCTCTTCCCCCCCCCTCACTGCAAACCTTTCGTATCCTGCTGTGTACACGGTAACAATTTACCCCCAATAAGCATATTATCCTAGAAGTAGCCTGTGATTGTAACGTGTACACTCGCATGCACGGTACAGCAAGATATCAAACATATGGCTTGCACTTCTCAAATGAAGTGTTTACAGTAACTTCTCATTCTATTAAACGAATTCTCTGTAAGGCCGACGTCTTTACAAAAATAAGAAAATATTATGTTCTCTGAGAAAGCATTGTGTGGTCATGTGGTGGTGAGAGATGACGTTTGTCATCGGAGTGGTGAAATGAAACGGGGTTTTGTATAGCTGCCTCTCTTCAAAATTCTTCCAACTTAAAACACGTTCACGTCACGTGACACCGAGTTTGAAAAGGCAGCTTTTACGCCTGGGAACAGGGTCTCTTGTAAGTAAAGCTCCAGCCCCCTCTGACCCTTGCGCTTACAAACTGAATGTGTCTGGATTCAAGTACTCGTCAGTGTAAGGAACTGCAAGTGTAGATTGCTTCGTCGTGGAGGGGTGTCCTGAGACATGGAAGCTCTCCAGCCAAGTTAACTAGATGGTCCGTGTTCCCGCGTGCCACTAATTAGCTCCATTTCACACGATAATTGGTGGATGGTTGGCAGTGTTATCCTGATTGTCTCCTGCATATTCACAACTGAAAACCAGTTTGCCTAGTTCGTTATATTGGTGCATGGCATGCCGGTGTTTACTGTGTTGAGTGTTCAGAAGTTAAAGCCGTGGGGCCAACCAACATTAATGCTCACACGTATAACTGCTAAATCTGATGTAGTGGGTTTTTTTCTTACTTTATACAGATTGTTATTTTTTATTGAGGGGTATGCACAATGTGAATAACATGGCACTGTTTTATAGATTTTTCTTAAATTTATTGTAATCTTATTACTTTAATCATTGTTTTACTGTATTGTCTGATATAGTTTTATATATATAATTTCACTGTGCAATGAATGTATCCTTGGTTTAGGGTGCAAGATGTTACCAAAACGGGATATAACATGGCCACACATAACATTTGGTAGAGGCGTTTACCTTTCAACTTTAAAGTGTGCATTTGCAACCAAATCATTACAAATTATCTTCACAAAACAATGTTATTTGAGGCATATGTAAGTGTTGTTCCATTCTTTGGACGTTACAGACTCGAATATATTTTCAGATAAAAGTTTGGTGGTGATGCTACACATTAGAATACATTTTCAGTTGATGTCTCAAACGTTGCTCTTTGATTTTGTATAAACCTTGCTACTTGCTTCATTTGCTTATTTTCCCCATTTACCGTGTTCTGTTTAGCTCTTTGCCAGATTTTATATTTCCTTCTGCAGTAAAGCCGTGTGAAGAGGTCTATAGCGAGTAAATGGCTGTGACTCGGTTGTGAATGTAACTGCTGAAAAAAACTATTTGAAATGCTAAATGCCGCAGCTGTTTTAATCCTCATTTTCCAATTTTTTTATTTCTAATTTTGACTGCAAAGGTATATTTGATGCCAGCTGAACAAAATTAAACACCATCCACTATAGTGTTGAACCAAAAAAAATAATTTTCCTAGCATTTAAATGATGCTCCTAAATTAAGCTAAGGTAAATTAATATTTTACACCAGTTTATTTATGTTGTAAATGAAAATAAAAAATATATATATTAAATATATAGGTCTTATCTTACTCCTTAGCTTGAAAGTACTTTGTGTGTATATATACGCTGTGTCTTATATGTTGGAAGGCAATTCAGGTGTTAAAAGTGAGTTGTATCTGATTTAAAATGTTTTCCATCAGCAGTTACTCATTGCGAATAAATCACTCCACAGCTTGTGCTCTTGAGGTTTCACCACATTAGAGCCCGTTTTCTCAGCCGAAAAATATCACAGTGAGTTCTCACAATTGATATTACACTTGTCAAAAGGGTTTTCACGTAACTGAACACCCACTAGACTTCTTGGATGTCTTGCAACAACTTATTTTCGCTTCGTGTGCTTTTCAATTTAATGTTTGACTGAAACCGGCCTCTTCATCTGTCCTACCATCGTGAGCCTGATGTGAAACCCAAGCTGAGATATACCATAGGTAGCACTAGGAAGACCTCTTCACCACAAAGTACTGTAAATCTGATGGTGAAGGTGTTTATTGTTCTTGTCAGTTATTACGGGTAAGTATTTCCATCGCATTTTAAGGGAATTGTCAAGTTTTGGACTCAAGAAAAAATTGACTTAAGAACGGTGGACTTAGGTCCATACATTTAAAATTTTATTTCGGCTAAAAGCGTTTGCGTGCAGTTTTGTTGATATTCCTGCTTAACTGTATACACGACATGAGGTATATAAAATAGTAACATTGCAAATTACAGTAGACTGCTATATTTTGTGATTGGGCCTCTTATTAGGTATGTTCATGTTAGAGTTCTGTTTCTCTTGATGCTTTGTCACTGCTATAGAGTTCAGAGACGTTCACACGACGCATATAATACCTGATGAATGAGGCCACTGTGGAAACCACGTGGAATGTGGGTTGGTACACAAGACCAAAAAAACCCAGGTCTGTGCCATTCAATATTCCATATCTGGTTTTCACAGCAGCCTGTAAATGAGAATATTTAGATAAACCCCTTTCCTAGCTGATCCATGAGAACATAGTTCATGTAATGCATTAGTGATTGTTTTCTAAACAGACTGGTTAAAGAGTGTTCCTGGTTAATGCCGTTGTGTGGGTCCCTCGACTAAACAGATGTAATCCAGTACAGTATTCATCATAACATCTGGGTTAAATACAGCACATGTTGGAATATAACATTACTTTGTGTATAGTAATATATCATTGTGTGTGGGTGTTACAAAGGTGCAAGATGTGAATGTACCAATAAAGATTACTAGAATAATTAATTGCTGATGTGTTTTTTTTAAGCGCAACACTTCTTCACGCTTGACCTTGCTGGATGGAAAAGCAACATAAATAATAACTTTGCGTAAATCGTCACAACACGCGTCACCAACGGGAGTGGACAATAGGGAATATTTAAAAACACGTTTATTTTTTATATTGCTTTACCTGTCTAACCTGTACAAGTTTTGCTATGAAACACATAGCAGTGCTGCAAGTTTACGCGCGTCCACCCTTTTTGCTCAACCTTGACAATCGGCGGTGAATTGTTCTAGTTCCGCAAATGCCAGTTTTTTTTTTTGCTGCTGCTGCAAACATAAAAGTCACCACAACCCAAGCCTTCTGTCACCCAACGGCTGTTAAAGCACCCACCGCGCTCCTGCATTTAATTCATCGGCAAATGTTTAATTACAAACAGGGTTATATGCCTGCTGAAAATGAAGGCTTACATTCAGGCGAGGGTTTTTTTTGGGGGGAGCTTCACACGCACATCTGTAACCACTGGCATAACAGGCGGATCGGCAAACAATCTGGAACCACGCAACACATTGACAACCATCACTACTCGCGTACATGTTGGACGAGACGATCGTAATTACTTTTCGGGTTCGTGTTTCATAGCGGCCAGAAGTGTGCGCATATACATTATATGGTAATCACAACGATAGCGGTGTTAAATGTCATACGAGGATATTTTACAGGTAAAACTTTCACAACCCCCAATGTCTGTGCCATTCCACAATTATCTCTGTTTTTTTTCCCCGCTCCCAGAGAGCACACGGCCTAATCTTCATAGCTGGTACTACAAATGGCTGTGAATGATTAACTATTCGTTTTTAATTAATGTAATTGTTGGGCAATTAAAGTTCACTTGAACTTGAAGTCTCAATTCAAAGTCCGAATATTTTGATATCGGTTAATCAGGCCTTGACCCACAAACTCCACGTTGCCAAAAATAATGGTAAGTGTACTTCAGACAGGGAAGAAAACCCAACCACACATGCAATTAACAGGATGCCCATATGCAACAACAAACCTTAGGCACTTAACAGTAATACAAGATATGTTAAAGCATTGCTTTAAAAAAAATAGACAACATTTAAGTTTTGCAGTGCAATCTTACGTAAAAGTAATTTAAATTTAACTCTCAAGGTCCATGAAATAAAATTCCACAAAGGCAGGTGCTGGCTTTTAATTCATGTCAAAGCACCATGTCTTACGCCACAACAGGGCTGTGAGATTCGTGGCAAGGAAAGCTGGGTTAAGAAACAGTTTGTACGGTACGGTAATTTACAAAACCATAATCAAAACACTGCTATGTCTTTTGCCTAGCGAGGAAATACTGAAAGACATCGGCCAAAAACAATGGAATAAACCCAACAATACAGAAGAAAAAAATGTTGGGTAAAAATATCAGTGGTTTCTCATTTTGGAAAACTTATCCGACACTCCATACACCGTATGGAGAGATATAATATGTAATATTAAAAATAAGTTATTGCACACTAAATTGTTCATGCTCCAGCTAACCAGCAACTTTGATTTGATTTACAACAATGAATGGGAGGTTGAATTTGAGCCGAGGTTGTGTAGGAAACACGCAGAGCGATGTCGTCTCGTTTTAAATTTGCCCGACAGCTTTAAGAATTAATTTTGCCAGAGAAACGACGACTCGGCTCAACACAATCGCAGCTGGGGGGGGGGGGTGATATGCACGCATGTGTATAGCGAATTGCGGTACAATAACTACAGCAAAAAAATAAATTTATAAACATGAAGTACAAAAAAAGCACAATATAACTTAAAACATAAAATGTTATGTTAAAAAAGTATTTATAAAAAATAAAGTACGGTATAGGAAATGTGTGCATAATGAGGGGGGGTTTTTTCCCCACTTGATATTTTTTGCATGATTGAGCGATGGAACAAATTAAATGGTCCCTTAAAACCGAACTGGAATGGATATGAATGCAAGTTTAAAAATGCGTAGACAGAGCCGTGTAAATTGATGACTATGGTTAAACGCAAACTATAGCCACATTTTAAAAAGGTAATTTAGACTTGAACCGATAAGTGAAAAAAACCGACTAGTCTGTTGAACACGTAGGCTTTCGCGACCGAATAATCCATGAGGTGTCTGGGTTAGATCACGGAGATCTAAATGTGTCATTAAACCCACCATCGACATTGTGGGTTTATTCTCCAACACACCGGTGTGCTGAACTCAACTGATGGTCATGCTTTGTTTACATGACAAACCTTACTAATTGGCTGTGTCAGGTGGTGGCGGGGTTAACAACACATTTATATCTACGCGATCTAACCCAAAAAAACCTATATTATGAATGATTGCTAGTCTGCCCACTTCACATTATGCTTGGAAATCAAGCAATGGTAGAGGAAATTAATACATCTGCCACTGAAGCAATCAGCCACTCAATTCCATAGATCTGACATAGGAGTGTTGATGGTTATGAAGGTGACTTTGCCATGAAACTGTAAAAAAAATGCTTCAAGGAAATTGCACCAATGAAGTGTACATGTCAAATTCAAACTACACTGTTGATTGAGGCTATATTACTTTGGGATATTTTAAAAACACATTCTATAACACGACTATATGAAAATCTTTCCATGCTGTTATAAATGGATAATTTAGTATCACATTCAAGGTCAAATTGCTCCAAAATAACAAAACCGTTTGATACATGATTATATTAATACCACAACATAAGGATGTATTTCTCAATCATGGAAATATTGTTTTATGGACCATCCATTTCATATGAATGATCCAGTTTGAATGTGGCTGCTTCCTTCTACCTCACCGCCACGTGGCCCAATACTTTGGGCTCCACATCTCTGAACAGCTCCTCCCTCCCCCCCACATCACGCGATTTGTATCTGCGTAAAATCACGTAATCTATGAACCATGGAGCTGTGGCAAGTGAAACATCAACCTTGAACCTTTCAGTAAGAAAGAAAAGGGCCATAAACTTCTAAACCAACTTTGAAACCGAAGCGTCCATTTACTCGGTGCCTTCTTAAGAGTAGGAATGTAGCCAAATTAAAGTCACATCAATTTTGTAGACCAAATACAGCATATTACGAATTGATTTCATGTTACACGGGTATAACGGTGGTCTCATAAAGCCCACGCATTCACGAAACAATTCGTTTTTAGGAACAGAACTTTGTTTACATTTTGTTCAAGAATGTATACACTTTTTTGTTCAGTGTGCAATTGTAATAACGCTAATTTGGAAATTGCAGTCTTCACTGGTTCACAAGGCGACCATCTGCAACAAAAGCAGCATTGGCTGACATCTGTATTAGGGTAAATATAACCGCTAACACAGGCTCACAGAGCACTGGCTTAAAATGATCGCACATGTGGTGACTTTTCTTAGCCACAGCTTAATAAGATCACAAGCATCGCATTGGTCCGAAGCACAGCCGTGACGATGCCCCTGCTCACAATCAACCGGCCTCCTTCGGAGAATTCACCACAGTGCGGCAAAGCTTGTTGTCGTAGGTTAACCGGCCTCAGATCGTCACACCTACGGTATGCGGATACTTGTGCTTCACTGTGCATGGCACAGACGGGATGGGCATTGAGCTCGAGTGAAACGGAGAGAGACGACAGCTCGCCAACGAGGAAGCCGGTGAGAAGCAAGTTGCTCTGGCACGAGATCGGGGGCGCAGCTTCACAAGCACGGTACTCGCGGAACCACGGAAGGTCGGCCAAGAACGCGGGACTCTGACACAACAGTGGCGATATCTACAATACCGACAATGAGCATCGATAAAGCCATTTCAAAGTAGCAACGTTAACTTCTGAAAGGTGCCCTTGTTTTGCAACCGGATAGTTGCGATTACTCCCGCGCACTGGAATGCAAAGGAATCGCTGTCTTTCCCTTCAAAGTGATGGATATATGTAAATGATCAGTGAACCGCAAGACTGCGCGTAGCTTCGATGACAAGTCCATCATAGGAACACAGTGAACCAACGTACTCGCTCAAACACAGCACAGCGAAACAGGGCACGTGATAAAGTGGAGAAGTGCATCGTTATATTATTATGTTTTTCTTTCAAATTAGTCTTTAGTATACAAAAAACTGGCAAAACATGTTTACGTGTAATTACAAAGACCTGTTATAGTTTCTGTGATATCTACAAGGTGGCTAAGTAGGTGACATAACAGTTGGATTGCGGCCGCAAAACTGATCATTTACGATACAAAGTTCATCTTCGTTCCCCGCATCGCATCCCCACGCACCAGTCCACAACTTCGTACATTTTTGGTCGTCATCAGGAACATTCTGGCGGTGGCTTTTTCCACGCTTTCCCCAAAAACAACATCCAAAAAAATGGAAGCTGTGTGTGAATGATGAAAAGAAAGAGAAGGATGCGATGTCGATCACCCTCAAGTGCCATTTGGAGAAATCAATCGGAAGCCGCTAAACTTTTCTCCCACCACACCACGTTCCCTCTGGGGGGAGGGGGAACTTCCGTCATTTTCCATCCTAGCCATGGCCTGACAGCTCCCTGGTTGAGCAGCTGTAAACACGGCCTCGCGAGTCTCCCACCAGGATGCGACTGTGGTCCCTGTGCAAACAACGAGAAGGAATGTTTCACTATGAGACATCTCCTTTACCAGTGGCAAAATATAGTAATAGGTTTTGCCCTTTCAACTGGTACAAAAACTGACACCTTTATACAAGGGATCATGTTTGCAATAACCACAACACAAGCAGTCAAAATGCAAACAAAAAGAAACAACTCTGATAATGATATGCACTGTCATCTGGTCCAACACCAATGGAGACTAGGCTCTAAGAAAAGCTGTCTCGGGTGTGGACCAATCAACTTCAAGGACAGTGCATATCATTATCGGAGTTGTTTCTTTTTGTTTGCATTTTGACTGCTTGTGTTGTGGTTATTGCAAACATGATCCCTTGTATAAAGGTGTCAGTTTTTGTACCAGTTGAAAGGGTAAAAACCTATTACTATTACTAAGGAATGTTTCATTGAAGGATGTGACGGCATCACGCAAATTGGCATCATGTGTCAAAAGACAAAGTATCCATTTGGAACGCTCTTAGAAGAGTGCACCGCCCCACGTGTTAGATAATGGCTGGCAGTAACAGATATTATGATGACCACTTATGCGGCTGCTGCACTTTGCACACGCGCCTTGCCCGCAGGAAAATGTTTTTGAACTGTCCCGTTAATCAAGTAATTGGTGACCAGCAACTCATTTAAGAACCTGGTATAACCATGGGTGGCTGAAACCCGGATTCGAACCCAGGATCTTTGCCGCGACGTCCCGGTGTTTTAACCCCTGAGTCACACGGCCATCTCTAAACGTTATATATGTTTAAAACTTTATTGTCGAAATATGGCAATGAACGATTATTGCTCTAATTCTAGATTTGAAGCTTTCGTGACTGCAAGGATTCATATTCTTGGGTTTTTTCGGTAAAGTCACGTAGGTAAAAAATGAAAATAAAATAAAGATTATTGCTCTACATGATTTGAGACAATTGCAGACAGATTGATAGGTTTTAATTCAGTTTATAACACAAAGACTGACTCGCGACACGGGTGATGTAAGGGAATGGAGCGCCATGGTGGCGAGATGTTAACTATCTTGCCTGGTATACAGGAGATCTTGGGTTTGATCCCGACCCTGATGCCTGTATATTTGGAGTTTGCATGTTATCCCCGTGGTTACGTGGATTTTTCTCCGGGTCCTCCAGCTTTTCCCTCCACATTTAGAATCAACATCACGCATTTAGAGTATTTGGCTGCTATACATTTCCACACGATAAGCCACTTTGTTGAGCCATCATTTGTGGCCAGGCCGCTTCTTAAAAAGAGCTGTGTATCACTCTCCAGGCCTTACCTGGTGAAATAAAAATAGTCGTATTTTATTTTATACCTACGTGACTTTACCGAAAGAACCAAAGAGTATGGATCCCTGCAGTCACGAAAGCTTCAAATCAAGAGTAGTAGTAGTGTTGCTGTTATTTGAGAGCCGAGGTGTAAGGTGAAACCAGGGGCAACGCGTATGCACGTGCTCAGTGCATGGCCACAGGATACGGGAGTAGGCAACAGTAAATCATGCGTGCACATGCACGGCAGCAGAGGGCGTGTGGACCAACATTGATTTTTTTCCGCATCAATATTTGCGACTTAGCAATGCGACACCAGCCCGTTTTTCTTTTTCAAAACAGTAAATCTGCTTACACGGAATTCTCGTATGAAACAAGACGACATACTTTTCTTATATAACTGATTGTATTAAGTCAAGATTAGCGGTTCGTGGTAGGAATTCGATTTAGGGGTCACAGTTTAGGGGTTAAGGATTAGGAGTTAGAATAGGGGTTAGGGTTGGGGTTAGGGATAGAGGTTAGGATGATGGTTAGGCATCATGCATGCGGTTAAGGGTAGAGGTCAGGGGTTTAGAATTAGTAAACCAAAGCACGTATTTTTCAGTGTGGGGCAAGTGCAATGGAGGGTTTACCTGGACACACACAGTGCCGTGATCTCGGCTCCTTCGCGGCCGCCTATGAAGTTTCCAGCGCCTCCAGGCATACTCAGCTTCCCACAGAGCACCAACTTCCTCTCCCAGCGCCAGCCTACGCGCACGCACGCACGCACAAACACGTACGTGGTATGCGCAGAGAAACATGGTTACACACGTCGCCTGGAGCAAGGTCAAACGAAAATGAGACCTCGTTGCGAATACGTGGAAATAGAGCCGTGAACGTATAAAGAATTTACTGACAAAAATAACAACACTGCTTTTAATGTTATCATGAATAAAGATATTGTATTTTATTATATATATACAGACACAGTCCTGTTGAAGATAAATATTCCCGAACAAGGAAATAGTCAAATATCCAAATGTAGGACCCCTCCTGCTGAAATATATTGAGAAATTCTGTTCGTCTAACCTAGGCAAAGATATTACTACTAATAAATAAAACCACCCACAAAATAGTCTTGAGACTGAGCGAGCCTTCCTGGATACATACATTAAATTCTTCTTCTTATTATTATAGACCAACACAACAAACAACATGTTCACATTTCGATGCCTTTCCGTTAAAGATATCCAGGTAACTGTGTACATCTCGGTTACTCTACCCGGCTTCAGTTGTCTGGGACTGGAGGTGTCCTGTGCGTCGTGGTGATGGTGGTGGCTGCCGCTGCCACCGTTGCTTTGGCCGTGGCTCAAGAGCCGCTCCTTCGCCTGTTCCGACGACTCGGAGTCAGAGTAGCTGACGATGACGAAGCCATCTCCGTCATCCGAGCTCAGACGATTGTTTGCCATCCTTGGCAGCGGATCCGATTCGGAACACACCTGGGGCCTGGTAAAATAATTCTATTTTCAATCGGTTGTCAAACGTTTGTGCGAACACAAATCGCGGACGGGGTAGACAGAGTTGCCTGGGGACAGTTTTTTTTTTTTTTCCCGGTTGAGCTTCCCGTGGTGTGGAAGGCCAGAGTGGATTCTTGGCTGTGTCAAACACAGAATGACGGATGACCAATCCCCAAGGCATGCGCACGTGGTGAGAACTGGATCCGTTAAACTGAACGAAAACAGGACAGGCTCAATGCAAATATTTACGATGCTGGAAGGTGCAGACGCAAGGTTGTTACAATGATGGACCCATCCAGCTGTCGATATTTCAACCCTCACACGAATAACATTATATTCAACATCAATTAGATTTAATTTGTATTTTTCATAATTTAATTCCAATTGTACTATCGTTGTCACGTCTTGAGATATATTTTCCATTTGGAACTCGCGCACAGCAGTGTATGAATCTGTGTGCCAGAGAACAACCCAAAGGCGGCGATAATGCAGAATTAATATTCCTTCAAGTTACCTTTTTATCCATGCACTATGGGGTGCCATTTGCACACACCCTGCTACGAATAACTGTTTGTTACTTTGTAGTTGAATCATTATTTAAAGTTCTCATAGCTGGAGTGTCTTGCCAACGTTAGGTGACGAAACAAATTGACTGGAATAGCTTATTTTCTTTCTCGGAGAGTAATCGGCAATTGGGCCGAGACGTTCAACTGACTGAACTTGAAAACCCAGCTCAATGATGGACGGCTGCCTGGGATAAAACCCAGGATCTCGATAGTGCCGGCTCAATGGTGACCACTGAGAGACACCCAGCCACGTCCGCAGCAGTTGTTAAACTAGAAAATGGACTTTGACACAAATTACGTTTTAACCATTAAACATCAAGCTATTGTACCTGGTCGGTCCATTCGGGGTCATGCGCTTAGGGTCATTCTGATCTGTGCAGAGGTTGGCATGGGGTTCGTCCAATTCCGAGTCGCTGCTCTCTTCCTCCTCCTCGTCCTCGCCCTCTTCTTGATGGGACACATTTTGCGAGCACACGAAACGTCAAACGGATCAAAACGCCGCGGGAGACTTTGGGAAAGGGGGACCCCCCCCACCCCTCCTTCTCTCGGGACACCCCAACAAACAATGCAAAGAGTAAAAGTTCGGGAAATTTCATGGAAAGAGAACTTCGAAACCCTTGGTTCCGATTCCATGAAAATCCAAACCCTTTTTTTTAGATTCAGCTCGATTACGTAACAAAAGCTTATTGTACACCATTGGCAGCACCAAGTGGGTAGCTTCTCTGAAAAACCTATTGGCGATGGCTGTCAGTGCCACCAGGCCGGACAAAAGGGCAGACAGATCTAGTTACGTAAACAAGGATTTGTGTAGGCCTTTCACCACCCACATTCTACACCGATATGTATATGACAGAGGACATACCCTGGGGTTGTGGCCAAGGCCACACTACGAAGCATACCTACGCAGTGTGTGATGCTCATACCAGCATTGATTTCTGGCACGACAGGCAGCTTGCCCTCTGAGTTGTGAGCGATGTGCTGTGTGACAGGCGTCTCGGGCACCTGCTGAAACTCCAGGCGCCACATCTGTTAATGACGCATGGGGGGGGGGGGGGGGGGGGGGCACAGTCACACCCACGCACATCACATTCAACTTCAACACCATCATCATCGGCATCACAGTCATCAAACCCCACATCATCGAGTAGAAACAAACACAGCGAAACGCCCCTTGCCCGAGCCTGTAACATCTGACGCGCTCCTATCAACTGCTTTCCCAAATCGCTGCGCCAAAAACTGCTGTGGATAAGAGGAGTGAGTTACAAGTGGCAGCAAAGGCATCCAATTATCAGAGCCGTTGCACAGTTATCACATGGAAGCGGTCTCCCAGAAGTGCTGAATTGATTCTATTATACGATTGTTTGTTCGGCTAGTCATCTGAAGTGGACAAATTCACCCCATTAACCGAGCTTTCATGCAGATAAGAGTGATTCTGACGATTACATTTTATCCACGTGGTAGAATGTATGTGGTTAAACATGACCAGGATCCAACTCCCCCCCCCTTCCCCATAGTAAGAGGAGTATCTCTGTCATAAGCAACAAATAATTCTATTCATTGAAATTTTACCAGATAAAGCCAACTGAGCTATATAGCTATTTTTCAGAAGCGACCTAGCCTCAAACGATAGCTCAACAAAGTGGCTTATCGCGTGGAAAAGTATAGCGTCAACGCGTGTTGATTCTAAACGCAGAGGGAAAAATCGGAGGACCCGGAGAAAAATCCACACGACCACAGGAACAGAAACAGTGCAAACTCCAAATATACAGCAGACTTTATCGATTTAAAGCTTTCGTGACTGCAGGGATTCATCTTCTTGGTTCTTTCGGTAAAGTCACGTAGAAGGGAAATAATAAAATAATAAAAATAAAACATAATAAGATAATTCTCACGACGTTTCGGCCACAACGCAAGCAGCCGTCCTCAGGTGAAGAACAGGTCTGTCGCGTCAGACGCTGTCTTCCCGACAGACCTGTTCTTCACCTGAGGACGGCTGCTTGCGTTGTGGCCGAAACGTCGTGAGAATAATTTTATTATGTTTTATTTGTATTATTTCCCTTCTACGTGACTTTACCGAAAGAACCAAGAAGATGTACAGCAGGCGTCAGGGTCAGGATCGCGCCCACGACCTCCTGCGTACCTGGCGAGGTAGCCGACATCTCGCCAACCACCGCAAACACAACAGAGAGCGACCGTGCGAGAACTTGGGGGGGGGGGGGGGCGGTGTCTCACTCGGATGGCGCCGTCCGAGTGCCCGGTGACGATGACGTTGCGGCGGTCCCACTCGTCCACCTCGGAGACGGCGCAGCACAGCACGTGCTGGCCTGGACCCGACGCCGAGCTGGCGCTGGCGAGCGGCTCCCCGTTCACGCTCCACACGAACAGGCTCGTGCCCGAGCACGACACGATGTCACCCTGCGCAATCGTCATGATAAGACTGGTCAACAAACAAAAAAATACATTTTTTTTGTCTGGCCTGGACTTTTGCAGCTGTTCTAGACTAATTTCAGGGTGCTGATTCCAAATGTGATCTCAGATTTGCTCTAACCACGGACAAGCGGGAAGGTAGCCACACAGCGAGCCGGCCCCAACAATCGCCCAAGTTCTGCGGTTCTCTATATTTTAAGATTTTATCAACCAATTCATGACTGTTCACATGTGGTAGAAAACCGGACCACTCTGAGAAAACCCACGCGTGCATTGGGGCACCACTCTACACCATACAGACGGAACAGGCGAGTCGGCACTCTGCTACTTTCTCCGTCTCGCGGCGAGCCAGGGCATGCACCTCCCACGCCTATGGGAAGGGAATCCTCGCAACAAATGTGCGATCCTCCAACCCTTCGGCAGCCACTGCGCACACCATCTAACCACCTCTCGAGATACCGCAGCTCGGCATTGCTGCCGGCTTGCGTAGCAACTCGTGGCGAAGCTATCCAGCGCGTGGCCCTGCTCTAACCGCACCGCACCAGGCCGCACGGGCCGGAGGTGGGGGGGGGGGGGGCCCCGGTTGCCACGGCAACGGGGCCTACGCCGACCGCGGAAACTTACGGTGAGCTCGTTGACGCAGGCGGCGGCGATGGGTCCCGAGTGGCCGCGCAGCTGCGTGACGAAGCACAGCTTGTTGAGGTCCCACACAATGCAGGTGCGGTCGCGCGAGCCGCTCACCAACACGTGGTACGCCGACGAGAAGGCGACGCACGTCACGGCGTCCGTGTGGCCGTAGAGAACCTGGGTGGGCAGGCGGGGGACGGGCGAGCACATTCGTAATTGAATATAGTTAGAGCAATCACACGGGACGCGCAAGATATGATTTTAGTTTGATGAAGAAACGTTGGCTGGAGATGGCCGAGTGGCTCAGAGGTAAGAGCAGTGATTGTGGGCAGCCACCTGTGATTAAACCGGGTTCTCTAGTGTCGTGAGTTGACTGAACAGTTGAACAGTTTAGTTAGAATCGCCCTGTGAGCTAAGAAACTCCTGAATCGGGTTTCATCAACAAGACAGGAAAACTGTAAAATTTTAAACATGTTTGCAACAGGTAAAGCCATGTAGATAGAAAAATAGATAGAAAATAAATATATTTTTCTATTTACTTGGCTTTACCGAAAGACCCAAAGAATACGAATTCCTGCAGTCACGAAAGCTTTAAATCAAAATATATTACTTAATTATAGATTAAATACTTCACTAAACTGAACATTAAGATTAGAGAAACATATTGCAAAATAGTGCATCTAGAGTGGGGAATAAGATTCGATAAAATATTGCAAAACGAGGAATAGAAACGCCTTTGGTAAAATTGTTTTCCTGTGCAAACAAGTAACACTAGTAACCATGACAATCACCATGACATTGCACACATTACATCAGTACAGGGCTCATATACAGAATAATAAGAAACGATTTGTATATCATCTACTTGCTTAAGCAGTGTCAGATTGTCAGGAATGCACTTGAAAGAAGTGACTTAAGATGATTGAGTAAAGGTAGTGACTGTAAATCAAGTTTTGCGGGTACGGGTACCCGTCTGCGACCCCGGTGCGGCTGGGTACGGGTACGGGTAGGCCGTGAGTCACTGGTGAGTAACCGTTTGTCACTCATTTCCCAACGTCTTGTCTCTTCTCACAATTCAAGTTCCTAGAATCAACCCACCCACGCCTGCAACATGGCTTCATCCCAGAGGTCGCAATCGGGTACCCGTACCCGTACCCTACCCGATACCCGGCCGGGTACGGGTAGCCGTGTATCGGGTAGGGTACGGGTACCCGTTTGCGACCCTGGTGCGGCCGGGTACGGGTACGGATAAGGAATCAAAACCCGTTTGCGACCTCTGCCGAAGAGTCTTCAGAGGCCGGTTGTGGCTTGCAGGCGGGCAGCTGAAAAACCCTGACGCACAGTTTGACTGACCGCACCATCATCGTTAAAATAAAGGTGCCGCCATCGTGGCTGCGACTGCCGCACCTGCTTGAGGCCAACGGTCGGCCTCCTGTCCTTGCCGCCACCCTGCATCTCCCAGACGCACAGCACCGTCGCCGTGCCCCCACACACCACCGTCTTGGCGTCGGGGCACACGGCACAGAGCAGAGGCCCCCACTCCCACATGCACTCAAACACCACGGGGGCCTAGAAATAGACACAAAGACAAAGATTCCCCATACAACATTATAGACCGGTTTTGGGGGCAAGTGCTGTTCAGCGAGCATCTATGAAGGCCGACATGGCACGCGTGTGTGTGTATGTACGTATGTTGGCACAGTAGGGGGCACAGGTGGTGCACCCTGGAGGTTGTGACAGTATCGTTTACTCGGTGTGTAACAATTGCCCTATCCCTAGCGACTCGACTCATTCTAATTGTCCAGGGTCGCGATTTTTTTGAAGAATCGATTATATTTTTGTGTTATTTCCTATGTTTTTCTCTGTGCTTTTTCCATATTGCCTGTACAATTTAGTTCACTCTATGAACCCAAATGCCACGTGAGCATCTTATTTGCAGCAATAAATAATAGTTTTCTGGCCATCGGGAGTGTAAGAATCGATTTTAATTGATACAACGATGCATTCCCCACACGCAGCCTATTGCAAGACAGTAATTTTAAATCAGATTCATACAGCAAAAGTTTAGAGTCAGGTCATTGTTTGTCACAGATGAAGAAAAAAAAACACAGCAGGAAAAACAAGTGACTGAATAAGACGTGTTAGACCTTGTCAGTGTCGTAGTTGCAGAGCCGACAGCTGAGGTCAGCAAAGCCCCAGGAAAATGTGCGCTGGAAGCCGGGAGGAAGCAGAACTTTGTTTTCTTCCACCGCCAGGACGCCTCGCTCCGTGCACACAATCTGTCCCACCGGGCCCTTCAGCTCTGGGACGCGCCACGTGCACACACAACAGACATAGATCACCCATATAGCCTTGACAAACTGTTAGGGCAAGTGCTGTCAGCGACCACCTACAAGAGCGTGGGTGGGCAACATCACGCCCAGCCGAGATGTTAACTCCCTCGCCTGATATGCAGGAGGGTCATGGGTTCGATTCCCACCCTGTCGCCTGCATATTTGGATTGCGTGTCTCTCTCCCCGTGGTTGCGTGGATATTTCTCCGGGTCGTCCGGTTTTTCTCTCCACATTTAGTCACGAAAGCTTAAAATCAAGTAATACATATTGTTGCGTATTGTCAATTATGTGCAGAACCAAAGTCAATGTGATGGTCTGGTGACCAGGCTGTAACCATCAATGCCCAATGCACTTGAGAACCTTGTTCAATCACAGGCAGTTGCCCGGATTTGAACCCAGGCTCTCAGCGGTGACAGCTCATTGTGCCACCCGGCCACCTCTGACAGATGTATTAAAAAAATAATGATCTAGTGATTATGAAGTTAAACTTTCGCCTCAATGGAGAACACAAAAGATGTGCGACGTCACTGGGGTATGACGGTCGGTGTCCAGCTCACCCTTGAGTGGCACGGGCGATGGGGTGAGGCAGTCGAGGTGGTGGAAGAAGAGACAGTCCTGGGCAGGGCCTGCGGACGCTCCGGGATTGGTGTCTCCAGACGGCTTGGAGCCCACCCTCTTCGCTGGGTGAGGCTTCTTGAAGAGCTGCGGGATGGCAGATCGTCGAGCGCCTTGTTGTAGCAGCGCCTTTGACACGTTGTGACGGGCGCTAGCTACAAGTTTTATTTTTGTACGAAGGAAGCCAATTGGCTGTTTATTGTTATTCGTGGGAAATATCATGTTTGTCCGAAGACATTTAAATCGTTTTCATTAAAACTGCCTTAAGGCAACAATACCTCAAATATGTAAATTATGAGAAAACCCATCACAACATACATGTACATATGCCTGTTAAACTTTTTTCTCACCGTACGTAGCAAACCGTGCTAATGAATGCGGTTGGAAACAATTAGGTTTAGTAACGCACCGAGATGTGCAGCATTGCATGCACAAAATCTTCCAGCCTAATCCACACCACCAGCTCAAGAGAACTGAAAATGTGGCCCTTCATGTTTTGGGCTCCCAGAGGCCCATGGTGCACGCAATGCTGACCCCCCCCCCCCCCCCCCCCCCTTTGTGTGTTGTTAAATATATTTGTTTACAGTCTGCATGGCGTCTTTCCGTTGCGATGAGTTTTCTCGTAGTTTACAAATTTTAATTACGACGGGAGCAGCTGGATCAGCCCATGCGTGCGAGCATGCTCAAATTTGGCATACAGACGGCACGACGGAAACTTGTTACAATGCCTCCACAACAACCAAAACTATGAACTAAAAACTATTTATCTTTTTTCAGCTAAGGCCCACTGAGCTATATGGCTCTTTTTCAGAAGTGACCTGGCCACAAATAATAGCTGAACAAAGTGGATAATCACGTGCAATTTATATCGGTCAAATACTCTTAACGCATTTTCTAAATGTGGAGGGGAAATCCGGAAGACCTAGAGGAAAAGCCACGCGACCACGGGGAGAACAAACACATTTACAAATATAAAGGCATCAAGGTCGGGATCGAACCCACGACCTTCCGCATACCAGGCGAGGGAGTTAACATCTCGCCACCTGGTCGTTGTACTGGCTCATTGCCCTGCAGGTGGGTGACTCAGGCACACAATGGCTGAATCTCTGCCTGAACTGCCAAATCCCACATTCAAACACTGGATAAAGGCATTTGCCACGTGTGAACCTTGCACAACCCACGAGTGTGTACGATGAAGGCGCAGCAGAAGGCAGGCATCTTGCCATGCTCATTAAAATCATCCCAAAGGGCTGTTTCCTTGATCTGCAAGCCTCGGCTGGAATTGCAAGGTCCTGTCGTGTTGGCAGCTTGACGAGCCACACGTAGAGCTGCCAGCTGCCCTGGTTTCCCCAGAATAGTCCTCTCTTTGGGGAAATTAAACAGTCTGTAGTTCCTCCATTCTCATGGTATTGTGAGATATTCCTCTTCCCATGATATTGTCCCGTTTTAAAAATATACATTTGTACTTAAAAGGTAGCAATCCTAGCCAACGGAGTGGAACCGGAGTCACCTGCTTGGGGATTTGGCCGAAGTTGTTGATGAATCCGATGGTGGCGGTGAGCTTGAGAGGGTCGGTGATGCTGTAGATGTCCACCTGGCCCTCGTAGAAGAGGTGGTGGAACACGTTGGTGCTGGCCACGGCCATGGGGCCCTGCTGCTTGCAGCCGAAGATCAGATCGATCCACTCGTGAAGGTGAGCGCTCACGTAGTCGCACTCCAGGGCCTGGCGGGGCCGAGATAATTCCTCGTCACCCCTGCACTGCGTCAGCGCTACCGTCGGCTGCATCATCGTCGTCACCATCATCATCGTCATCATCGTCATAGTCGTTAGTAGGCGTGCAACTCGTGCATTGAATGAAACCAATTACGAGTAAGCTCATGATACGTGTGTCGGGTTATCCATTTTCTGTCGTACAATGTTACTGTTGCATTTTGGCGAATGGAGAGAATTAAATTGTGTAGAAGAAACACAAACACGACAAAAGGAGAAGAGATTCTTCAATCGAATCTTGACCTTGAATCGCAGGAATTCACTGAATTGCAGGAGTGGTGAATTATTGCACGCCCAATCAAGAGCGTCTGCATTGATGTTGGCAACATCATCAGCATCATAATGGCTAAGGTATTACCTTTGGGGGTAATTAAAATTATTAAAATGTCAGTGATAGCGTGAGCGTTATGGTAACACCATCAAGCTCCTAGCACATCTCATCGAGACAGCAATTACAGTGTTGACGGGTACTATTTTATTTCCGTTGACGCTGGAAACCATGAAATAATGAAAACGTTTTTTTTCTCTCTGGAAAAACAGGTCGTCGAGCACAGAAGTGGTGATAAGGAAAGAGGAATATACGGCACGATTGCAATAGTGTGGTGCGAGTGGCGGGATTTTGTAGATGATCGCTGATTGGTGCACCGAGCTTGGCGGAGATATGAGTACACAACGCAATAACGGAGGGGTCAGGCTCAGGATATAAACCGAGAGAGAGAGAGAAATACAATTGAAGAGGGACGATGGTTACCTCTCGATGAACCCGGATGAACTCGCGAGCATCTCCTTTGGCCCAGTTTGGCAAGAGGACCTCTCCCAGCCAAATCCCATTCTGTTTGCAGCCTGCAACATAGAAGAAGCAAGTTGTGTTCCCGTTTAAGTTAACTTTTCCTGAAATGTTTGGATTTTTATTCTGCAAAATATATTCCGATCATACGAACAGGGTCACCTATGATCACTGTTTCATTGCTTTTATGGCTTTATTTTGGTGATTTTCGAAAAGTTTTTTGGTTTGGCCATGTTTGTTTGTTGTAATACAGAGTTAGACTGATGGCCTTAATCTAAGTTGTCTTGTGGTTGTTGTTGTTTGACTTGCATCCCACTGGGATTTTTGCACACAGTGTTGGTGTACGGTGCTTTTTCTGCAATATTTTGCTGTCTTTTCTTGGATTTTCTGTTTGCACTTAGTCACATAGTCACTTTAAGATGTTTTCTTGTTCATGTTTTTGTTTTCTGTTTGTTGCGGTTGCACCCGATTCAAGAGCCGAATGGCTCACAGGGCTATACCTAATAAATGAACTTGAACTTGAACCTAGAGAGACAAACCAATTTCCATTTGGAATTCTCCCCGTAGCAAGCAAAGAAGAATTCCGGAGGATTGTCGATTGCTTCGACAGATCTCTTTATTCACGCTCGTGCCTCACCGTATGTGTGGCTTGCAAATAATGTTATTTGCATGGAATGAGAGGTAGCATGAGCTAAGATAATATCCCGTATTTATTTATCGAACAAAGCCTCACCAGGCTCTAGTTTGGCCAATTCCATTTAAGGAGAGTTTTGCACGTGGGGATAACACTAAAACCAATGCAATCTCCTGGCCACCTCGCAACTGGATTGACAAAACCACGTATGAACGTGTGCCGATTGACAAACCACATTTGAACGTGCGTGGTTTTTGCGTGCAGTCTTTGGTGACTGGGCTGACACCCATTAACTTCACTTGAGAACCCGGTTTGATCGCGAGTGGCCGACTCCCGGATTCGCCCCCAGGATTTCATCATCGCCCGCTCAAGTGCCCTGACATGCTTTCGCCCCCTTGAGCCACTCGGCTCAACTCAACATTCGCTTGTTGCTATTTATATATACATATATAAAGAAAGCAGTGCAAGCCTTCCACGCTGGTGCTCAGCGCAAGGGTGTTTGGATGTAAGGCGCCGATAGTCCTCGCCAATCACCGAGGTTATAGTGGTTGGAGTTTTGCAGGAAATCCGGGAGGTAGAAGAATTCTGGGATGAGCTCCTTGACGTCGGCCATGTTGTTCCTGGAGGCGGACAGCCAGGCGTCTCGGACGCTGTGGAACATGCGGTCAGCCAGATCAAAATGTCCGCCCTGTCGGGGAGGGTGCGGGAAAGGGGTTACAAAAACACAAAAACACGAAAACACAAAAACGCCAACGCCATGAGCAACAAAATCAACACGTGAAATTGTATTCACTTCTGGCAGAGATAGCAGGATGGCTCAGAGGTCAGAACACTGAGCCAGCACTGCTGGTAGTCTTGGGATTGAATCTTAAGATTGACTGCAGAGCAGAGTGTCCCACTCCCACCGGCACTCAAATGATAGTTCAAGGAAGTGGCTTATCATCACGTGGAAATTTACAGCAGCCAAATACTCTAAACGCATGTGTCTCAATGCGGAGGGAAAAACCAGAGGACCCGGAAAAAATCCACGCGACCAAGGGGGGAACATGCAAACTCCAAATATACAACAGGCATCAAGGGTCAGGGATCGAACCCACGACTTCCTGTATACCAGACGAGCAAGTTAACACCTCGCCACCACGGCGCCCCTTAACAAAGCCCGACTGCTTTGTGGACAACTGCCTCGTGGCTGCGAAGCCGCACTCACCTGCAGGCGGAGAAACGTTTGCGTGAACGGTTCCATCCGCACGAGGTACGAGGCGACGATCATGGCCGACGAGTAGTGCGTGCCGTAGTGGTAGGCCGGGGTCTCGCCTGCAGACGCACGTCGCAGCAAACGTTCAGTTTAGAAAAATTCACCCATGTCCGTATAGCTCTCCGATGATGCAATGCCCCCTTTCTCTCTTCCCAGCCAAGGTGATTTCAAGGCACTTCGCTGCAACATTTGTATCCAGCTCCAATTCCGATTTAAAGCTGTCGTGACTGCAGGGATTCATCTTCTTGGTTCTTTCAGTAAAGTCACGTAGAAGGGAAGTAATAAAATAATAAAGCATAATAAAATAATTCTCACGACGTTTCGGCCACAACGCAAGCAGCCGTCCTCAGGTGAATTATTTTATTATTTTTTATTTTTATCATTTTATTACTTCCCTTCCCTTCTACGTGACTTTACCGAAAGAACCAAGAAGACAGCTCCAATTCGTTAAGTCCGTGCCCGCATTCGCGCGCGCGCGTTTGCTCTGAAGGGCGAATGCGAGAAACGTAAGCTCGTTGCGTCAGTCGTCGCACACCGATTGCAAATTGCCGTCGGCGTGTTTGAGTGCCGGAGCCGCCAGCTGTACCGTTTGGGTCCTCCCAGTCTTGGTAGCGCTTCTGGAACTGCTCCAGGCGCTCCATCGTCTGCGCTCCCATGGGTTTGGACATATCTCGGAACGTGCGAGGGTCCGTCAGGTCAAGCTCCTGCTCCCACCCAACACAGAGAGGAGATATACAACCAAAACGGTTTCCTTCACGAAGCACACTTTGTCATTTGAAAGCCGTAATAAAAGCCACATTTTATAGAAATTTATCACGCAGCAAGAATGCACATGGAGCCACTGTGTATGTGCGCTAGACGCGTCAATGACAATTGCCGACACTTCGCCACAACATTCTAGTTCGGCTGGTTTGTAAAGCCCCGTGCACAAGCAACATAAACAATAAACACACTGATATCAGCGCGTTGCTATGCTGACAAAGAAAATGATTCATTTTTGCCAATGAGTGCTTTCCCCATCACGTCCTGAACATGGTTTGATGGCCCACTGCACACACGTATCTGGTACGTGTATCAAAGTGCACGTGGATATCCGTTGCTATGCTGACAAAGAAAATGATTCATTTTTGCCAATGAGTGCTTTCCCCATCACGTCCTGAACATGGTTTGATGGCCCACTGCACACACGTATCTGGTACGTGTATCAAAGTGCACGTGGATATCCGTATCTGGTACGTGGTGTATCATAGTGCATGGGGGAATTCGTATCTTGCACGTGTATCAAAGTGAACGTGTAAATTCGTATCTGGTACGTGTATCATAGTGCACGTGGAAATTCGCCCCACTCGCGATTTGATGAACTGTCACAATTGCGGGTTGAGGTTCGATTCAAGAATATATTTATTTATAGTGAATGCAGCTATATCTCTCTCTTGGCTGCAGGGTTTACACGACAAAATCACAGCAGAGACGAACCGCAAACAATCGATTCTTAGACGGATGATTCGACGTATCTCGAGTTTAGGAATCAATGTTGATGAATTGTAATTCATGAATGACATGCCTAATGTAATGCATATATATATTATTGGTAAGAACCTCCTGGTTACACCAGCCCACAGGGGATTATTGTGTCCGTCTGTCGCGCAGGGAGGGGCTGGGTGGGGAGGGAGGGGCTGGGTGGGGAGGGGCTGGGTGGGGAGGGGCTGGGTGGGGGGTGGGAGGGTTGGGGCTGGGCTGGTCACCCCGTGGTGCCCTTATAAAACTCAACGTTTAACCTACTCACACCGGCTTATGCCCACCCTCACAGTCAGCCATATTTGCAGAATACACCACGCCGCCGTTGACCCTGGCCATTGACCGAGCAACCCAACGTTCCTACCAGCTCCCTCCGCAGGAATGTGTTAAAATTATATTGTTTGAAATGTCAACCCACTGCTAAAGGCCTCCCCACACCGTGGGGAGGCCTATTAGCGTGGTTGGCGCGGTTGGCCAAGTACGCTGCAAAATAAGTTCAACGTACATACATAAGTGTGCGTAGATAACAAATGTGTGTGGACACGCACACACGGGTAACAGAGCTCACGTGCACCTCAGACTGGTAGTCGGCCAGGATCCAGGGAAAGACGGGGTACTGCATGAGGTCGTTGTAGGAGCGTCCGGCCAGCGTGTTCAGGTGCATCAGGTACTGGAAGTTGCTGATCTCCCCGTGCTGAGGGAGGGGAGGGGAGGGAGGTGATGGCAACAGTCAAGACGCACGACAGAGTCAGAATCTTGAGTTTCGACTGGAAGAATCCGATGAGGTATGAAGCTCTTTTCACAGATGTCCAGTAGCGGTGGGTCAGAGTTACAACAAACAATACAAAAACAGATCGCGGTGGCAGGTAACAGAAAGCTAAGCGAGTCGCTAAATATCATTATAAATAAAATATATAAGTACAAATTGCATAAGTAGAATTTTTTTTGTCGATTTTTCAACACCAAATGAAATCTTGGGGCAAGGCGGCAAAACAAAAACAGTCCCAGACCACACCATGACCAGCACACAGTCCCTCAATAAAATTGCACGTTAAAATTGAACTGTCGATACATTGCTAAAGATTAAAGTTACAAATCACATTGGCAAATGTGGTGAAAATCAGAACTAATCTTCTGCTTCAGACTATTTTTTGAAGGATGATTCATGATGTTCAGGCAGGGAATAAGGTTGTTCCAAAACGTTGGTACTGCAATAGCAAAGCTTTCGTCACCTCTTACAATTCTTGTTCTTGGGATAGTTAAAAGAAAAATTACACAGACGTCTTGGGTTTCTTCCATTTGACAATCGGGTTCATGAATTAGCGAAGAATAGCGCGTATTTATCAATACGAATTTTATGGATGAACAGGTCACAATGTAGATTTATTTTTGAATGAAGTGATGTGAGATTGAATTTTAACTAGAGGTCACAATGGTGGGTCCTGTATGGTACATCCGGTGCAAATTGAAGATCAGAAGGATGAAGCGGGTTTCGTCTATTTAGCGATTCATAAGTAGCTGATCTGTAAGCAGCGTCATTGTAGTCAAAGAGTGGTTGAATGATAGCCTCAACAAATTTGCAGGTGCAATCGAATGGGAAAACATGTTTTTTACTGTATGAAAACCCCTAATTTTGATCAGATTTTCTTTGAGATGTTTTCAATATAGGGTTGGAATGTGAGCTTTGAAACAATCACTAATACCATGTATTTGAAGCACTCTGTTCAATGTTGTTTCCGATATCCGCAACAGGTGAAGGGAATTAAATCGTAGCGGCGAGTCTACCTGTGCCGAATCCATTCTTTTTTTATCTCTCTCCCAATTGTGCACACTGGTGCCATGTCATGAGATCAAGTGTTCGCTTGGATCTCTTGCAGAGCAGTGCAGCTCGGCGTTAGAGATCGGCCCACAGAAACGGGGACTCGCAGAACGACTTTTTAAACGTACCATTTATATTTATTCATTCACAAACTAGGGTGTATAATCTAGTGAGAATTATTTTATGTTTTATTTTTACTATTTTATTATTTCCCTTCTACGTGACTTTACCGAAAGAACCAAGAAGATGAATCCCTGCAGTCACGAAAGCTTTAAATCGAAATCTAGGGTGTATAATCTTGATTTGAAGCTTTCGTGACTGTAGGAATCCATACTCTTTGGTTCTTTCGGTAAAGTCACAGAGGTGTATACTTTTTCATACCCCCTGACTAGATATGAAGGTTCATCTCATGGCAGTTAAACCAATGTTTTTTTTGTTATTCCCAAAGCCACGATATTGATAAATGACGTTAAAAAAATTTAATTTGATGTGATGATTTTTCATGAAGCCATTGGTGAGCAGGCTGAGACCATTCACTTGCTAAGCTTAAGAACCTGGCGATTGAATTCTGGATTCAAATCCAAGGCCACAGCATTGACAGCTCAGTGATCTGACCTCCAAGTCACACGGCTGCCTCTTGGAATCAAATGTTGACTCGTTCCACTGTAATTGCTTCTTGTCTATTCTTGGACTCGGCAATTGAATCAGTGATTGCTAAACGTGGCTAGAATCATTTTAGAAGCAGACACGCAGGCCACCAGAGCAGGCTCTTCCAATTTTATTTAAATGTGATTAAAATAATTTACAGCTGCTGTACATTTTTTTACTCACTATATATGTATCTGTTATTCTTATGGTCTACATTTTGTGTTTTCAAAAAGTGTAATTTAAAAAAATATCTTTTGTAAATTTGCACTTCCATCCACCTGTTGGATTTATTTATCCTATAAATTCTAGCTCCTGTAGATGTCAATGGACTCTCCGAAGCTGCTTTAATACAAAAAGAGTTGATCAACCGTAAATGTCGAATTTTAAAAAAGATCGGTGCAGCAATACATCTTGCAGCATTGCTATTTAATTCCGTATGAATTGCCACGGGAGCATGAGGATTAGCATGGATTCACTTTAATTCTGGGCAAAAACAAATGAAAGGACTTAATGTTCTTCAAAGGGCAAGCTCTTGAATACTAATGAGGAGTGGACGTACACTCTCTCGGTTCATTGCCATCACGGGTGCGTAATGCCCCCCGCCGCTACTGCCAAAAGAGAGTGTTGGGCACTCAGGTGAAGACGAAATAATGAAACGGTGGCGACTGTGCTGAGACCAATAAAACACACTACACTTGAGCACCTGGTTCAATCGGAGGTGGCTGAAACCTGGATTTGAATGCAGGGAAGTCTGCTGTTCTGGCTCTGTGGCTACGACAGGGCAGCTTGTGAGCCGCTGTGCCACTTGGGACATCTCCATCTCGGGGGTAAACGGTTTCGATTATCCGGTGAAGATACGTACCACCCAGCGCTGCGTCACCGATCGCTCTCCAACCAGGCCGCTCAGCAGACCCGACCTGAAAAACAATGGAACACCGGGCTTTCATTTCTATTCTTGTTGCAAGGCCATGGTTTTAATGCTCAACTTGTATGTTTTGGGAACACAATGATTGACACAAATTAGGCCATTTAATCGCCATCATGTCGAGAGACAACGAAATTAAATTCCGTATTGAATGCACCATCAAGTGTAAAGAAATGGTCATGCAATATGACACCGGGGAACTACTTCTGAAGTCTGTCCAATAATTATCATGGTTGGCTACGAAAGAAGTTCAACATACATCCTATTGTATAGGATTTTATACTCCCAACACTAAAAGCAAGTTGTTTAAGCCAAGATATACATTTTCAGCGGCAAAAGTGGGGCCAAATATAATTACGGCATCAATGTTCGCTGAAATTACATTACATTGCAGCTCATTCTTGTTTGTATGGCTGATGTAGAGCCCCAATTATAGTTTAACTTTGAGGTGCTTTGGGCCAGATAATTGCTCCAGGAATACAGAGTGTATCGCTGCGATGCCTCCTTCGTATTTGTGAATCGGGCTTTGAGTCATTGTGCGTTCCTCGATCTGTTGTGCCGGGTAACCACAGTCACACAACGGAGAGATTTTTTTTCCCTTTTGCGCATCAAGTATCCACATCTGCTGTTGCGATGGCTTGTGTGTGGCTGTGGTTTTGGGGGTTGTGCCCAGAAGCTTCGCGGAACATCGGAGCCATGGATCATTCTGTCGGGTCTTTGACAATTTTTTAAAAAATTTGTCGATTACAATTCAGTGCAAATAACGCAATGATAATTGGAATCAATCCCAATTTTATATGGTGGGTTTTTGCACATTCATTGGGAAGTGTACTGAGGCCATCAACTCGCTACCCTTGAGAACCCAATCTGGGTGGCCACTTGAATCTCAGTGGTGCCGGCTGCTAGGTGACCTGTTGTGGTGTTAGCACCCCCCCCCCCAACCACCTCTTGGATCATAAATACCCACATCAAAACAAAATAATAACATTTTCATTAAATTTCGATTTAAAGCTTTCGTGACTGCAGGGATTCATCTTCTTGGTTCTTTCGGTAAAGTCGCGTAAAAGGGAAATAATAAAATAATAAAAATAAACCATAATAAAATACAATTCTCACGACGTTTCGGCCACAACGCAAGCAGCCGTCCTCAGGTGAAGAACAGGTCTGTTGGACAAACCCAGAAGCTTCGCAACGTCGTGAGAATTGTATTTTATTATGTAAAATTTTTATTATTTTATTATTTCCCTTCTACGTGACTTTACCGAAAGAACCAAGAAGAACATCTCCATTGTTGTATTTTCAAATCTTTACATGCATTTTAACCACCATTACGCCCCTTAATCAATTTACTGCTGGTTCAAGGTCTCCCCGTGCCCTATCAGTCGTGGGGGTTATTTAACCTTCACCACGCCGGTCAATACCGGTTGGAAGTGAAGAACCTCAGCAACAGCTCCGCGCAACACTCGCAGTCGACGTTAGCCTTTGCTTGGAATTGAACGCCCGCCCCGGGGCTCACAGCGCAGCATGCCAACGAGTGTTGCCATCACGTTAATAACATTCCTATCATCCGACTAATTACCGTGTCCTTCTCAGTGCCGGCTCACTCATCTGCGCAGATTTTGGTTTATTGCAGAGGAGCGTTGGCGAACGCTGGCAATGGTGTTCCGAGTCAAAAATAATAGGCAGGCGTCAGCATCCTCATCCGTACTTCACTCACAATGCCAACGTGCGCTTCTTCAAGAGAAAGTTCTTCGCCGTGTATGTGGCTGGAGGCACCGCTATCTTTAGCCAACCCTTCCGGCTCAGTGCGATGGGAAAATGACAACGATTTCCAGCTTTAACTCACTCAATTGTTCCCTGTGCTTTAGACAGGAAACCACGCAGGCTCCAAAGCAACAGACGTTGAATGGATAAAAAGCAAACACCAAAAATCACCTTTCTGGATTGCAGCTTCCGTCAAAAAAACATAGTTCGTTTTTTTCTTTCTGAAATTGAAATGTCTCGATCCTCGCCTTATCAAGGACACTCACTAATCCATGCTGACACAATCCAATTTAAGAGCACAACTGAATCGATGCCCGTCAGTAAACGCACGCCCACCCACAAACCATAGTGACCTATCAGGCGCGACAACAGTTACTGAAGCTGGAGGGGACATCGCGATCCTGCCCTCGGAAATGTCTCTTGACAGCAGGGAATTAATCACTGGCTCCGCACCTTAGCCAATGTTGAACTTGGCTGAAGCGGTGACGGATGAATTAGCCAAGCGGCTACCGTGTGAATAGTTCAAATGTGGCTGGGAACCTCCATCTGTAAGCTTCCTGGTGGGTTCCCTGAGGCCAAAGTAACTATCCCTAACAATAAGCATCCCAGACCAAAGTATGCGGGTACGGGTAGGCCGTGAGTCACTCGTGAGTAACCGTTTGTCACTCATTTCCCAACGTCTTGTCTCTTCTCACAATTCAAGTTCCTAGAATCAACCCACCCGCGCCTGCGACATGGCTTCATCCCAGAGGTCGCAATCAGGTACCCGATACCCGTACCCTACGGCCGGGTACGGGTACCCGTTTGCGACTCTGGTGCAGCCGGGTACGGGTAAGGAATCAAAACCCGTTTGCGACCTCTGACACAGGCCAGCAGACCAGCAATATACGCCACGGTGGCGAGATGTTAACTCCCTCGCCAAGTATGCAGGAGGTCGTGGGTTCGATCCCGACACTGACGCCTGTATATTTAGAGTTTGCATGTTCTCCCCGTGGTCGCGTGGACTTTTCTACGGGTCCTCCAGGTTTTTCACACCACATTTAAAATCAACGTGCGTTTAGAGTATTTGGCTGCTATAAATTTCCACATAAGCTCCTTCGTTGAGCTATCATTTGTGGCCAAGTCATTTCTGAAAAAGAGCTATGAAGCTCAGTGGGTTTCACCTGGTAAAATCAAAAGTTTAGTTAAACGCAATTCCTCCCATTCACGGCACCTCCCACCTCATGCATAATGTACGTGGCAGGCAGAACGTTGCCTGGCAACGCCACACAACAGTTGGCACGCAGACAAGGGGCCTCACTGCGCCCAAGTTGTGGCTCTCTGGCTGGCAGGCAAAAACAAATCACTGGCCCTCTTCGAGTTCAACTTCAACGGCCGCCGCTTCGATGGCAACGTGAGCGAGCTTCGGCGGCCCGCAGTCGAAGACTGAGGAAGGTGAGGGGGGGGCGGTTTTGTCGATGCGGTGGAGTGGGGCCGGTACGAGGGCCTCAAGGGGGGGCTTGAGGAGTCAGATTGTCGCACTTCGGCCTCTCCACTGCGAGTGTGGCTGGTAAAGTGGCCTCTTCCAGACGTCCTCTGCGCTGGCCGCGGAGAAGCCGCCGGGGCTTGAAGGCACCACATTTTGCACGCGCCTCGCGCAGTAACGGTAAGCTGCGTGCACATTTTTTTTAATTTAAACAACGTTTTTCAATGTTTTCGGCTCTCATAAGAAACATGCGTGAACCCTTTTCGTCTTTTTTTTCTTTCGTGGCGGCAAGTGAAAATGGACGGTTGCAAAATACGACGCCGCTTCGCCTGTCTGATAGCCATATCTTTCCTTAATGGGCATTTCCTTTCTGAATGCTAAAAGGAAAATAAAGCAAATGAGACCAAGACCAAAGTAGACAGCACGAGCCTGCCGGGTGAGATCAACTTGTTTGTCCTGTCACATTTCCCGTGGCCAAACGAACTCTGTGTCCGCTGGACCGCAACGCCGTTGCGCCGTGCCTTTTCAATTAGAGAAACGTGAGATTAAGGGCGGACATCCGTTACCCCGGCGCATACCGATGGAGCCCACACAGCGAGCGTGTACTGTTACCCGTGCTGCGCAGCGGCCGCAGCTATGGTAACGACTGCACGGCATTCATAGGGAACGTGGCCCTATCTAGGCCAGCCCGGCCCCTCTCTCATGTGGCCGTGTTTTGCGTGCCGTCACCTCGTCAACTGCAACGTGGCGAGTTGTTAACTACTTCGCCTGGTATACAGGGGGTCGCGGGTTCGATCCCAGCCCTCACGCCTGCTGCTGTATATTTGGAGTCTGCGTGTTCTCTCTCCCCGTGGTCGTGAGGATTTTTCCCCGGGTCTCATCCGGTTTTTCCCTCCGCTTTTCGAAACGTGCGTTTAAGAGTATTTGGCTGCTATAAATTGCCACGCAATAAGCCACTTCGTTGAGCTATCATTTGTGGCCAGGTCACTTCTGAAAAAAGAGTTATATAGCTCTCTGGGCCTTATTTGGTAAAATAAAAATAGCATACTTAGTTTAGTTTATAATTGTGCTGTGCTTAAATACGGCGGCACGCGTTGTCTCTTCTCGGTTTCGCAACTGGCGTTAAGCTTTTCGGTTGTTAGGTTTTGAAGTCAGTCATCCAAAAAACAAGGAAGAACTGGAGCGCAATGAATGCCTTGCGTACAGTTTGTGTATTTGTGCGCGCGATGGGCAGCGGAAATATTTTTAGAGCTGGGTGTAAACGAGGTGCAATGACCTCATACTGCATTCAGCTTCCTTCGAATGTCCATTGTTATATACTCGTCAATTAAGCGTTTGCAACACGTACACAAACTGGAAAAACACTGCAACCTTGCTTGCAATGTTCGAATTCAAAAACGAGAACATAAATACGAACCTCCTCATTCTAGAAAAGGCCATGCTACTCATCAAGTTTAATTTGACCTTGACTGTTGAGAAAAGAAAATAGACGTCGGCAGGACATGTCGCTAGAAGGGATGGTGACTCGCGGTCGAGACTAATGACGGAGTGACATCCAAAGGAGAGAACACGCATGAGTGGAGAACCACCGTGGAGATGGAGTGATGAAATCAGTCTCATGTGCAGGAGCTGGATGGACTGTCTGTCACATTGCAAGACCATGAAAGAATGGTGACGGCTTAGGGAGGCTTATTAGTGGACAGGAACATGCGTTTATAGAGTATGTGGCTGATATAAATTTGCACGCGATAAGCCACTTCGTTGAGCTATCGTTTGTGGCCAGGTCGCTTCTGAAAAAGAGCTACATAGCTCAGTGGGGCCTCACCTGGTAAAATAAAAATAAAACTCTTGAATAGTTTTGACTAGAGGCTAACCGAGCCGCGTGTGTTCGTTGCTTCCCGTGCAGAAGCCATCATGCCCAAGAAACGCGCGCCCAAGGGCCGAAAGCTGACGCTGAAGCAAGCCAAGGCGGCCGTGCACAGCACCCCCGACGGGAAGAAGCGCCTCAACCTCAGCAACGCGGGCCTCGCCATCTTCCCCAAGTGCCTCCTCAAGCTGAGCGACGTCGACGAGCTGGACCTCAGCCGCAACGCGCTCCGCGTCCTCCCGCCCTCCATCGGCAAGTTCGTGAACCTCCGCTCGCTCGACGTCCACAGCAACCGGCTCGAGAGCCTGCCCGAGTCGCTGGGCCAGCTGAGCGGCCTGCTGCACCTCAACGCTTGCAACAACCGGCTGGTTACGCACCGCCTCCCCGAGGGCCTCGCGCAGCTTCAGAAGCTGCGCACCCTCAACCTGGGCCTCAACGAGCTGGACAGCGTGCCGCGCTGGCTGGGCCATCTCCGGGAGCTCACCGACCTGGGTCTCTTCGACAACGCCATCGCGGGCCTGCCCGAGACCGTGGCCAAACTGCCCAAGCTCCAGAAGCTCAACGTGAAGCGGAACCCGCTTGCGCTGGCCCCGCCGGAGACAGGCGTCGTGCCGGGTGGGGGCGAGCCGTGCCCCGAGGAGGCGTCCCTGCTGCTGGTGCACGAGTCGGAGGTGTGCAAGCCTTGCCTGGCCTCGTGCCAGGAGGAGAGGGCACGTAGGGCCGGCCTGCTCAAGAACACCAACAAGGGGTCCAACCGCGGGGTGGGAAGGTTTTCCGGGCTCATAACGCCCAACTCCGTGGCGAAAGAGACGCAAACTGCCTGGAGATGAAGCGTTTATCGGGTACGGCACCACCTCAGGGATGTGGGCGACGTTGGAGACGGAGGTTTAGAGGGGGGTGTTTGTGCACGGGGTACTTTGGCAGCAGCAGCAGGACGCAGAAGTGTTACAGCAGAGCGAAGTTAACCTTGGCCCCGCAAAGCCACCTACTTCTCTAGATTTAGCCGGTTAATTAAATAACTTACATTTAACTCGGCGTTTGCCAAGAACACTTAATTAACCAGATTGGATTGTTACACACATTTTTACTTGAAAGTGAAATGTTATAATTTCAATACATTTTAAGGGAATGTACATGCCATAGAGTAATAGTTTTACACTTAGGTGGGTAAAATTAATTTAAACTGCCCAAGCCAATCAGAAAAATAAATCTGGACAGTGATACCAATATTCTTGGTTCTTTCGGTAAAGTCATCACGTAGAAGGGAAATAATAATTTTTATTTCATTTTTTTTCCTACGTGACTTTACCGAAAGAACTAAGAGTATGAATCCTTGCAGTCACGAAAGCTTCAAATCTAGAAACAATAAAAATTCTCACGACGTTGACTGCAACACAAGCAATCGTCATCAGGTGTGATACCAATGTTAACCGTCACTGACAAAAATTAAACTCCGATGAAGGAAAACCCCAACAACACCGAGCGCGTCATGGTTCCACGCGAATTGCGTTTCGCTCACCCAGCCTCCACACTTGCGTTGGGGTTCTGTCCGGAGACGCTCTCACTGCTGTCCGCGAGGGACGGTGCGATCGTCAAAAACCTGCGCTCGTCCGGGCGACAAAGGGGACACCACTTTGAGATCGCCTCGCCACCCCCCCAACTCCACAGTCATCGCACACGAAAGACAAAGATTCCCCCGTGGAGCCTTTAACAGACTTTTGTGGCTGTTAGAGAGCACCTATGAAGGCCAGCACAGGCATGCGAAGGGGGTGGGCGGCCAGCACCACGCCCGGCCGCCTTTGTCTTCCGAGTGCTGATGTTTTACACACTGCATCAGGTACTCGTTTGAGGCTGAGTCGACAGAGTGGAGGCCCGGGACCGGTTCAGATAATTGTCACTGGTGTTGGCCGTGAGCGAGAATCGAACTCGGGTCGCCGGGTTCGTAGCGCAGCAACGCTAACCACCGTGCCACCGCTCCCCCATCATCACCCACACACACACACAAACACGGCACATTCGTAGAAAAACTAAGTGAGAGCTCGTTAATGTTCATGGTTAAGTCTACACCCTGATGATCTTTATCACTTTGTGCTTTGTTTGCAAAGGCTTTTAAGCTCGTGATTTGGTGCTTAACACGCCAGAGGCCTTACCTTTGGTACACCTTGTTTCTCACCCCACGTGGGAACACCAGGAGGTAGTTCCTGCCGTCGTTTGAGAATACTTCCACGGCCATCGGCTAAACAAAAATACCAAGAGGAGGATCTCAGCGGCATTGCGGTGTTACGTTTGACGAATAAGCGCGCCACTTGAGTGAACTTTGTGTACAAACTCATTTGCAATTAAATGTCTCTTCTTGGAAAGAAGGTGGGGTCTGTGGTTTCTGATGAAAAATTCTGTTTCGCACGAGATCAGCTCCCTGCTCTTGACAATGTCAGGGCTTTGGGCTGGGCCATCGAAATAGAAGATGGTGGTCACCTCATGGCGCTGTGCTTTCAGATGTGCTCCTGCGGCCGTCTGGAACGCTCTTCCTTCTGACATTAGGAAGCCACTGGAGAAATGCACTTTTAAATCTAGATTGAAAACTCATTTCCTTAGAGCTGCTTTTTGTGTTTAGTTTGTTGTACTTCCCCCGCACCTCCAATTAGCACGGTTGGCTACGTACGGTGCGAAAAATGTTCAACACACATACATTGCTTGCATTGTCTCCATAACTAAGCAGTAAATAGCCAGTCAAACTCCGGCTGTGTGTCCCGGCAAAATAACCCAACTAAACAGTATGAATGCTTCATAATGCACAGCAGCTGTACAAGTCTATATTTTATTTGGGATATATTTATTTTTACTAAGACGGTTCGTAACGTGAAAAGACATAGATGGTAAAAGTTAGCCAACAAAATTTCTGATTCTTAATCTGATCTGCGGCTCAGAATACAACAAACTATTCATCAAATCAGCGGAGCTAAGGGGGGCAATGGACGATTAATTTCGTGCCAAGAGACTACGAGTGAATATTCATGATAACAGAAAGGGGTCGCATGGCAGCGCATAGGTGGTTAGGTCCACTTCACTATGAACCCAATGACTTGAGTTCGATTCCCAACCACGGCGAACACCAGCGGTGAGTTATCCCTGAAGCAGCCCTGGGCATACCCCTCTCACCAACCCGTACCGACCAGCGTGGCGAAGATCAGGTAAACAGACCCCATGAACAACATGGCACGGGGGAGCCTCCGTCCTGTTGTGAACTGACAAGAGGAGCTGTGGTTGATCGGCACGGTACGGAATGGAGAAGAGCGGACGAGGGGCGGCACCTGCAGGAGGTAGCGCCGCTTGTGCACCTCGCGCACGCCCTCGTAGCTGAACTTGCTGCACGCGCGCTGCGGGTGCGACGGAGGCGATCGGGTCCCACGGGGAATCACCGGGTCCTGCAGCCTGGGTGGCGAGACCACCCGGAATCGTACGTGCAAGGACGAAGGGAGTCAGTGCCGTGTCGCGCATTCTCCCCAACGGTCAAACGCTTCATCCAATGACATAGGGAAGATGATGATGATTAAGATGATGATGATGATTGTTTCATCGCAGGGCCGTCAAAGAGGGTGGCAGCTTGGGGACGTCTGGCCTGGTTATGAAGATGATGATAGTGATGCTGTTGAGGACGATACAGGAACCAACAACGGTGCTTTTGACAGCCATGATGGAATTTTTTTGGATGTTCCAGCAACGGTTCGTATTGTTGATGAGGCTGCTACAGCTGCTGATGAAGCTGCTGCTACAGCTGATGAGGCTGCTACAGCTGATGAAGCTGCTGCTACAGCTGACGAGGCTGCTGCTTCAGCTGATGACGCTGCTGCTGCTACAGCTGATGACGCTGCTGCTGCTACAGCTGATGACGCTTCTGCTGCTACAGCTGATGACGCTGCTGCTACACCAGTGGCTGTGCCGGAGCTGCTCACTCGGGTGGCAGCATGTCGATGTCGCAGATCTCCCGGCGGGTCGTCATGGTGACCCCGTCGATGACGTAGAAGTGTTCCTTCCCAAAGAGCAGCAGCCCCTCGCTGGTGTCCAGGCCCTCAACTCGCGCGCACCGGTACATCTGGGAGATCTGGGAGCGACACGGCGGGGAGGCGGGGTCAGGCTGGGCGAGGTCGGGATCTGCTTGGTGTTACTGATCAGGGTTCGGGTTCAGATGACTGTAAATTGGATTTATTTAATGGGGTTTAAAAAAAATTGTATTTCAATTAGAGCCCAGGGCACATTGCACAAACCGTTTAGAGGAGGCGGGGGATGGGCTCGCTGCCTCACCGAGTGGGGATCATGAGCGAGTTGTTGTGCTCTTTTATGTGGGGAGGGGAAGATGAGGGTGGAATAACGTTGTTAAGGGAGTAGAGGGAGCGAGGAGAAGGAAGGAGGGGATACATTTTTAAAGATTAAGATTCAGGTAAATGGTGCGGAGTTAGGGTAAGCGTATAAGAGTTGTCACTGAAAAGAGACAAGATTGGAGGGAGAGATGAGGTGGCTGGGGTTGAATAGAATTAGGGTTAATTATAAAAGTTCGGTTTAAGGAGCTTGGTGTGGGTAGTTAGGAGTTAATGAATAGGGTTAGTGTTAAAATGGTTAGGATGGAGTTAAGCTTAAAGTAAGAGTTAGGGTTAAGGTTAAGGTGGTTTTATGGTATGGTATAACTTGGGCCACGCTGGAGATTAGTGAGGGTTTGAGTGGTTCGAGTGTTCTCTGCTTCGAGGATCAGGTTTAAGGCAGAAGGAATGAGGTCGGTGTGTGGGCTCGGGTTACGGTCAATGTATGTTGAACTTCTTTCGCGCCGTATGTAGCCAACAGTGCTAATCGGAGGTTGCGGGTGGTTGTGCTGCGCTCTGGATAGGACGGGGAGTAATGCGCTAGGGGGAGGTTGGGGGTGGGGAGGGGGCTGCTCACCGTCTCGCCCTCCGCCAGCAGCCTCAGCACCGTCTGGTTCTCCGTCTTCTCGCCGCCATCGCCGATGCCGGCCCCGTCGGCCATCGGGTCCGGGAGGCCGTCTTCATCGTCGCCGCCCGGCAGCCCGGCGCCCGGCTCCACGCCCGAGCGAGACCTCTGCAACGGCTTCACGAGCCCTGCCGACGGCGACACGTCAGGCCGCCGCGTGACTTAAGGAGACTCGCTCGCGATTTTTGTTTTTATTACCGAGAAGGGATCGCAAACATCACGTCGGTACACAGGGCACTGTTCGCGAGACGAGGATAACGGCTGACCGAGACGCAGAACGGTTGGAAATTCAGAGTGGCCAGCCACTCGGCATTGACCGTCCTCAATTTAGATGAGCGATTTGAAATGTATTTTCACATGGGGAGACCATTTCTGCATTTGCTGAAGCGTACGTCTGATACGGAACAATCGTCTGATGCAGAACCACCGCCCGATGACCTAATGTGAAGTGACAGGCAAACGATCCGAGCTTAAGTCTGGGGGGGGGGGGGAAGAAAAAAATAAATCAGCCAACTCGATCGTTACCCTCATCTACCTACCGAACACTCTCCCCGCTGCTTCGCCGTTGGGGCCACGTGCACGGCTCAAGCCGGAGACCGCGATCACAAATCTTCAGTGGGCGGTAGGCCGACGTCAAGAATAAACATCTCTCGTATAGGGCCCCTACCGTCGAACCTCCCGGTTTCAACCTTCCACGCCGCCAATGGTCGACCATCAACCGAATCGGGATGGGGCATGTGGCAGAGGTCGCAATCGGGTACCCGATACCCATACCCTACCCGAAAAACCCGGCTACCCGTACCCAGCCGGGTACAGGTACGGGTACCCGTTTGTGACCCTGGTGTGGCCGGGTATGGGTAACGGGTAGGCCGTGAGTCACTGGTGAGTCACCGTTTGTCACTCATTTCCCAACGTCTTGTCTCTTCTCACAATTCAAGTTCCTAGAATCAACCCACCCGCGCCTGCAACATGGCTTCCTCCCAGAGGTTGCAATCGGGTACCCGATACCCGTACCCTACCCATACCCGGCCGGGTATCGGGTAGGGTACGGGTATCCGTACCCGGCCGGTTACGGGTACCCGTTTGCGATCCTGGTGCGACCGGGTACGGGTACGGGTAAGGAATCAAAACCCGTTTGCGACCTCTGGCATGTGGCCGATGCGGCCGCCTGATGCGCAAAGTGGCGCACGGAAGATTCGGCGGCCTGCGAGTGCGGCCACAAATCCCAAACCGTCGACCGTATCATTAACACTCCGCCACCGCTGCTGTCTTCGCTCCTTTAAAGGAGGAATGGGCGAGATCCACTCTGCCTCTGAACAGCCAACCGAGTGGATAACAAATCTAAAATCACATATTTAATCCGCGTGTTATTAATCCACACGAAAGTGGGCGGTGACGGCGCTGACCTTTGACCCCCACCATGCCGTCCTCTCCGCCGTTCTCCACAAGGCGGGCGGCCTCGCTCTCGGCCGTCTCCGTGGCGAGCACGGGCTCCAGGCTGGACTGCGACACCAGGCGGAGGTAGAACTCCTTGCTATCGTAGCTGATCACTCGCCGCACTTTAGCGCTCTTCTGTGGGGAGGTGAGCGCCGCGTGGTCAGGGGGAGCTCGGTGAAAAGTGACGACCGCCCGCGGTTTCTCAAACGCGAGCCCGAAGGATTGCATCACAAGCGCACAACGTGCAGTGTCTGAAGTTTCTGCATTGCACTGAGAGTTTATAATTAATATCGGAGGTCCTGCGTTATGAGAAATTCAACATTCCTGAGGCAAGAACTTGTTTTCTCCACATCGGAATTGCTGTTAACTTCCCACCAATAAATGCTCGCTTAGGTGACCTCAGAGTTAAGCCTGGGTGTGAACAAACTCACCATCTTACAACCGGGAGCTTGTGATTTTGCCAACTTAAGAATATCTCAGTCATAGTTTAACACGTAGGCTTTCACGACCAATATTATTCATAATCAACGTTTTTGGGTTTAGATCGCGATCTAAACCCAAAAACGTTGATTATGAATCTCAGTCATAATTAGGTGTCAGCTAATATGAAATCACAGCAGAGAACACCCACGGCCATTACAAGTCAAGTTAGATACATTTATTTGGTGACGAGGCCACCAATAAAGCAACACTTTTAATTCTTAAGACAATAATAACACAACACCAAGAGCACTTGAAGGTTGTAGACAAAAGGCTAAATGCTCTGGTCGAATGCAAAGTTTGGACTGGGGCAACGCCAGACCACCTGGAATTCGCCGGGGAGGCCGCAGGTGGCCTTTGGTCGGTTCACACTCACGGCAAACTTGACTCCCAACTTCATTCAGCAAGGTGGCCGATTTCCAACAGCACAGAGCATGACGCTGACTCAACTCCCGAGACTGGCCTGCTTAGCGAGCAAACGCCGTCTAAACCACGGGTGCCTGCGTGAATCTGGAGTTAATCTCACAGCTCGTTGGAAACGTGTCGGCCGCGGCTCACCTCTCTCATCACATCCTGCCCACTCTGCTCCGCCTCATCCATGAGCTTTGGGAGAGGAGAGAAACAATAATAATATAAAGAGCAGTCGAGAACGTGGCAGCAGCATCGTTCAACTGGGGGGACGAGCGAGCCACGGTCGATTCGGGAAGAGGACCCAGCTTCATCCAATTACAACGTCTGTACGTACGTACGTATGATGTGCTTCTTTCGCACTGTACGTAGATTTAAAAGCACATAGCTCCAGTGGCTTCCTGATATCGGAAGGGCGTTCCAGACGGACGCAGGAGCGCATCTGAACGCACGCGATGAGATGACCGGCTTTGCTCGCCGCTGCTGCGAGGATGACCAAAGTTTGCGCGATGGTTTATGCTCCTCGAACTGTGGTTCATTTGTGGCAAGCATTTTGTGTGCAATGAGTGTGATCTTATAAACTCTGTGAATTGTGACTCATGCGGCTGAGCTGGAGCCACGGGATTGGCTCGTGTGCAGCTGATGGGGGGGGATTGTTGTGTCATGTGACCACGAGGAATGGTGGCGTCTTTAAGATGGATTCATCCAGCAGTGGATTGCCTGTGACCGATGATGATTTAATGTTTGCATAGTTTATTTAAAGTTGCCTTGTGCAATGTGTATGGAAGCACATGAGATATATACATGTGAGTGGCAGGTATATGTTAAAAGAAGCTGTGTACAGTTTTATGTCTGTATTGTATTCATACAAATTATACTTTATTGAATACACACTGATGTATTTAATATACGTAAACGTGCATTTTAGTGTTTGTATAAAGAAGCTGACTTTAACACTTTTTTTTATTCCTCAACCAATGCTGTACATTTTCGTTCATTCTTGATGGACGTTCATTTAAGCATTTACGTCTTGCAGGTTACACCACTGCTGTGATCCCAGCGCTGACACTCAGCAGTTTTTGTCAGACAGATGCCCTCCAGCTCGGAACAACATCCAGGGAGGGCCCACCGGTTAATTTGAGTTAAGTGTAGGTTATTCTCCACAAGGACACTGGCAACACACAATTACGCAGGCATGAAAGTGAAGGTTCTGTGCACGCGTCTGTGTACATGCGTGGCTAACATCACTGGCGAGTGATATTAGAACATGTCCTGGACCTCCACGATGTCAAGCACCTGGGAGACATGGTGCTAGCCACACCACCCCTTTGCCGACAGCACTTGCCTCAACAGCATGTAAAAGACTGCGCAGGGAACCTTTGTCTGTGTATGTGTGCAAGTGTAATGACAGGGGAGTCAGCCTGCGGTGTGAGTGGACTAGTGGCCACGGGAGGTAATGACAGGGGAGTCAGCCTGCGGTGTGAGTGGACTAGTAGCCACGGGAGGTAATGACAGGGGAGTCAACCTACGGTGTGAGTGGACTAGTGGCCACGGGAGGTAATGACAGGGGTGTCAACCTACGGTGTGAGTGGACTAGTGGCCACGGGAAGTAATGACAGGGGAGTCAGCCTACGATGTGAGTGGACTAGTGGCCATGGGAAGTAATGACAGGGGAGTCAGCCTGTGGTGTGAGTTGACTAGTAGCCACGGGAGGTAGTGGCAGGGGTGTCAACCTACGGTGTGAGTGGACTAGTGGCCATGGGAGGTAATGACAGGGGAGTCAGTCTGAAGTGTGAATGGACTAGTGGCCACGGGAGGTAATGACAGGAGAGTCAGCCTGTAGTGTGAATGGACTAGTGGCCACGGGAGGTAATGACAGGGGAGTCAGCCTGCAGTGTGAATAGACTAGTGGCCACGGGAGGTAATGACAGGGGAGTCAGCCTGCAGTTTGAATGGACTAGTGGCCACGGGAGGTAATGACAGGGGAGTCAGTTTGCGGCGTGAGTGGACTAGTGGCCACGGGAGGTAATGGCAGGGGAGTCAGCCTGCGGTGTGAGTGGACTAGTGGCCACGGGAGGTAATGACAGGGGAGTCAGCCTGCAGTGCGAATGAACTGGTGGCTCCGGGAATGTTCGAGAATAGGAGCGTGGCCAGGTGACGTAAGAGGACAGTGGAGTCAGCTGGTGGAGCGAGCGGTCTAGAACCAGCGAGAAGGTTCAAGAATGGGGGCGTGGCCTCAGACCGTATATAAGGGAGATGCGCGGGAGAGTCGGGGCTGTTGCAGTGAGGTCTCCGCCTGTCCGAGTGTGAGCACGTGGCTCACGAATAAAGAAAACCTTCCCAGGATATGTGCGTCGGAGTCGTCTTTACACACGTATACACCTATGAAAGCCAGTATGGCACACAAAGGGGGTGGTATAGCCGGCAGACTGCCACCTTTGTATCCCCAGTGCTGATGTTTACACACTGCACCAGGTACTCATTGAAGGCTGAGTTGACCCCAAGTCACAGCTTTTATCCCAACAACAAAAACAAATGTAACCCGTGTAAGCATTGTCGCCCGCGCGCGCCAAGGTGCACCTACCGAGGCACCAGCGCCGTCACCACCACTGTCTCTATCATTGTATGCATGTTGAACTTCTTACGCGCTGTGGGTAGCCAACCGCGCTAATTGGAGGTTTCGGGGGAAGGACAACAAACTAAACACAAAAAGCAGTTCAAGAGAAATTCGTTTTCAATCTCGATTTAAAAGTGCGCGTAGCTCCGGCGGCTTCGTTGACCGTCGACCGTCGACGTACCTGCGTGTCGTCTCTGTCGGAGCCGCTCGGCGGGTACGGGTAGTGCGCGTAGTGCGCGTAGAAGTGCTCGTTGGGCATGAGCTTGCGGCGCATGCGGCAGGGCCCCTCGGTGGGGTCCAGCATCCACTTGTCGAGGCGGGAGCCCACGGGTGGCCCCCACGGGCCGCGCTCGCGCGTCACCTCGGCCTCCAGGCGCCCCCACTCGGCGGCAAGCAGCCGCGCCACGCTGCACTCGCGCTGGTCCCGCGCGCGGCGCACACAAACAAACACCGCCCCGTGTAGCCTTTAACGAACTGCGGGGGGCAAGTGCTGTTAGCGAGTAGCGCCTGCGAAGGTCGGGACGGTACACGGGTGGGGTGGGTGGCCAGCACCACGCCTGACCGCCTTTGTCTCCCTGGTGGCGATGTTTTTACACACCGCACCAGGTACTCATTTGAGGCTGAGTCAAGCTTAGGGGAAGCCCAGCACCGGTTCAGATGATCGTCAACGGTGTTGGTCGTGAGCGGGAATCGAACTCGGGTCGTCGGGTTCGTGGCGCAGCGCGCTAACCGCTGCACTACCGACCGTGTACGCCAAGGCCTAAGGCCCGAGGCGTATAATGTACACACGCACGGCCCTTGTGTCAATCCACTGTTGGATGAGGGCCTCCCCATGCCGTGCGGGTCATGGAGGCTATTTGACCATACTTCCCCGCAGATGTTAGTGTCGTTTTGTAAAGGCATTGAGCATAGACGTTGGAACGTAGTACAGGATGATAGGTGTTCGCTGACGGCACGATCAGAGAAAGCGCTGTGAGCACGCACCAATTTTGTACGGCACTCCGCTCGCTCAACAATTATGCACGCAACGATTTGCTACAGACCCTCTCGCGATTCAATGAACCATCACGATTCGCAGTTGTGGTTTGATTCAAGACTAGATTATTGTTGTTTGTTTTACTTCGTGTTGAATGCAACACCTCAAGTAGCTGCATTGGTCACGTGAACCAATTGTCTTGCATCATATACAAAGCATAAAAAAATCGATTAAGATTAAATACTTGTATTGTTAAGTGTAAGAATCGATTTTAATCAATGAATCCATGCATCATATTATTCCTGCTAAGCAAGCCACTGTTTTCCAAGTGCTGGCGTTCATCGCAATGTTACAACCACGTTGCCTATCCACAATAATATTTGTCAAAAAAAGAATTAGCAAATCAAATCCGAATGAAGCACTATGGGGAAAGCCCGCCAAAGACTCATGCCCACAGGCGCCGTCTTTTCAGGACGCCGCACTCGGTGTGACGGACCTCACCTCCTGCTGCTGCTTGTAGCGGTATTCCACAAGGTCTCGCACGACCGCGATGTGTGTGAACATCCACACCGACGCATCCTACACAACGCGCACAGGAACCACATCATCACCAGCACCACCATGGCCAAAAGCTAAACTTCACGAATGCAGCTAACTGCCATGGCAAAGTGCTTCACGGCATGCCCTTCTCTCGAGTGGTGGATTGACAATTGTATGTATGTTGAACTTCTTTCACACCATATGTAGCCAACCACGCTAATCGGTGGTGTGGGGGAAAGACAGAAAACTAAACACAAAACGCAGTTCTAAAAAAATGAATTAACAATCTAGATTTAAAAGTGCATAGCCTCCAGTGGCTTCCTAATATCGGAAGGAAGAGCGTTCCAGACGGCCTCAGAAGCGCATCTGAAAGGGCGCGTTGCAGTGACCGTCTTTGTTCGATGGCTGGCCAAAATCCGCTGCGAGGATGACCGAAGTTCACGTGATGACCGGAGTTTGCATGATGGCTATAAGCTTAATTTGAATGGTGGTGATGGTAAAGGAGCTGCTCTCCGATGCGTTTTCCGGGTCGGACCGCGCGCCGTTCTTGACAACCCCAAAAACACGCGAGAGATCCGCGCAGTGAGCAACCACGTAAATCCACCCGGAGTAAGCGCTTGCAGTGGGGGGGGGGGGGGGGGGGGGGGGGTGTGCAGCAGAGGTCGCAACCGGGCAACCGGGTACCCGATACCCGTACCCTACCCGATACCCGGCTACCCGTACCCGGCCGGGTACGGGTAGCCGTTTGCGACCCTGGTGCGGCCGGGTACGGGTACGGGTAGGCCGTGAGTCACCGGTGAGTAACCGTTTGTCACTCATTTCGGGTAGGGTACGGGTAGGGTACGGGTAGGGTACGGGTAGGGAACGGCTACCCGTACCTGGCCGGGTAACGGGTACGGGTACCCATTTGCGACCCTGGTGCGGCCGGGTACGGGTACGGGTAAGGAATCAAAACCCGTTTGCGACCTCTGCCGTGCAGACGACCGGCGACGCGGCCGTTCACCTGCAAGGACGGTGCGGAGCGGTTGGCGGCGCTCTCCTTGCGCTGCTTCCTGTTGCCCGTGAGCCGCGTGAGCGCGAAGCCCCCGCCGCTGCTGCCGACGCGCAGGCGCGAAGACACCGTCTGCTCCGCTCGGCTCAGCTGCTTCCTCTCGTGGCCTGCGAGATGCACCGCCGCGGTATTTTGCAACGTGATAAGCCACTTGGTTGAGCTTTCATTTGTGGCCAGGTTCCTTCTGACAAAGGGCTGCACGCAGCTCAGTGGGCCTTACCTGGTAAAATAAAAGGCTTAAGTTTAAGGAGCACAATGAGGAGTGACGGTTATATTCCTGGATTTGAATCGGGACTATCACAGGCGTTGTAGGGATTAACCGGGATTTCGTATGGATGTAAATTTTGGACACTGTAGAGATGTGGGTCATCATTACGTAACCACGAAGTGGCTCTTTACTTGGGGCATAGTATGTCAACCAATTAATTTAAGCAATTAGGACGAATGAGTTTGCCGAACATGTAGAATCGGCCGCGTGAGAATGTTTATGTTTTCAGCTCAGTCACTGATGGTCGAACAAAAGGCTCCACAATCAGTTCCTCCACGTCACCTTCAGGGTGACTGCGACTCCACTTGTACATGAAGCAAAATGGCTCATTTGGACAATGCTACTGCTGACCTTTGGCCTGCGGGGAAGTCACAGGAAATGGGCGTTGGCACGGTGATGGCCCAAAATACACATCAGGGTTAGCACTGTGGTGTCGTCAGGAGACCGACAGATGGACTTACACACCCATTACCTGACCTTTGGCGTGGGAAAATGGTAAGCACGCCAGCTTTACAGCTGAAAGCGCGAACTCTGCACCAATGGAAATGTACGTGAGCATGTAAAACCCTTCTTTGAACGTATCAGTATTCAAATGCATACCGGGGGTGTTATCTGGTGTTAGCAAGAACGCATAAGAGAATATTCGTTTCTGCCCATCTTGTATCTAAATAATGTGCATTTATATAAATACGAACTAGCATGAACATATGATGAAAGTGTGGCCTCAATGATTAGTTGATAATGTTTAAACACCCATAGCAGTATTAATACGGTATGTATGTTGAACTTTCTTCTCACCGTATGTAGCCAACCGTGCTAATCGTAGGTGCGTTATAAACTGAACTATTTAATTTTATCAGGTAAGGCCCACTGAGCTACATAGCTCTTTTTAAGAAGCGGCCTGGCCACAAATGATAGCTCAACGAAGTGGCTGATCACGTGGAGATGTATAGTTGGCAAATAATCTAAGCGCATGTTTCTAAATGTGGAGAGAAAAACCGGAGGTCCCGGCGAAAAATTCATGCGACAATGGGGAAAGAGACACGCATTCCAAATATATAACAGGCGTCAGGGTCGGGATCGAACCCTACGACCTCCTGTATACCAGGCGAGGTAGTTAACATCTCGCCGGCGTGGCGAGATGTCACTCAGCACCAACTGCTCGGGGCCTTGCAAAAACCTCCCAGCGACTGTGCCGGCGATGCTGTGGGCGAGTTGCCGCGAGGGCGTGCGACGGTCGCACCGAGGTACGTCTGCCAGGCCCTGGTAGACGGCTCCTCCAGCAGGTGGCGCAGCGACGCCAGGTCGGATCGCCCCGGGTCGGACAGCGTGTCCGGGGGCAGCGGGCTGCGGCACAGCACCTCCACCACCGCCCGCTTGCTGCCGATCAGCTCCTGCCACACCCGGCGCACCAGCTTCACGAGCTGGGCGCGCGCTGACCGCATCACACACAACGCACACCGGCTACAGGCCCGACGCGCTACCTCGCGTGCCGGGGCTCGGCAACGATAGCGCAGGCGTGGAGCGATTTCGTCTCAACCCGTGGATTCGATGGGTCGTCGCGATTCAGGGTTTTCGTGATTAGATTCCAGAAATCAATTCAATCGATTCTTGGATAAAATATTTACGCTTGTAATATTGTTGTTCGTGCCTTAAACCTGAAATTAGCATATGCATTTAGAGATATGGTTAATGGTCTATTGTTAAAAGCACAATAACACGCATTTCATAGCGAGCATAATAACTGACGATTTAATCAACGAATCAATGCATCATCACAATCCTAATAAAACACAGAGTTTTGATCAACGGCCGTTGGCTTGCACGCATAAACACCTCTCATATCTTGCCTTACAGGACAGAGGGCGAGATCCCTGGCAGACAATAATACTGACGGCTCATGAAAAAAACAACAACATAGAGTGGGGGTTATGTTTCAAATGGAATATCGCATTATTTACCCTGGCTGGCTTCCTCGTCATCAGGGTCAGAGGTGGACAGGACGTGCCAAGCCGAGCGAGCCTCCAGGCCGAAGCCGTCTACAAATCTGGGGGACAAGGGGAGACGGATACAATTGTAAAGGATTTAAAGCTTTCGTGACTGCAGGGATTCATCTTCTTGGTTCTTTCGGTAAAGTCACGCTATCGCCTCGACAGACCTGGTCTTCACCTGAGGACGGCTGCTTGTGTTGTGGCCGAAACGTCGTGAGAATTATTTTATTATGTTTTATTTTTGTTATTTTATTACTTCCCTTCTACGTGACTTTACCGAAAGAACCAAGAAGATGAATTGTAAAGGATTTAAATTAAATCTAGCAAAACCAAATTGGCTAAAACGTACTTAAGAAAATTAGCACATATGCATTGCTTTATATATATATATAACAATGTAATCATGAGACCAATATTGGTCAATAATCTGCCGAAATGTGAGCATACATTTACATTGCTATCATTGGTCAAAACAAACCACATGAGTCAAGTGGCTCAGTGTTAAGTTTAGACCAATAAAAAAAAAACTCACATGTTCCTTTGCATTTTAAGGGCAGGCAAATAAAAAAATTGCAATTTAAGGACAGTTTCACTATATTCTTGGTTATTTACCGAAAGAACAAAGAATATGAATCCCTGCAGTCACGAAAGCTTTAAATCAAGACAGTTTAACTGTTGTAAATTAATGAAGATTAATATTGCAAATGTCTTGCTTTACCTAGTGTGTGCATGCAATGTGAAGAGCAGTAGTCAGGGCACTCTGGCAGATAACATCAGTGGCACGCACTCTCCGATTACCTGATAGGACAACTCAGAATTATATAATTACCATAATCTACCAAAAATTCCCTGGCATAGCACTAGTCGTCCAGGCCTTAGTAGGTGCTCACTGAAATCAATTGCCCCAAGATGGCTGGGTGGGTAAGAGGTCGGAGCACCGAGCTAGAACTTCCGAGATCCTGGGTAGGACGAATCCTGTGATTAAATTGGTTTCTCTAACGCAGGGGAGTTGACATTCCCAGCCCGGTCACCAATGACTTCACAAGAATTTGGCTAAATTCCAGCTCTCGTGATTAAAAATATCGACAAACGTTGCCCTCGGTGGCAGAGCGGGTGGGAAAGTGCTCACCCATACCGCGGGAGCCAATAAGTTACTTGACAGGATCTCAGAGGTTTGCTCTGTGATATCCGATTCTGTGCGCTGTCATGTAAACATGAAGGGTCGCACTGATATGACAGCAAAATAGCACGAGCGGAATAAAATCAGGGGGAAAAAAAGAGAACACATTTTAAGATAAATAACAAAAACAGGTACAAAAACTCACTTTCCCCAACGGCCTAATAAGTATAAACACGAGATCTTTGGTGACGCGAGTGGCGGGTGGGTAGTGGGGGGGTGGGGCAGGGGAAAGCGGCCGTACCTATGCATGCGAATCTGCAGCAGGCAGTGCAGCAGGCAGGCAAAGAAGTCCGGCTGGTAGTTGCCGGGCCCGAGCAGCAGGTTGCGGTGAACGAGCAGCTGGCCCAGGCTCTCCTGGAGGACTCCCTGCTGGGCGGGCCAGCGGCGCGGGCGGGACAGCTGGTAGAGCACGGTGCGGTTCAGGCAGCCGTAGAGGCCGTCCAGCGACAGCCCCTGGGACCGCTGCTTCGCCTGCGGTCACGCACGATGGCCCGCGGAGGCATTTGGGAGGCGTCAAAACGACGCTCGGCATCGCGGTGGGGGGGAAACTCGCACGAGAGATGCTGCTCGCTCGCTCGCGCGCGCGCGCGTGTACATCGTCAAATTTTTCTTCCGATTCCTTTCCTTTGACGTACGTCTACGGAACCGGGAGGAAAAACTAAAATAACTTTATCGGTACCGAGGCTCCCGCAAGGCCATGCGGGGAGGTCGTGTGGCACGGGTTGGCGCCAGCTTTAGGAGAGTGCGGTCGTATCGCTGCAGTTCTCTGCGGTGAGTACGATGTCTTTAAAAACAGCGGCGCTATGTATATATAAGCCATTCAGTGGAACCAAGAGTGCAAATGAAATTGTAAAAACCTGTGAAATCAGTTCCGCGATGAAGTTAAACACGAGTCGTGGCTCCCTGCTGAACATGCCCTGCCACAGCTTGTCCACCACCCTCTGAGCAAAGTAGAAGATCCCATTTGCCACCGCAGTGTAGGTGCCACGGCCTGAACCATTGTCTGCTGGAGGGGGAGTAGGCAACGGAGACAATCACACAACTGAAAAGATCGCATAATCAAATCTGTGAATCTGCAAATGACAGAAGAACAGTGCAGTCCGGAAAACCAAGTGTTTGAAACATCACCCAAAAATGTGTCAAAAGCACACAGCTTCTGGTACATTATGAAAAAACCATCAGCATTCCCTGCAGGAGTGCATTGTGGTCTTCCTGTCTTTGGTCACCATCAAAATGTATTTGAGCAAGTATGACCGATAGGCAGCAGTGATACAGTGACATACAACTGTGGACCGGTTTCATCTTAATTAGGACTCATCAGTACTGTATCATGCTCACTGCTGCAAAGTATGATGATGATGATGACTAGGGTCTCGTCGGTGTCGTCAAAACGTCTCACTTTTTAGATAAAAATGCTGCTATGTCATCCCCAATTTGTTCTCATGCACATTTTTATTCTCAGCAGTCTCGTGTTATATTAATGTCATGAAAAATTTGAAATTTTACACAAACCTGTTCTCCAGAAGAGTCCTGTACGTAAGCATGTCACAAAATAAGCACACGTTACGTAAGGGTTCTGCAAAAACTACGTCCCATTCCGAAATGTATTGAACAACATTTTCATTTTCACTCACATATACAATATTAAGACGCCTTATTTCATGTTCCGTGGAAACAACCACACAAATAAACCCGCCGCCGCCAGCTCGTGTGTTAATACCAGCCAATCGCTGTGTTTCCATTGAGAGGCAGAAACAATAACGTAACTCACCATTGGAATCTCATTTGCCAGTAAAAATATGATAATTGGTTTTTTACCCTTCTATATGGCAACAAAACTGACACCTTTTTTACGCCTTTTGGTGTCATCTGGTCCAACCCATGTGAGACTAGGCTCTAAGGAAAGCTGTCTCGGGTGTGGACCAATCAACTTCAAGGACAGTGCACATTATCAGAGTTATGTTTTTTGTTTGCATTATGACTGCAGGTATTGTGGTCTATGTAAACATGACTCCTTGTAAAAAAGGTGTCAGTTTTGTTGCCAGATAGAAGGGTAAATTTTTTTTTATCAATAACGTAACTCTTTCAAATTAAATTTGCTAAATGAGTTGCGTAACGTTACAGTTTGACGAATAATTTCTGTTCAGTGGTCACTACCAGAGTCATTTACTGTAAATAATGAACTGCTTTTCCAGACTACTCCAGATTTTAAACATCTATGAATCGGTTAGAATCTATCATGTGTTGCTCATTTCGATTTAAAACATATTCAATGTCCCCTACATGCATTTACTTGTCAAAATGTAAGAGGATGCATTCCCAGCCACGGCTAACATCATTGACAAACTATATTTGAACCAGTTCTGAGCCACCCCTTCACCAACTCGCAACTGACCAGTGTGCTGAAGGGTGGTCAAACAACCCCCTTAACCAACACACCGTGGGGGAGGTCTTTATCCAACAGTTAACTGACAAAAGGCCATACATGAAATTATATTAATACTATACAGTGGCACCTCGGTATACGTCGTTAATTTGTTCCAGAAGGTAGGACTTATACCGAAAATGACGTTTACCAAACTAATTTTTCCCATAAGAAATAAAGGGAAAGAAAATAATCCGCTCCAGAGTATAAGAAATTATATTTTTCATGGCATATCATACATTAATGGGGTTGTATAAAATAAATTAGACACTACTTGTTACTAAAATGCACACATAAACTAAAATAAATGAATAAATAAATTAAAATAAATTGAAATAAAAATAAAATTTAACATCACTGTAACATCACTTTACCTTGCCGAGAGGAGTTGATAGCCTACGAGGATGGTGGTGAGGAATGGGAGGAGTCGTGAACGGGGTCTACGCGGGTACGCGGTGACTCATCCAGACCCATACAAGTTCTAGCAAGCGCGTCGTATCCCAAGCAAGATGTCGTATCCCAAGCAAGATGTCGTATCCCAAGACATTTTTTCTCTCGTCAAAACACGACGTGTAGTAAATTCGACGTATTCCAAAGCGGCCGTATACCGAGGTATGACTGTATTAGAATTTTTTTTAAATCAAGAGGTGAACTGGTAACCCAGTAACCGAGTCCACGGGCTGAATGAAAGAGACGCCGTGCTCGCGTGGGTTTGCTCACTCAGTGCGTCGGCCGACTGTAGGTGTCCCATGATGCTCAGCAGCAGCTCCGTCTGATACTCCCTCTGCTGGCTCTGGGTGGCCCTCTCCGGCGAAGCCTGTCAGGTGATAGGTGTGGGCGACGGTTAGAATGTGCCTGTGCTCAACCAAGCGCAGTCTAAAGTAACACCATGGCTCTAATGCCTACGCAGCACTGGATTCTGGGCATGCATCACCACGCCTAGAAGAGTTACTTACAGCATGGCCCGGGGAACCTCTGGCCCTACGGGACTGGACATCATTCCGTACGGCCTTCAGCCACATGAGGCCTACCGCTTCGAAACAGCCCACAAGCAACATGTATAAATAATCACTTCAAGCATCTTAACCACGAGAATCGGGGTATCAGAAGAAAACATTGCTGACCTGGCAACACTACCGCATGTGTCATTTTGTGTGCACTCAGTCACTTCTGTTTCTGCAAGGGCTTCTTTACACCGGGTCGACGAGAATGTTATTTATCGCTTTGTTGTCTGATAATGGCACGGTGTGTGTGAACGTTTCACCCGCCAACGGAAGTCCTACTTGGCCCCGGCATAAGTATACATTAAGAAACACGCGTTTAGATTATTTAGCTGCTATACATTTCCATGTTTTAGCCATTTCGTTGAGCTATCATTTGTGGCCATGTCGCTTCTGGAAAAAAAGCTAAATAACTTCGTGGGCTTTACCTGGTGAGATAAAAACAATTGTTTAGTATTATTTGTATATTTGTGTGATTTGTTTACCTTTCCTCTGCTTTGCACTCCTATCGTGTTTTTGTACTGTTTGTTGTTGCAACGTTCTGACCCACCCCTACTGAACATCTGTGAAAAATAACTTTATTGCCCATCGGATTCCTCCAGTATAAATGAATATCATGGTTCTGATTCTGATACGTGTGTACACGTGTACTCTGTACGAGCACCTTTTTGCGAACGTAACCTACACGGGGAGTGACCCGGCCGAGCGGCAGAGCGTTCGCTACTCGTTGCAAAGATTCGTGGTTCAAACCCCAAAAAGGGCCGCCCTGGTAAATGCCACAGGTGCGTTCAACAAAATGTACACACCGTCTGCTTCAAGGTGATCTTTAACTTCTTGTGAATTCATTTGAGTGGGCCATTGTGTGCCGGTGTCATGATCCAAATTTGGAAAATTACCCACAAATTACTCAATTATGGATACACATAGTAATCATTGCTCATTCCTGGCAGACTAACGCCCACTGGCAGGTCAGTGCAACACTGGGAAAGACGCCACTGGGGTCCACCATATGAAAAGAGACGTGATGATGCAAGACGCTTTGGGTTGCCAAGGCATTTAAGCGCCATATAAATGTAAAGAGAGATTATTATTACAACATGTACAGCCTTTAGTCAATCCACTGCGGGATTAGGGCTTCCCCACTAGCGCAGCTCATGAAGGCAACTTGATCACACTTCGTTACACTCAGTGCGGGCTTGGTCTAGGCGGGTTGCAGATGTGGGAACGCAAAAGTACAACACAACAGATTTTTCCGAACTTCCCTCTGCCGCCCACCGCCTTAGCCCCACTACACGCGGCATCTGCACACGCCAGGCAGGCCATGATTCATTCGAACCGCCGAACCGCTGGGGGGCCGGGGGGGGCAGCGTGGCGGCCGGCCACGGGCGCTCACCTCGAGCAGGACGTCGAGGAGCGGGGGCGACTGCCTGCTCACGTTGCCCTGCAGGAGGCTGTCGACGGCGATGGTGCGCAGGAAGTCGACGACGAGCTTGCGCGACGGGTGCTGCGACAGGAAGCTGCTGCGCGCCGACACCATCTGCTCCGAGCGGCTGCGGTTGAGGCCCATGGGTGCCTCCGACGTGAAGACGCCGCTCTCGTCCTCGGGGCCCTCCGAGTCCTCCGCGTCGCCCACCTGAGCCGCGGTGAAAGCGCCACCCCCCGCCCCGTGTGATCAATGGTTCCAATGTCGGCGGAATGGCCGGGTGATGCATTCGTTTTTTTTTTGTTCGCATGCCGCCTCGGTTGCCCCTTACTGCGTGGACCACAGGTTTCACCACCCACTCTGACAAAGAGTACCGTTACTCTCATGACGGTCAAAATTATACAAATCATTCTCTGAGCCATAATTTATCTAAATTAATTGGAAAAATAACTAATAAGCGGATGGCTTACTTGAACCAAAAACAACACAAACAGCCTTTCTGGTGTTGCGGGCAGGAGGGATCTACCCAAGGAGATACGAGACGTCATTAAGCAGAGTCATCATCATTCTTTTGAGATCGTTCCCTGGCAAAGATGTCGCTCTGTGGCCAGTACACGAGTCGGGAACTGATGATTTGACTTTAGTCTATAAACACACTTAGTGATAAAAGACCCTCAAAAACTTTTACTTGCTCTGCTGAAACGCTTTTGCGATTCAATCTCGCATCAAACGGCACCACTCAGGGTTTATAGTCACAGGGTGGCTTCCGAACAACAATAACAAAACAAAAAATCGATTCACATCGTTACTTTGCATTAAGACGCATTCGTTTGTGGCCTCCACGTTTTATTTTATTGACCGCGACTGAGGAAATTTCAAAGCACCGCTCACCATTGATTAGGCAGCGGGACGTTAAATTTGGAGTTAAAAGTTCACGCCAAACAAGAGCATTTCAACCACGGTTAATGTAGGCAAACTTAGTTCTGGCTTCATTAATCAATTAAGCAGATGCATAGATGATAAACAACAACAAAAAACTGTGCGAATTTTATAATTGTTGGCACAGCACTGCTCACACGCGAAGCAATCTGGCCCACAAGGTGTCACGCCCCGATAATTTTCACGAGGGGGATACCAAAGTGAATGCTGACATGAACGAAAAAGCAATCTGCTTCTGAAACCTGAAAAAAATTGTTGAAAGGGCCACTGGAGAAAACCGGCTGAGCTTGATTTTGAAATGCATTGAGGAGAGGTGTGGCTAACAGCGTGGATATTTTTGCACGTAATCAGAATCAAATGTACACCCCCAGCAACATGACGAATTCTTGCAATTCAGGGTCACAATTTAAATCCCAAAAAGACGTATGAATATTTTGTCTTGTTTTTATTGCCTTTTGGCAAAATGTGAAGGTGTATTCTTTGCAAAGAATGTGCACAAGTCATCGATAATGTATTTTAAATGCCACGATTAGATGGGTGTATCACAAAACATATTTTGGTAAGTAAAAAATGCGGCCAATTACAATACGAAAAACTGCCGCAAATCGAGGGCGCGATTCAATTTGGGAATAGATTTTTTTTCTTCAATGTGTTGAATGTAGCCTCCCTAGTGGCTGCAGGGATCAGTGCACCGATTACAAACAAACGAATCGAAATAAACTGCTTCTTACACGCACGACTACGACGCACATATCGTGAGCATAGTTCATTTTAATTGACAAAGTGATGCAGGGGCACCACAGTGGAGAGATGTTAACCTCCTCGCCTGGTTTACAGGAGGTCGTGGGTTCGATCCCAACCCTGATGCCTGTATATTTGAAATTTGCATGTTCTTCCCGTGGCCGCATGGATTTTTTTCTGGGTCCTCTGGTTTTTACCTCCACATTTAGAATTAACGTGCGTTTAGAGTATTTGGCTGCGATACATTTCCACGTGATAAGCCACTTCTTTGAGCTATCATTTGTGGCCAGGTCGTTTCTGAAAAATAAGCTAATAGCTGAGTGGGCCTCACCTGGTAAAAAAAAAAAAATTCAAACAACAAAAAAATTGCCAAACTGGATCTGTCACATGCTGGATAGACGCCGTGAACGTGTGTGAATCTGCCGAATCCGGTTATGCCGGCTCAATGAGGTGACTGCTACCAGTCCAGGTCGTCCCCAGGATATGGGCGGCTTAGTGTCAAACTGCACATTATGCAACGCCGGCCAAAAAACGTGATGACACGGCGAGGATATTTCAGCATATTTACACTGCGTGCCTACAGCATGGGAGGTGGCAGAGAAAGCCCTTCAGGGTGTAAAGAGCAGTCTTAATTTACGAGTGACTATTACGACGCTGATGGTGGCATACGCGGGGATCTTCAGGAGCAGGCCTACAGAAGCCAGCCTCGCAACACAAATCCTCATGATACGCCAACCCGGATGGTTATCCACGCAAGTCACGTGACCACGTGGGCTGCTGTATAGACAAGCAAGTAGAGCGATGCGGACTGCATACGCTGTTGTTGCGTAACTGCCTATTGTTTAGGCTGCAGTTTTTTGCAACTTGATTTCCCTGAAGTTGCATTGTTATGTTGGACCGACAGTTCCTTTTTGAGTACAAGGTCACAGAAAGGAGGGCAAGCAATTGGACTTCAAGGCATTACGAATACGTCCACGTCTGTGACATGCCGACGTTGCATTACTCCACATGCTTTGAGAAAAAACGAAACCCGTGTAAACGAAGGAAACCTCGCACTACTGTGCGAGTTGTCGCGCGCTTGCGCTCTACAGCTCTTGATGCAGTTCTCCGATATTTCCTCCATCCTTTGATGCGTGTTCAGTTCGTACTGCAGTGTCGCTCTGAATTCATTTTGTTAAGAAGCTTCCAGGCACGTGGAGTGAAAAACGTCGGACATCGTGCCGAACAACGCGCGGAACGACGCGTAAACACGTCGAGGGAGCTAAATGAACGTCATTGTACCTGAAGGAATGTCATGCTCCTGGGGAAAAAAAAACCAAGCGCGCTTACTTGAGTGGTACGCGTCACGAGCAGGCAAGGAATGACCTTTGCACAAAACTGGTTACGGTCCAGCGGCCAAGAGAGGTGCAATGTGATGGAGAGGTTACAACCAGGGGCACATAGTGAGAGTGAGATGAATGAATGAATCTGGAGCTGTACAACCCTGGAGGGGGTGGGGGGAGGGGTTGGGGGTGGCTTGGGGAGAATTCGTTCAACAGGAATAGAAACTGGCGCCTGTGTGAGAGCGATGAGCCACCAGCCACAAGGTTTATGGGTAAAATCCAGGCTTCGGCCACATTTGAGCCAGGTTCTCAAGAGCAACGAGCCGACGATATTCTCAGCTCGGTCACCACATGCCATTGGGTACGTTGCATTACGGAGTTTAACTCAACTTGGCGCAAAAAAATCCTTCGATGATACAGATTGTATTTCTGTCGGATGAATGGAACGTGGGGCAGCACTTCTTAAGAGAGCACGAAGAGGAAATCACTTAGTGCTGGGTTAGAGAGAGCTGCTGTAGTATCATCCTCAGCTATTCCTTGACCCAATGAAGTTCAGCTCAAAATATGACTCAATTAGCATAGTTTGGATATAACACGCAGTTTAATTAAATGTCAAGTTTTAAACAGGATTATAATTATGTTGTTGATGGTAATGATGATAAAAGTCAAATTGTCTCCCAGATCAATTGCTGTGGGCTCATTTCACCCCAATAGGAATTTAACTAGCAATTATTCAATTAGATGTGTGCATTGATTCATCCCCGACAAAGAAAAATTATTCCGCTTCTGGATCATGATCGAATAATCATGGCGAATGTAATGGTCACTCATGGCTGCAGAGGTCATAACGAATCGGTTACATGCAACACAATAAAATGTAATGACGTCGCTTCTTAAGTAAGCGATTCAACGCGTGTATTGTGAGCTTAAACAGTAAATATTAATTGGCGAATCTGTGCCTAGTTACAACTCTGCTTCCAATAATTCGTCAAACACTCCATCCAACTGCATCACCCGGCCAGAGTAATTGCACTAAGCGCTCACGAATTTAGGACACGTTACAGCCCATATGTCGAATGCCAGCAACTGTTGCTGACCGACCAAAACCAGTCACTGCTGCCCAATGATTAACAGCAGTGACTGGTTCCCAATAGCCAGTGGCCAGTCAGATGGCTGGGTGTAGCTCACCATCTCAGAGTGCGGGCGGAGGTTGTAGGGGAAGATGGTGGCAGCGAGGGAGCCCAGGAACTCGGGATGGGTCCACACGTTGGCCAGGCCGCCGACGTTGTGGTAGAGGTACTGCAGGAACTGCAGCTGAGTCACGGGGTACTCGATGAGCCACGAGCCCTCCTCCTCGGCCTGCCAAGGCTTAAGGAGGGGGGGGAGGCACAGGGGAGCAGAAGGACACCACAAAATCCTCCACCAATAATATCTGTTTCACCAACGATCACCGAGGCGTGGGACATTGGATCATTTGCTTTGAAATATTCGCTAAAAGCTTCGGGACATTTTGTACTCTTTGTCTGAAATTAAATCCCCGGATCGTTTCCCTTGCGTGTGGTTTGTTTCGCCGTGTTTTTTTGGTCGCTTCCTTTTCCATTTTTTTGAAATTAGGAAAACCTTCCTCAATGAAGGTGGATGTGGCTTTTTAAAATACTTTGATATATTGTCTCCAACGATTCAGTCGCCTCTGAGTAGTGTGTCTTAGTGCTCTAGTTGTGTGAAAGTCACGTGTAAAAGCATTCTCCAAATAATCATCATAATAAACAATCTGTGTCCGTACTCTTTGGTTCTTTCGGTAAAGTCACATAGGTATAAAATAAACTAAATTAAATCACGACGTTTAAAAAACTTCTAATCTAGATTGAATCTGTGTCCAGCTTGAGAAGTGCTCGGCCATGGAAAGAGCAGCCGCCGAGAGCGTGCGCCGAATTCTCCGCGTTCGCAGCACAAATCTTAAACGGTCAACCATCGAGCGCGCGATTCGCGTCGCACGTACTCACGTTGTCGAACTTCTTCCGCGCCGTACGTAGCCAACCGCGCTAATTGGGGGTGCGCGTGTATCGCGAGCGCACTAATCGAAGGTGTCGACCAGCAAAATCGTCGACGTCGACTCCTCGGGGGGCGTGTCGAGAGCCATGGCGGCGCACCGCCCGCGCGTCACGAGAGATGTTGCCACACCTGGTTGACGGTGGAGCGCAGCATGGCGAGGAGGGTGAGCACCGCCTCCAGGCACGGCGCCGGCACGGATGGCGGCGCCGAGAACACGCTGGGCGGCAGCCCCAGGCTGTAGCGCCAGATCGAGTCAAGGTCCAGCTGTGGTGGAGGGCAGCACGCAAAGACCACGATCCCCCACGGTATAGCCTTAACAGACTGTTGGGGCAAGTGCTGGTATTGGGCACCGATGAGGGTGTGGGTGGCCAACGCGACGCCTGACAGCCTTTGTCTCCCCAGTGCTGATAGTTACACAGAAGGTTCTCATTGAAATCTGAGTTGACCTAGGAGAGGCCCAGGACCATTTCAAATATTTGCCACTGTTATTGGTTGTGAGCAGGTTGTCGGGTTTGTAGCGTTGTACGCCAAGCAGCGCACGTCCACGAGGGAGAGGATACGCACGCAAGCACCCTAAGTGTGTGCGTATCAAATTCCGCCGTTAACCCTTTGACGAAAACACGCACTGCTGGCAGCATAGGTTGCTGCAAGCCAACGCTGCTTGCTTTGCTATGCTGCATTGTCTTTTTTAGTAATCGCAAGTCATTGTCTTTATTAGTAATCACAACTGCCTCTTGCCGAGATTCAGACAGCTCGATCGAGGGATTGATTGGATGGAATGAGGGAATGCGGTTGCAAAGCTTTAATGGAGAATACTGAATGCTTTTTTTTCTCTCACAAATGTTTTGTTGTAGATTATCGGCATGACATTCCCGAAATAGCTATTGCAGCAGACATAATTTAGCAGACTAAATTTAAGGATACAGCCATTGAAGCAAAAGAGAGGTACTGTACATACATGATGAGTGTACAAGAGGCAACATAGCCAGATAAATAGGTGACAAAGAGATTCACTTAACGGGTCTTTTATAACCCTCAAATGTTTTGTGTTTTACGGTTCCATGCGACGAGGTGGACATATAAGTCTTGCTGGTGTGTGTCCAACTCAAAAAACAAATTTACCCCGGGCCCAACTTAGGCAGTGAAGAATGTATGACTCCAAAGCAGAGGTCGCAACCGGGTACTTGATACCCGTACCCTACCTGATACCTGGCTACCCGTACCCAGCCGGGTACGGGTACGGGTACCCATTTGCGACCCTGGTGCGGCCGGGTACGGGTACGGGTAAGGAATCAAAACCCGTTTGCGACCTCTGCTCCAAAGTCTCAATGGGGAGGGGTAATAAATGCTTTGCGTGTGTGCTGACACACTGAACGTACACTTTACCAATTCAATGTTTCCACTTACATTCCAACTGTGCCGTCGGTGTCATGCCACCACGGGGTAAACGAATTGACATCGGAAATCTCACAGACAAGCACGGCACCTCAATTCTCCCACTCATGCAGTCTCCTCAGAAGGCCTCTTCACGCAAACCGGCGCTTGTTGTATGTTTAATCAAACTGAAAATTTGATTTCTCAGAGCTGACATTTTTTTAAAACGAAAACACCACAAATAGAATTGATGACTGGGGGTAAGACCATCGGCTAGCATCACTTTGTGAATCCATTATATTATTATTATATTATTTTTATTATTTTATTACTTCCCTTCTACGTTACTTTACCGAAAGAACCAAGAAGATTTGTGAATCCAGTTTCACGATCGGTGGCCGAAACCCAGATTCGAACCCAGCGTCCCGTACCCCACCGCCCGCTTAGCTCACTCATCGGCAGCATTTCAGACATTCGCCAGGCTACTTCGAAAGCTCGCCACTGGGCTCACCAACCTCTCGACATCACCCGTGCAAATGCTGCCGATCAACTAGAACTGCCTTTTGTGTTTAGTTCGTTGTCCTTTCACCGTGCCTCCGATTGGCACGGTTGGCTACGTACGGTGCGACAAAAGTTTAACACGCAGTAGAACCCCTCTTCACGACCACCCCTGTTAACGACTAATCGCGTAACGATAGGCCTCCATAGGGCCCAATGTCCGCTTATTGACCTTTCCCCTGTTAACGACGGACTATTGTAGGTAAAATAAGTAGTAATTTATGCATTGATTAACCATGTTTCTTTTAATATGTGTTTATAATGTTGTTTGTATATTTATGTATTAATATCCATTGTGTTTTGGTTCAATGCTATCGGAACGAATTAAGCCTTTAACATGTATTTCCTACGCTCGCTTAACGACCAAATCACTTAACGACCGGTTTCGTGGAAACCAATTACCGTCGCTAAGAGGGCTTCTACCCGACATACACCCCCCTCCTCGTAGGAGAAGAAGCGTTCCGAGCGGCAAGCCGGCCGGCAGCCCCCCTCACCTGCACGTTTTCGGGAACGGAGGTGATGGGGCGGTTGAGGAAGAGGGCGAGCAGGAAGAAGTAGAGCTGCGGGAGGCTGGCGTGGCTGGGCAGGCACGAGAGCAGCACGGAGAACCCGGGGAGGAGGCACGCCTCGGAGTTGATCTCGCGCGGGATGACGCCACCGCCAGGCCCCCGGCCCACGTTGAACCCTGGGATTGCCAAGGCAACGGTCGTCGTCAGAGCGACGGACGACAAGGTTCACATAGCTGCAGGTGCTTTCACTGATGTCACTTCGGCTGATGTGACCGACACTCACCGAGATCATTTCTAAACTCATGGCGAGAGATAACCACACGTTAACCTACGATGCCGTTCAAGACAGCTTTATCACCTGTTTTTTTTAAACAGGGGAATGCTGAATTTCGATTTAAAGCTTTCGTGACTGCAGGGATTCATCTTCTTGGTTCTTTCGGTAAAGTCACGTAAAAGGGAAATAATAAAATAATAATGTTTTATATTTTTTATTTTTTTATTTCCCTTCTACGTGACTTTACCGAAAGAACCAAGAAGAAGGGAATGCTGCTTAAGGCATCGTTCCAGGATCAAGGGGTTTCATTTCTGTCCAAACATTGAGCAAAAAGGTCACCGATTTTGATCTAACAACTGGCCCCACTTCAATGGTGATGCTCACCGCTAGAATCAGAATATTTATTGACACTGGAGGAATCCAACGAGCTGTAAAGCTCATCTGTGAAAAAATTTACGCTTAAAAACAAAGTTTTTCACTATAAATTTTTTATATGCGTGGCGGCTAGAGTCCTCTCGTCCTCTGGCTTGAGATGGCTGCCACCTATGGGTCAGATGATTGCATGCCACCATTAAGCAATTGGTAATTAAATATAATATTTTTGTCCTAAAAGTGTAAAATTTTCACGAAAGTAATTGTCACGCACAACGAGTCTGTGTGGAAAATGTCAGCTCGATTGGATCATGGTAAGTGGGTTAAAAAACGACCGAAATATTTGCACGGTCGTAAGCAAGCAAGTGAACTTAATATAATGGATTTAAAAAGAGATCCGTGCCCTCACCCAGGACGGTGGGCGTTTGCCCGCTGACCAGCGCCTGCGTCAGGTCAAGCCACCCTCCTCCTGGCGAGCCCTCCTGGAATCGCCGCAGGATGCCTCCGTTGCTAAGCAACGACACGAGGATGCGCATCGCCACGGTAACCGTTGCCGGATGCAGGTGGCCCTGCACGAACAGCAGCAGCCAGTCGAAGCCCAGGATTCGCAGCATCTCCTCGCAGGCCCTGCGCCAGGACGGGTGTGGAACGGTGGGGGGTGGGGGGGGGTGAGGGGGGGTGGGGGGGGTTAGAGACGCGGATAAGGAGGAGGGCGGCTGGTGGAAAATGTTAAGTCACCACAAATTCTGGCGACGGTCATGAAAGAAATGCTTGATAGATATCGGCATTGAAAAGTCAATGAAAAGCTACGATTTTTCGATTTAAAGCTTTCGTGACTGCAGGGATTCATCTTCTTGGTTCTTTCGGTAAAGTCAAGTAGAATGGAAATAATAAAATAATAAAAATAAAACATAATAAAATAATTCTCACGATGTTTCCGGCCACAACGCAAGCAGCCGTCCTCAGGCGGAGAACATGTCTATCGAGGAGACAGAGTCTGAATATTTTATTATGTTTTATTTTCATTATTTTTTTATTTTCATTCTACGTGACTTTACCGAAAGAACCAAGAAGAAGAAATGCTACGAGTAATGCATATTTGTACATGCATTCCGCATGAGTGTATTGCATGACTTCCACAGCCCGGTAAAGAACGTCATAGAAGCCACACGACCTACGGGGTGTAAGGAGGCCTTCGTTCCAGCGGTGGACTGACAAAAAGGGCTGCACGTATGCACGCAGTGTCTGCTTTCTTTTCACTTCGTTTGTCTTTCTCCTGCCATACGTGTTATGTGTATCGTTTATTGTTCAATTTAAATCACAGTTCCTATGATTACTTTTGTTACATTGTTTTCATAGCTTTATTTTAGTGATTTGAAAACATATGGTTGATCTAAATTGTCTTACGGTTGTTTTTGTTGGCTTGCACCACATTGTGATTTTTTCACACAGCGTTTTAGTACTTTTTTTTGGGGGGGGGGGATATTTGCTGGTTTATTCCAGGATGTTTCTGTTACGCGTCATAGCTTTGGGATGTTCTGTGTTCATATTTTGTTTGTTGCGGTTGCACCCGACTCAAGAGCCGCATGGCTCACAGGGCTACACCTAATACATGAAACTTGAAAACTTGAAACTTGCATGTGCTACGGTTGTGCTAATTGCATCTTCTCATGAGAAGGAGTGTCTATTGGAAAGTCCTTGCAGATTGAAAACTTATTTCTTTAGAACTGTTTTGTTGTTGTTGAGTTTGTTGTCCTTCCCCCTGCGCCTCCGAATAACACGGTTGGCTACGTAGGGTGCGAAATAAGTTCAACACACATACACAGAGAGCAGTGCATCACCCTGCACTACAGAACAGCTTCTTCGTTGGTCTCTTCAAGTTGATCTATTTTTACCCACACGCATGCCCCACTACAGAGTCGTGTTTATTGAATGGCAGTTGAAACTGATATTGTTAAATTCCTTAGAGATGGAATGTGGCCACATTAAGTGAAACAAACCTACTGTTTTGTGCATTCATTGATGATGATCAGGCTGCGATCACGAACGCACGACAACTTGAAAATCAGGTTTAATCACGAGTGAGTGCCTTCATATTCAAACTCAATATCGCAGCAGTGCAGGCCCATTGCTCTGACCCCATGTGCCACACAGACATCTCTGGTGTTTTCATTATTTATAGATGAAAATTGAAAGAAACAAGACGTAACCCTCTTTAAAAGAAAATCATGTACACAACAGGATCCATAATTGGGGTTTTTTGGGTTCGATTGCGTAAATATAAATGTCGTTAAACCCGCCTCCACCCGACACAGCCAATAAGTAAGGTTTGTCACATAAACAGAACATGCCAATGCGTTACTAGTACAGCAACACGGGTGTGTTGAAGAGTAAATCCACAACATTTACAATTTGAGTACGACGCTTCGCCAGTAATTACAACCAGCATCATCAGGTGACAGCCATTTCTGCAGAGAAATCCTTCTGTTTGTGGTGGTGGGTTTAACGACACATTGATATTTACGCGATCTAACCCAGAAAAACCTTTATTATGGATAATATTGGTCGCGAGAGGCTACGCCTTAAACACACAACAGGATTCTAGATTTGAAGCTTTCGTGACTGCAAGGATTCATATTCTTAGGTTTTTTTCGGTAAAGTCACGTAGGTAAAAATAAAAATTAATAAAAGTAAAATAAAAATAAAATAAAAATCACGACGTTTCGGAGGCAACACAAGCTTCCGTCTTCAGGTACATGACTTTACCGAAAAAACCTAAGAATACACAACAGCATGTTTGTTCAACGGATTTGTAAGTGGCTCACGGTTGGCTTAAGAACTCCTTTTCGGCAGAGGTGTGGAGCAAGTCGAGAAGGACCTCGAGAAGTTGGTTGCGGAGAAAAATATTGCGAGCAGACACCAAGCCGGCACCATCCTCCTCCATACCTAGACGAATCGACACGACAGCAGCCGGCGACGTTACACAAAGCCACCGTTCACAACGATGAAGATGTCATCTCATATTTCGCTTTTTATTACACACATACGTAATGACCGAAATTCACAAATACTCACCCGAAGCCAACGTGTAGCATAACGGTTATTACAAAAAATTAGCCAAGGTCTCCGATTGGAGGAAAGAGGCCTCCACACAGCGATTGGTCGGGGAGGCAGGCTTTGAAGTGATTGTAGGAAAAGGGTTTGAACGAGAATAGGCGGGAAGTGGAACCCAGAGGCGACGGTTGGGATCCCTTAGAGGAGAAGGACAGGGGTTGGCTAGGGGAAAAACAGTGAGGGAACATTCGAGAAGAAGGGTGCTGGAATGATATAAAAGGGGACATTCGAGGGAAGGGATGAGCTTCAAGCACAAGCACTGAAGCCCGGACCTCGTGTTGTTGCTGTGTTTGTCTATGGCAGTATATAGTACGGAGGAGACCCGTGTGATGTAAGAGAAAAAAGTTTAGCTGAAGCATATTATATTTTTTGCGACATAGAATTGTAATGTATTACTTACTGTTAGTAGCTCAGCTTATTGGAGAGTATAGTTAGTATACTGATGATACTATGTAGTTTATACTTTAGTTGTTTACGTGGTGGTTTAGTTACTGCAGCTACAGACTATTAAAACTCCTTCCCTTTATTAATGCTTCCCCCTATCCCCTCTCTTTGATGCTGCTAATCCTGCATAATGCACGGGCAAAACATAACTTTAAACCCCCCGCCAAACCTCCTACGCATTTCACAAGTAGTACTAATCGCATATCTGCATTTCCCATAAATATGCAAAAATTCCACTTGATATTCAAATTATTTTGTCAAGGCGCTCTTCCTCCTCCCTCCCAGCTTAAAAATACGCTCCAAGCCTGGGGTGTGTCATTCAGACTCTGTCATCTCGACAGACCTGTTCTTCACCTGAGGACGGCTGCTTGCGTTGTGGCCGAAACGTCGTGAGAATTATTTTATTATGTTTTATTTTTATTAATTTATTATTTCCATTCTACGTGACTTTACCGAAAGAACCAAGAAGAAGGCTCCTAGTAGTGCGTCGTTCGTGTCGTTTAACATACGTATATTATAACAACAAAAACCAGCGGGGCGCGTGAATTATCGCGAAACTTCCACGTACCTTCGTTGTCGATCAGAGCGTCGTCGTCCTGCGGTTCGTCCGCTCTGAGCTCTACAAACTTTTCGGAGACGGAAAACGTCGGCAACGTGGAGGCGAGGAACTGTCCATACCTGGGTGGTGGGGAGGGGGGGGGGGGATTTAAAGATGATTTTGTTTCTTTAAATGGTTTACCACAACGTTTGAATTATGATAATCCGAATTTAAATTAAATTGCTCACACATTTATCAACAAAACACTGCCTTCAAAGGAAAAATATACAATTTTGGGGAATTGCCCCTTCTTCTAAGCACATTTAAAAATACATATCCTTTAAAGAAGGGTAATTTGCCTGAAATGCCACCTTTTTAAGGCAGTGTTGTTGACGAATTTGTTAAGTATTTTTTTTTATCAATTATGTTCGGGCACCAATGCCAACAATCTGTTGAATATTAATTCCCTCCGTGTATGTCTGTGGCTGAGTGTGCTTGTACGTGCTGTTGGGGTGTCTCCTGTGTCTATGTGCGTGTGTGTGTGCTGCCCTGTCAAGCATGAATAGTTGCTGCTGACCAGAGCATGTCGTGGCTGCTGGGGAAGCCTTGCAGGAGGAGACTGAGCAGGCGCGTGATGGACATCACAGTGGCCTTGGACAGGGGCAGTGTGTGGTCCTTGAGCACGTGCAGCAGCTTGGGCACCAGCTGCAGCCCCAGCATGATGCGCCGCAGCTCTTCCACATCGCTGCGTAAAAGCACAGGGTGGGTGTGTGTATAGCGATGGACCGAATTGACGTCAATAGTTATTTTCCAAACAGCGCAGAAACGCGTACAAAGAGCACTCGGCCTCGTGCATTATTGAGAAAAGCGATCAGCAGCTCCTTAATAATTGCATTCCGGCCCTCTTTGTCTTAGGTCACCGTCAAATTCATTTGAGCAAAATGTGACCGACTGACAAGCAGAGGTGAAACAGAGACAACGGTAAAGGCCGGAAAACCATTAATTGGTGCTGCCCTGGCTGCCTCGGCTGTCCCCGGCTGCCCCCGGCTGCCTCGGCTGCCCCCGGCTACCCCCGGCTGCCCCCGGCTACCCCCGGCTGCCCCCGGCTGCCCCCGGCTGCCCCAGCTGCCCCCGGCTGCCTCGGCTGCCCCCGGCTGCCCCCGGCTGCCTCAGCTGCCTCCGGCTGCCCCCGGCTGCCCTGGCTACCCCCGGCTGCCTCGGCTGCCCCCGGCTGCCTCGGCTGCCCCCGGCTGCCTCGGCTGCCCCCGGCTGCCCCGGCTGCCCCCGGCTGCCTCGGCTGCCCCCGGCTGCCCCCGGCTGCCCCGGCTGCGCTGGCTGCCCTGGGGCTCATTGTTATTGTTTCTGGGCCCTGGTTGCTTCATCGTGGGTTTTACCCGTGGCGTTTCTCTCGAGCCTCTTTCCCATACCCCGTCCGAACAAAATATTCAGGCCCTAACCCATAACCCACAATATGTACACAAATATCTGCAATGTAACACTATCAAATCTGTAAATGACGTGAAAAAACAACAGAATAACCGTGCCGGCTATTATAATAGTAAAGAAACGAATAGCATTTCCTGAAAAAATGCATTGTTGCCCTTGATGGTGAGCGAAGGTAATAGGATGACAATACACTTCTCGAGGAAATGCTGCTGCTGGTTTTTTTTGCATGCTCACAAAGGCTGCGTGCTTTTTACCACACGTTCCTCATCCCGAGTGAAATGCAACACTATCCGCTGTGCACCACACAGTGCGCATACCCCCTGCAATAACCCCGTGCGTGCGTGCGCGCTGACGACAGTTGCCGAGGACGCGTAATTACGTGTACTTTAATGAGCGCCCATGGGGCAGGGGGGGGGGGCAACCCCGGGAAAAAAAGACCCGACCTCCAGAACGAGGGCGGAACACGGGCGCGGCAGGAAATGAAGCCATTCACGAGCTTGATTCATCGCACGCATTCCTCGCCGAGGTCCCACCGAGAGCCGTGGTAACTCAGAGGGCGCCACGGTGGCGAGATGTTAACTACCTCGCCTGGTATACGGGAGGTCGTGGGTGTGATTCGGACCCTGACGCCTGCTGCTGTATATTTGGAGTTTGCACTGTTTCTCTCCCCGTGGTCGAGTAGATTTTTCTCCGGGTCCTCCGGTTTTTCCCTCCGCATTTAGAAACATGCGTTTAGATTATTTGGCTGCTATACATTTCCACATTATAATCCACTTAGTTGATCTATCATTTGTGATAGCAAGGTCGCTTCTGAAAAATACCTATATAGCTCAGTGGGCCTTACCTGGTAATATAAAAATTGTTGAGTTTTTAGTTTAGTTTCACTTTTTTGACAAAATGGGAATTTCAAGGAGAAAACCACAATTCACAAACGTGGCTTTTGTGCCGTACAAGGAAGTGGTAGAGCGTGTTTATATGCAACGTGGAATAAACAGCCATGTGTTCACATACTAACCCTTGAGAATATCTAATTAAAGTTACGTATGTACAGTGCAGTGCAAATAACATGAATAACAGGTAAGTGAAATACCATAATCTCGTCGAATAATTCCATGAGCTTGCTATTCTTTTAGTGATATTTTGTTGTTATTTTTCAGTGAAACGGATCCCATATAAAAAAAAAAAACTGCGTGAGAACTGCAAACTGCATCTCTGGGTTTAAACTCTCAGACCATGTATGTACAAAGCATATCCGATAAACTGGAACACAGTGGCTTCATCAGAGCTGCCTGCGAGAGACAAAGCAAATGTAATCCGTGCAGCTTCCCGACGGGAATACGGGTCTCATGACAGCCTGGCACTGCTGCATTACAATCACACACGCATGGGTGGAGAATGTAACATTTTCCGCCGGGTTTTGGCAAAAGAATGTCAATCTCTCAATCTCTCCATTCCGAGCGTTGGGAGGCGAAATTGCCACGGAAATTATTTTCCGGACGTTGCGATCAAATGTGAATCTGTCCCCTTTTGCCGAAGCACTCCAGTTGCCAATGGCACCACGAGGACAATCCGCGTGAAAATGGAAGGAGAAAAAAAACCCTTCCCCAATCTGAAGGAATGAGAAAATCCCCGCTTTTGACAAAACGAGTGGCAAATGGAGCAGCGAGGACAGATGCCGCGGTTCCCACAGCCAACTGGGAACCACGGCTAGGCGCCCGTGTATGGCCTTGGGCTGTTTCAGAATTTGTATCGCAGCCTAGGCTGTCTATCTCCATAAGCCTTGGGTCTAATCCATCCCAGCCCCATCCCTAGGTCCCCCTCCCTACGCTCCACGACGACCCTGTCGGTAAGCGATGTCAAAGAAGGTTTAACACAGGTTTCAGTTAGGCTAGGTACTGACGTCGGCTAATACAGACGACGAGACATTATCGTCCATTTCCCTCGGCAGTAAAGTGGCTCTGATAGTAGATTAAGCAAGGGATGCCAGTGGACGTCACAACCTAGAGTGTGCTCAATGGTACACTTGGTGCTGGGTCTGGCCCTTTATTCCGCCATGATGGCGAGCATTTGGCTGCTGTACATTTCCACGTGATAAGCCACTTCGTTGAGCTATCATTTGTGGCCAGGTCGCTTCTCAAAAAGAGCTTTAAAGCTCAGTGGGGCTCACCTGGTAAAATAAAAATAGGATTCGTTAAGGCTGCCGTGGGAAACTCAGGGTGCGAATCCAAGGCTAGCTTCCTATAGTTGCCGTGGTCGTGTTACCTGGACTCTGTGAGGAGGTCAACGAAGTGGTCGAGGAGCGACAGGTGCAGGTCGTACGGCGAGTGGAACCATATCTGCGGAGAAGCCACAGGTGAGATCAAACTCACCGAGGTGCTTAAGTTTGGTTTCACGAGCCTTAGGCTTTTGTACTTGTGCACAACAACATGATTAATCACGATGCTACGACCCCCACCTCCCCCCATAAACTTCCTCTTTAAAAAAACACAGGTCTGCGAATATGGTAATATTATATTTATATCACAGCGGTTAAAATGTAGTGAGTTGGCACAGTGGGGAGTAAAGGTGCTGCATCTGCAAACAATCTCAGTGGGAAAAGAACAATACTAGGATCAGTCCCGTCAGCCCCTACAAATGAGCCTTTAATGCTTTACGTGGCTTCAAAGTGCACCTAGCCTGGCACAAGCGCCAAGGAAAAATCACCGCCATTTAGTGGCGAATGAGGAACTTTGTTGTTTTTGTTCCATACTTTACGAACAATTCATTAATTTACTTTCGCCTATTATTTGGCCGATATATCAGCACAGCGTTACAGGCAGCCCCTGCAGAACACCACCGTGCAATCGACAACAGGTCGAGCGCGCCAGCCGCTCTCCCGGCAAAATCGCGCGCCTCCAATCGTCCTCGGCGTGGGCGACCGGGACGGCGCCGTCGAGTTCACCTGCAGGTCGGTGACCAGGTCGCGGAACGCGGGCAGGCAGAGGCCGCTCAGGCTGTCGCGCTCGCGCCCGCTCTCCACCGTGCCGGCCAGCGACAGAGCCAGGTGCAGGCTGTGCGTGTTCAGCAGCGACCGCTTGCGTTTCAGCAGCATCGCCAGCAGCTGGCGGGGGTGAGGGGGGGGGGAATCAAAGAGTGACGCATCAAGGGGGCCGAACCACGAGCGTGGCACTCGGTGCCACGCGCGCGCGCGGGTCGAAGAGGCTAACGAGGTGACTTCGAAAGGGTGGTTCTGGGATGTCACCTTCTCGGGGAAAGTTCGACTCCTAATTGGAGGCCCGCTCGCGCAACTTGCTCCGGCAGCCTCGGAGGCTAAACGGAGATCCTTACGCACGTGCGCCGCTCAAGCTGGCCACCTTGGGCAGTGAGCATTTTTGGTCTCGCACGTGAACATGAATACAATCACTACACTGCTGTGATTTTTTTGATGGTATTCTGTAATTATTTAATGACTGCAAGTAAGCATGTGATGATTCAATCGCACGTACAATTCGAAACATTTGCACAACTGGGGTAAAAATTCAAGTCATTGAGTGTTTTCTTCGTTTCGCTGTTATGGACTCTTTTATATTGTTTCTCATTCATATGCTTCATTCGTACAGTTTTGTCTGTCACTCCATTCACTTAAACTATCGACTTCACGCGCATGCACCATTAAATGCATGCATCAACGAGCATAAGAATCACTTCTTATCGCCGGGCAAACCCGTCACTCCGCGCCTAGTCGCAAGCAAGTTGCAAGCAACACAACCAATCAATCGGTATCATCATCACGGTCCAATGGCAGACAAGCCCGTAGGTGTCCAACGCCCATTTCATCATCCGTTTCCAATCAATGGCAGGCAGTGCCAACGCCGCACCTGGTACCCGCGGATGCGCTCCATCTCCCGCTGGGCCAGCTCGCTGGCACGCACGGCGCACACCAGGGCCTTGGTGGCGGCGTAGAGGGCCTCCACGTCCCCTGCCATGGCCAGGAGGCCCAGCAGGAGGGCCGGCCCACCCACGCACTGCAAGGAGCTCGCCACGGGCCGTGCGGCGCTTCGCCGCACTCCTGCCGGGGTGGGGGGAACGCGCAAAAGCACCGCCGCGTCATCACGCCGCCGCTTGCACTGACCACCCCAACGGCTCCTCTCCAACTTTATAGATTCTTAAAAGGTGTATTGACCGACATCTGAGATTATTCAAATACGTATATATATTCGTTACATTTTAGCGAAATATGGGATATCAGCATCGAATGTATGTACGTGTGTATGTTGAACTCCTTTCGTGCCGCACGTAGCCAACCGTGCTCATAGGAGGTGCGGGATCACGCGACGAAGCGTCCGTTCGGAACTCCCGCGGCGCAGAGCCAAAGGCCGTGCACATTTTGTGGCGTTTCTTGCATATGTGGGGGATAACTGGAGACATTTGGATAAAACCCATGGCTGCTTTAGGGTCCACACAGATGGAACTGATTAGCCGTACTGCCATCTGCTGCCCCCTTGTATCCCAGCGGATTTAAATTTTTCACAAATCTGCGCGATTTACAGTCCCTTGCCTCCAAAGCATTGGCTCACAAGTTAGTCCACCACGCCCGGCTCAAAGGTAAATCGCCGGCTCACGCAGTCACAGTCCTTTATTGCATGACGTGAGAGTCAACAGAAACGACAAGTTATGCTTTACACAAAACGTGGCTCACCCCCGGCGTAATGATCCACACAAAGGCTGACAGTGAAGTTAACAATGACGGGCACAGGAAGCACATCGGAAAGGCCGTCGAAAAAGAAACATTTAAATTTTGTATATATTTGCGGACTGATAACAAAAAAATGCTTTCAGGATGGTAAAAAGAAAGGTGTGACTTGGTGACTCTAACACCCATTGCCACATTAAGAATGATGAGGGCTGTAGAGAAACATAGCAGCTGTAAAAGTAGATCCTGAGGCAAGGGTGCAAGGTAATGCGAGACCCAGCTTAACGACAAGGGCGGTTTAATGCGGCGCGCGATTTCCCTCGGGAAAGAGTGGCACACAGCATGCAGTGTTTCGAACGGAGCAGTGTCACATGGACGGCAGGTGTCACGTTTGGAGAGGTGTCACATATTTCTATTATTTATAAAATAATATAAATAATATGTATATTATTTCATAATTTCCCTTCTACGTGACTTTACCGAAAGAACCAAGAATATGAATCCCTGCAGTCACGAAAGCTTTAAATCAAAATTAAGAAACCTGTTACGCGATACGTTGCGTGACTAGAGGAGCAGCGTGACGTGGAGGGTAGCGTCAGACAGGGCAGAGTGTCACATGTACAGCAATGTCACACGGGCTGCAGTGAAACTACGGGAACACCGTCGCACAGAGCGCCGTGTGACGTTAGGGAGCAGTGCAAGATTCCCTCACGGTGAGGGATACGTTCCGGAGATGCTTGGGAATAGTTTCATGGATAACAAAATTGGCCGACGAATTACCTTAAATACATACGTAAGTAATAAATGTCATCACTTTCTGTCTCACCACTTAATCTCATCACTTTCTCTCTCTCTCCTCTCTCTCTCGATGCAGTAGTGTAGAGCTCCAGATGCAATTCGCGGATAGCAGGTTCGTGAATAACGAGGGAATACCGTATTTATTGCTCCACATGGGTTATATCATGTCTGTCTGTCCAAGGACAATTCATCACGTGTTCAGGAACTCGACATTGCGAACGCAATTTCAATTTAAAAGGCGTCCGTCTAAATGCAACCAGAACTCAATATTCTGTGCAAAACAAGCAAGCTGTGCACATTCGTCGACCGTGGGGAAAAGATGAGGGGAGGAGGGGAGGTTAATGTTTTCTTAGGCGAGGCGGGGAAAGTTGGAAGAACGGGCATCAGGGGGAATCATCGCGGACGGCGAGTCCGTGAATAACGAGGGAACGGCGTGCAACCGTGGGGCAGGGACGCAGCCTGCCACGGGCTGCGCGTGACACGCGGCGCGCCGGCGTGAACCGGGTCGCGGCGCTTACCCAGGTTGCCGATGACGGCGGCGCCGATGGTGCGCGAGGGCCCGCCCAGGTGCCCCGCCGCGTTGTGCAGCAGCATCACCGGCGTCACGTTCTCGTTGGACGAGAGACCGATCTGCCCCGCGGTGAAAGAGAAGAAAACCCGTAAAAACAAAGTTTTTCACTATAAATCCTTTATATGCATGGCATCGGTTTTATTATATTATTCATTTCTGTTTTTCTTGAGTAAGAGTTTCATTTTTATCACATTGGTATTTTAAATTAAATATTCCTAAAAAGTGGAAAATTTTGGGAAAAAAATTTTCCCGAAAATAAATTGTCACGCACGAGTCTGTGTGCAAAATATCAGCTCGATTGGATCACGGGAAGTGGGTTAAAAAACGACCGAAAGATTTCCACGATCGTAAACGTGCAAGCAAGCAAGTGAACTTAATATAATGGATTTAAAAAGAAGACGTTGCTCATTCGAGCTATGTGGCTCCATGGGCCTTACCTGGTCAAATAAATTAAAATAACGTTTCGTTCTGTTGCCTCTCCATTCAAAGGTGGTGCCTTTCAGAGGTCGGCAGAGGCATTGTTGGGTAAGTGTGCCGAGTGTAGAAGGCACAAGGCTGCTAAGAATCAGAGTGGCCAGGCTGACAGATTTTCACGGATTTTTTGTCTCACAAGTTTCGTCCTAACTTATGGGCATTCTCTAACGTGTACTTTCGGCAAATAATGATTCACATACCTCGCAATTTGGTGAACTGTCACAATTCCTGGTTGCCATTCCATTTTATCATTTATTTTTGCCTCATTTGTACTGTCTATTGTTTCACTTTGTTTGCATCTCGTTTTGTACACTTTTATTTAATCCTAAATGTGTAATTTACACAAATCAAACAACAATACATTTCCTCCCACGTGCACAATTCGACGCGTGCGTTGTGCAATCGCCTGCATGCCTACACTATATATAATCCTTCTATGCACCGTGGCTTTGTGCCAGTCGCCAGCGAGGCCTCACCTGTTTTGCAACAGCGCGGCTGTCGGCCTTGTTGTAGGCCTTGCGGATCTTGGCGACGGTGAGCAGCGAGGCGGAGAGCGGGTACAGGCCAAACGAGAGCCGCTCCTCAGGCACCAGCGACACGGTCGCTGAGCCCGCTTGCTCCGACTTGCCTTCCGTTGCTGTGGGAAATAAAAAAAAACCCATGGCAGACGCTTGCTCTCATAAACGTTCTCAGGTGCTTGTGTCTTATAGGCAAGCGATTATACCGTGTAGGGTTTTCCCCGGTTGTGCCCTGTGTAGCTCTCTCTGAAATGTTTGCGGGCGGGAGAGCACAATGTCGGGGCAGCATGCCGAACGATGGGCGGTGCAATCTCGGCAGCTGCCCAAGCCCGTGACCTGAAGAAGCTCCCTGCGTGTGCAGCGAAACGTCGGACGTCGTGCCGAGCAACACTCGGTGCGACCCGAAAAACACATCACAGAGCTGTGTCATTCACTGTACAAACGGTGACGTTGTTTTTGCATGACAAAACCCGTCGTAATATGGGCATTTGTAAAATATAGAATATGGTAATAGAAACGGTTTCTAAGCTTGATTGACAATTGTAACGAATGGTCTCCAATCAACCACTGAGATGCCAAGGCGTACATCAAAAGCAATTCATTATTATTACTCTTGTTAACCAAATTAAGTTATTTATGTAGAACCAGGTGGTAATCAACTGATAACCAAAGGGGCCCGCTGATAAAATAGACGGTGGCATAGTTGTCAACCCATACGATTTAGCTGTATTCTTGTAAAGGGAAATTGAGTTTTCAGGTCCATACGGTGTACAGCCATTTCAATACGGGCTTTGTAGGATGAACGTTGAGATTTCCAAGGGGCACGGGGTGACCAATAAGGGCTGAATTGGTCTGTAATAAGTTAGGCACTGATAAGGGGTTGACGTATGCAGTAGGGAAATAAAAACTGTTTAATATAAACACGCAGCTGCTGTGGAATTCAAGGTACTACAGTAAATAACAAAAATGGATGGCTGGGGGCAGTGCCTAGAGCACATGACTCACTGCAAGAAGATTAAAAGTTCAAAGACTGGTAAACCATCCGGGTGCCAAGTGCTACTTTATCAGACCTCAAGAGGAGCTGTCATTTTTCGATTTAAAGCTTTCGTGACTGCAGGGATTCATCTTCTTGGTTCTTTCGGTAAAGTCACGTAGAAGGGAAGTGATAAAATAATAAAAATAAAACACAATAAAATAATTCTCACGACGTTTCGGCCACAACGCAAGCAGCCGTCCTCAGGTGAAAACCAGGTCCATCGAAACAAACTCTGTCGCCTCGACGGACCTGGTTTTCACCTGAGGACGGCTGCTTGCGTTGTGGCCGAAACGTCGTGAGAATTATTTTATTGTGTTTCATTTTTATTATTTTATTATTTCCCTTCTACGTGACTTTACCGAAAGAACCAAGAATATGGATCCCTGCAGTCACGAAAGCTTTAAATCGAAAAATAATAAAATAATTAAAATATAACAGACGCTGTCTTTCCGACAGCTCTGTTTCTTCACCTGAGGACGGCTGCTTGCGTTGTGGCCGAAACGTCGTGAGAATTATTTTATTGTGTTTTATTTTTATTATTTTATTACTTCCCTTCTACGTGACTTTACCGAAAGAACCAAGAAGAGGAGCTGTCATATCGTGAAATCGCCCTGGCCATAGGAACGTGGAATTTCCACCACCAACCGAGGGCGACCAGGATATGTTGTTATATCCTTGCATTAATGAATAAAACATCCCCCCGGGTTTGGGTGAATTGGCACAAGACAAACTTGGCGTGCAAATCGTACCTGAATGAATGCAATTTGCATATGCTTATGTACATATATATAGCACGGAGAAAAAACAGAGATAAGCAGCAACACATGCTCGCTTGAGAAGTAAACCAGATGCTCGTGTAGAGCCCTGTCGACAATATACAGTACACCACTGGATGAAGGCCTCTGCACACTGTGAAGGGTTTTATTTGACCATACTTCACCAGATTGGTCAGCGTGAGTTATTAAAGATGAGTGCGGGAGCGTAGAAGTACATTTCTTTTAGATTTGGTCCTGCCCACTGGCAGGTCTTTGGCTCAAACCCCCACCCATCCTGTATGATCTACAAGGTCTAATCAATTCCACGACACTTCCCTCTGTTGCCCAACAACGTAGCCCATGTAATTTATAGCACCCGGTATGCATGTTGGCTGCCCATCCAAGCTCAACCCTGCTTTTAGCTTATGTATGTACATATGTTGAACTTATCTCACACCGTACGTAGCCAACCGTGCTAACCGGAGGTGCGGAGCAGGGGGGCGAAGGATAACAACAGCTTAAAAGGTTGTGAAAGTAACAAGACAACCGCAAATCGCGAACTTTAACGGCTCGCTCCTCCTCCTCCACCGCCACCGCCACGCTCACCCCTCTGGAGCACGGCCTGCACGCATCCCGTGTGGTGGACGCCAAGGCCGAAGATGGTGGCCACCGCGGCGTGGCCCAGCGGCTCCTCCATCAGGTGCACGGGCCCCACGCGCCACGCGAGCGGCGAGCTCCTCCGCCGTCCGGGCGGCGTGCCCACGTAGCCGTAGACGAGCGGTGGCGCCCCGGGGCCGCCCGCGCTACCCAGGCCTCCCGGCGTCGCCTGGATGTAGGAGAGCTGCGTCCCGCGCGCACACGGGGCAAGCAAAACGCAAGCGTCGAAGAGTCTCTCGTAAAAACCAAAAAAAAGCCAACGACGTGTCCCTACCGCCGCCGGAGAGGCGAGCCCAGATTCGTGGAGCGGGTGGAGTGCGATCTGCCTGGGTTCCCAACGGTGGGGCGTTGGTGTGGCCGACCTTGGTGTTGCCAGCAAGCTGTCCGTCCACGTAGAGGCTGGCAGAGCTTGGTTTGAGGACCCCTCGGTTCAGCACCAGTACCAGGTGGTGCCACTGGCCCTCCTGGGCCAGCTCCGGTGTCACGAACCGCACGCAGCCATCCTGGGAGCTGTCGTCTGCACGTGGTCAAAAAAGTACACGGTGGCGAGATGTTAACTACCTCATCTGGTATGCAGGAGGTCGTTAGTTCGATCCCGACCCTGACGCCTACTGTATGTTTGGAGTTTGCGCATTTTTCTCCCTGTGGTCACGTGGAATTTTTCTCTGGGTTCTCCGGTTTTTCCCTCCAAATGTAGAATCAATAAGCATTTAGAGTAGTTGGCTACTATACATTTAAACGTGATAAGCCACTTCGTTGAGCTATCAGTAGTGGCCAGATCGCTTCTTAAAAAGAGCTATTTTGCTCAGTGGGCCTTACCTGGTAAAATATAAAATAGTTTTAGAAGTACTGTGACAGCGCCAACAAAAATGACCTCTCTCTTTAGTCTTTTCCCAATTATTATTACAATTGTGCTATCCGCATCATGGGGCGGACACTTGTGAGCGAATAATTAATAGAAAATGGCACACGCCCCTTGCCATATTAAACCTGCAGGCTATTAAAACTTGCATATGGGCACACAGGTTACAGCACTGAGATGTCACATTTCTGCATTGGAGGGAAATATCGCCATGGGTCTGTGGAATGCAGAAATGCAACAGGCACCTACTAATCTGAAAATACTTCTGCAAGGGGCAAAACCTGTATTTGAAACAATATATTATAAAAGTAGTTTCTTATACATACAAGTGTAGTGACTGACATGGAGATGTAAGTTCTTGGAGGCAGTTCTTTAATGAACACCGAGCACACTTTGTACCATACACAACCTACGCGGGTACACACTCTGCTGTCTCTCGCTTATACGCAACTCTACGCTGTTACTAGCCTACACACAATGCTAGCCGTCTGACACTGACGGCACTGAATGAAGACAGCCAACTATGTCTAGCAGCGCAATGTCAAGTGACGACGACAGCGACGAAGGCGGCGATCTTAAGCAGCAACGACGACGACGGGGATCCCACTCCAAACGACAGAACTGAAGTCCCCTCCCGGGGCCTTTCTTATCCTGTCACCGTGGCCCGGCCACGCCCCCCTTCTGGAACCTACTAGCGGGCTCTCGACGTGTCCCTTCCGTAACCTTTCCCCTAGATCTGTCTCGGGTCTATCACGTGGCCTGCTGTCAGTCAGGGCTGCTGTGAGCTGCAGGTCCTCTTCCCTGCCAGCAGCCGGCGCTATGCCGCTAAGTGACCAATTCTATGTCACTGCACAAGTTTAAAGCAGCCTCACACTCTTTGAGTATGTCTTGCTTGGGAATGTCTGACCAGTTCCTAAAGGGCTATGTTGCAAATTGGAGAAACCGGAAGTATCTTCAGAAAACTCACACGCATGCTGGAACACTGAAATAATCACGACAATTTTCGTGTTTACCCATTCAGTCTAGTAATCAAATCAATAAACAGTAGGTGTAATCGTAAGCAATTTCTTAAACGATCGGATAGCCCATCTCATCAAGGAGCATAAACCATCATTCAAATTCCAGTCATCCTCGCAGTGGCTTTTGGCTAACCATGAAAAAAAGACGGTCACTGTACTGTGCGCTTTGAGATGCGCTTCTGCGGCCATCTGGAACGCTCTTCTTTCCGCTATTACGAAGCCACTGGAGCTATGCACTTTTAAATATAGATTGAAAACTCATTTCTTTAGAACTCCTTTTTGTGTTCAGCTCGTTGTCCTTCCCCCGCATTTCCGATTAGCACGGTTGGCTACGTACGGTGCGAAAGAACTTCAACACACATAAATAAATACGTAAAGGCGGTGCGGTAACTGCAGTCCGACGAGGGATACTCATCCGCCATCGCGTCTCACCCATCTCCTGCAGGAGCTGCTCGCGCGTGCAGAGCAGCACGGCCTTGTCGCGCGGGAGCAGGGAGAGCGCCAGGCAGGCCAGGTGGCGGTCCGAGCCGGTGGAACGCCGCACCAGGGTCAGCAGCCGCACCGGGTGCGCCTGGCTCGGAGAGTCGAGCCGCTCCACGCAGAGCCACACCGAGTAGGAGAGGCCGGACGGCGGAGGGAAGACTCGCTCGCCTGTCGCAGGAGGGACGCTTAAGTCAGCGTGGCGGCGTTCCGTTCGATCGAGCGGTCTACTCAAGAGCACGTTGGGAGACCGGTGAGACTCTGCAGGTTCCCTTTAAAATGGGGGAGCTCTGGTCAAATTATTTTAAGTGTTTTTTGTTGTTGTTGTTAAAGTTCGTTTTGGGATATAGGTTTTTGTTTAAGGTGATTATATATATATCCATTACCATCAAGATTGACTAGTTTTTCGAACCTTAATGTGTGAATTTAATCGTTTGTATCAAGTTTCGACGACTATTAGTAAATGCTTTATTTGAAAACAATGCTCCACCACACGTGCAACAATTTACAAGCATCTCAGTTTAACGCCATTCCTCCAAAGTCAGCTTTAACGGGGTGCTGGATTCACGACTGGGACGGTACGAATGCACGTGCGTGTTTTTTTAGCAAACATCTACACTTTAAAAAGATGCAATCAAATCGACAATTGTCACCGTGTTTGAATCTTAAACTGCGTTTCATTTTTCGTTTCGTTACATTTTTATCGTGTTTTCGCATACATTACTCTGCTCCTTCGTATTCATGTCCGTAAACTGAAGCCTCGTTATGACGTCCCTGCTCCGTGCACTTTCCCATCTCGGATAAGTTGAAAGCCCCAAAACAATCCTTGTCGACGCAACTCGGATCACCGTTCCATTATTTATTGTTTTCCAGCAGTATTATTCATTTTTTGCTGGTTCCCCTGAAATACATTATATACTGAAGGTTTACTGTCCTTTCACTTTATGACATATATGTGTGGTTACGTTTTGAATATTTTAGCTGGTGGGCAACCGAGGACAGTGCAGCGAAATACATTGTCGTACAACGCTCCCACATCTATGCTCCCCATCTTCACTCGCGCGCACTGACCAGCGTGGTGAAGCCCGTTGTTCAACAGTGGATTGACGGGCCGTACACAATTCGTTTTTTTTTTACTTTGATCCAGATCTCCTTTGCAAAAGAGACGTCTGGTCTCGATGGGCTCTTACTTGCGATTTAAACATCTATCGTCTGTCTGTCGACTGTGACCATTGGGTCCCCTTCAACACGTTCAAAAGCAAAGACAAACGAAGAATAAAACGGCCTCTAAAGTCGAGCATGCATTGACGCACGCATGCACACGCGCGAACACATGCACGCATACGCATGCGTGTATGCACGGGCATGTGCATCCACAAGCACACACGCTCACCGTTCTTAAGAAAGGAAACAAGAGGTGACTAGAGGATTCAGTGGGCATGCCCTAGGGCTCAGAGAGCCAAACTAAGGCATCCTTAGGAAACAGCAAAGAAAATTTTAAATTATAAATAAATTCAAATCAGGGCAAGAGATAAATAAAATATTACAAGAATGATATACATTTTGTATTTTAGGGTACAACGTTACCAGCAGCAGTCATGAGTATCTGGAAAAGGCATTTTCTGCATTCTTCAACAATAAATCATTGCAATTGATGGGGAATCTCAACCAAAGCGGGTGACAGGTCTCCTTCGCATGAGCAATCGTACGATGCGCTTGGCCATGAAGCTGCTCAGATACAGAGCCCTATTGGCAGACTGCGCTAAATGTGCATAGGTTCGTGCATTCGTGGCGTGTACAACAAAAGGGAATCGTGGGGAGAGGTGCGACGGTGTGCCTCGCGCGGTGCTCACCTGAGCCCATTCCACTCGTGACGGAGTCGTCCGTGGGTGAGATTGCTACACTGGAGCCCCCAGGAGCATTCTGGGGGGCCAGGCTGGGCAGGAAGAGACAGCTGAGAGCAACACAAAACATAAACAAAATAAAGTAAACATCTATTATTGACTACTCTGGTTGACAACGCGGCGAAACGGCACACACACACAACAAGAATATCGAACGTCAAAATGTATCATCGTGTCAACGACATGGCATGCGGACAAACGTAAAAGCAATGCATTATTAATAGTGTCACTTAGATAACGTTCCAAAGACATCATGACATGTTTGCTGCTGACCCAAAGCCCTCCACGCTCATGTCGAACTCCAAGAAAGGGGGCGGCACGGCGGCCATGTTGTGGCGGGTGTGCAAGGGCGTCGTCATGGCGACCAGGCACTTGATGCGGGTGAGGGGGAGGGCGGCGCCCTCGGCTGGACGCAGGAGGCTCCGGCTAATGCGGCAATTTTCCGGTGGCCGGCCCGGCACGGACGGATCTGCCCGACCGACGCACGCAATATTTGGCTCAGTCCGGCGCTCACCACAGCCTTAAACATCAGCAGACTAATAAGCATGATAAATGGTGGAAAAACTTAAATGGAATATCATACGCACAAAAACAGAATGTAAATGCTGGACATTGATCAAACCAATGCTTCTTTTGTGAAATACTCTATCGTAATGTAAAACCGTTCTACGTAAACAAATGTATTACATTATTAATGGTGGAACAGTGAATTGGAATCCAATATATTATTTTCGGGGGATTTTTAAATGCAAATTTAAACTATTCTTATATGTGCAATGTGATGAATATAAAAGCAACACTATTATTTTGCAAGGGGCAGAACAAGACAATGTTTTGAAATTATGGCCAGAGCAAGTGAATTTACCCAGCATGCAAATGTCATTTTTAGTTACGACGATAAACATTATCCCATTTGTCAATCCCTTGCTGGATGCGGGTCTCCCCATGTTTTGTCGGTTGTGGGTATTACTTGACCATACTTCACCATGTTGGTCAGTGCGGATTGAAGACTCAGAATATAGACGTGGGAGCATAGTACATCACAACAATGGATTCTGCTGCCCTGTTCTCTGCCACATGTAGCTTATATATATGTAATAAAAGGGACTCAGACACTTCTTGCTGACTCCGTGTCCTTTATTTGGGGTTCGCGTTCTCCTTCCCACACGGCACTCCTCCTGAGACTCTCTCCCTGGCAGCCCCACATCTGCCTTCGCTCCCGTAGCCTTCCACGCTCCTGCAGCTCCGCTGCAGGCTCTTGGTGCAGCCCTCCGGCTGCCCCCACAGCAGCTCCATCGCTGCTCCCTGTTCCTCCGTGCGTGGCGATCTCGCCACCTCCCAAGTTAGCCCTTCGTGGCCTCTATGGCTATCTCGCCATTTCCTACCTCAGCCCTTCGTGGCCTCTGTGGCTATCTCGCCACTTCCTACCTCAGCCCTTCGTGGCCTCTGTGGCTATCTCGCCATCTCCAACCTCAATCCTCCATTCTCTCTTCCACCCCGCTGGCTGGCGCCGTCATGAGCCCCTCAGCCACCAGGCTGAGGCACGGCGACCACCCAACGTGTTCACCACCCTTCACTCCCCCGACTGCCCAGATAGCTTCCTGTCTCCCCGCTATAACTTCTCCCCCACGTCACCCTGACTCCTCCCTCTCGGATCGTCATATCCGCCCCGCCCATTTACGCCCGCATTACATATATAACTTATATATGTGGCAGAGAACATCTGTTTTTCACATGGTGATGCCCATCCAAGTACTATCCAGGCCCAACCCTGTTTAAGTGCTGAGATCCGATGAGATTGGGCTCATTCCAGTTGTTTTTGTCTCAGGCAAGTACATCCATAGATCCACCTTCTTTATTTATAGTTAAGATGATAACACATTGGGTGTTAAGGGTCTCTTCTTCAGTCGAGACTTGGGTTCACAGATTGAATGATAGCAGGCCAACGTCTGGTTGTACATACGTATATTGAACTTCTTTCACGCCGTACGTAGCCAACCGTGACAATCGGAGGTGCGGGGGGAAGGACAATAAACTAAAACACAAAACGCAGTTTTAAAGAAATGAGCTTTCACAGGTTATCGACGATGCCCGAAGGGGGGCGAGACTGGTCTGTGAGAGTGGGCTCCGCTACCCAGCGAGGTGGGGTCGTGGCACACGTCCAGGCCCCTGTGCACACGGTGCGTCAGGAGGTCTCGCTCGTCCCACGCAGCACAGTTCAGGGGGTTCCCCAGACGCAGGAACGCCCTGCAACCGACAAGTCCGTCGTCACGATCATCGTCGTCGTCGTCATCATCATAATCACCGTAATCTCAAGAGATGAAATCATTCAATCTGTCTCCGAACTCCAGCGGGTCTACAAATTGTTACGATCCGCACTCGTCATTCGGTTATTATTTTTTTACCATTGTGGTGAATGAAGTGACTGACACCAGCTGCTGCAGGGGTCACATGGAGCCATTACGAACATTTATGAATAGAGAGGCATCGATGCCTACACACACACACGCATGATGAACTGAAGAATCTATATGAATAAATGATTCCTTGTGTGCTGTGCCGGCCTTCATAGGTGCTCGCTAACAACATTCCCCCCCAACAGCCTGTAGGCTACGCAGGGCATCTTTGTCTTAGTATTTGTTCTCGTGTGTCGCGTGCGTAAACGTGCACGTGCGTGCGAGCGTCAGAAGCGTGCGTCCTCATTGTAGCTGCGTGTGCGCGCGTCAACGCTTTGCGAGCGTGTGCCAAGGTCGCCCGCCACTTGCCGTAGCACGGGCGGCTCGAGGCCGTGACAGGCGAGGCGCTCGAAGGCCCTCTGCAGCCCGTCGTGCAGGGGGTGCGCCTCGCTCGCCAGTGCTCCGCAGCAGCGCAGCAGCAGGCGCCGCGCCAGCCCGGCCTCGCTCAGCACCTGCTGGCTGCGCTCCGACTGCAGCAGCAGGCCCAGGCGGTCGACGACCGCGCACTGCAGCGCCACGGCGCGCTGCACCACCGAGACCACCACCGCCGCGACACGCAAATAGTCATTGACGCGGCTGAGGGGCGCCTATGGACTACTTATTTCTGCACTGGGTTATATGATGTCCGTCTCTCCGAGGGCAATTCATCAAGCGTTCTGGAATGCCGCACTGCAAACGCAATTTTAATTTATAAAGCGTCCGTCTAAATGTGACCGAATATCAATATGCTGTGCATATTGGTGGACTGCGGGAAAAGATCGGGTTTTATGTTGTCTTACGTCGGGCGGGAAAGCTAGGAAGAACAGGCAGCAGGGGAATATAATTTGCGTGCTAATTAAGACATTATTAGATGCAAATGGTTGTTCATAAGTAGATGGAAAGAGGAAGGCCTTAAGCATGGACTGAAAATGTGAGGATAGAATCTGCATAGTGGGTGACACGGGAAGGGAACGGAGGAAAATAACAAAACCTAGAACCAATTGCGATGAAGTACTCATTTAATGTATTGGATTGCCACGTTGTTTAAAATTACCCATAACATGCCCTTCGCAGAGAAAAGGTAACCTGCAAAGTTAGGTGTTAGTAAAAGTTAATATGCTTCAGGGGGAAAAACAATCGACTGAAAAATAAACCACAAATGAATTTGAATAAAATATGAAGGGAAAAAAGTAGGAAAAATGTTTTTGCGAAAAAAAATACTGATTCTAAAATTAGTAACTGTCTCATACAAATCTAAGAAGCATGGATTGCTGCTGACGCCTCCATGCACTGTGAAAGTGTGCTTATGAATTATTTTCAAGTTGAGTCAATGTAATTGCCAAATTATCACAAAATCACACACCTACACAGCACAGTCATGTAGAGAATTTGCTGCAGGGGCATTATAGCATGACTCTATATCTATATAAAATTGCAGACAAACCTCGAAAAACAAGTTTAGAAACTTGCGCTTGGAGTTTCGACGTGCAGACTACGGAGTTACCTGTGGGTCAGTTGCCGAGACAACGGAGGGGAGGAGGTCAACTGCAGCCAGGACGGCGCCAGGGTGCACCAGAAAGGCAGGGTCAGGGCTCGCCTGAAAGAAGCCTGTGGCCTGCCAATCGTTGGACATTGGCCTACAGGGCATCCCGTAGAGTGCCCGCCTGTGAATTAAACAAAGCCGTTGAGCCAATAATTAATTATTGCAGTAAAGCATTGATATTTCTGCTGAAATTATTCATTGATGATGGTAAACCCAATTCAGTGCTCATCCAGCATGGCCTACAATCAATTCACACTTTAAGCTGTTTGAGCGTTACAGATCCCGGAAGTTGAGCCTGGTTAGTAATTGGATGGGATACTGCCTGGGTATTGAAGGCTTGGTCTGCGAGGTGGTTAGGAGATAGCAGTACAGAACTGGATGATTGAATCTATCTGTACAGAGCTTTGAGTGTTACTCCCTGCATACGAGTTTTCTCAAAGTACTCTGGTTTCCTCTCACAAGCCAAACGCAAAAAATTTACCCTCCTGAGAAAGTCTTAAAAACTAATTGAGGCTTTCATGATAAAAAAAGGGCATTATTATTAGCTTCAGTATTCTCTTGAACATATATGGGTGTCCGTTAGCGGCAGGTGATAATGGCCATATTATGAAGACAATGAAAAAAACAAATGAAAGTAAGGGACTTTGCCCCCTTGATGATTATTTTTAGGTCACGAACAAACAGGAGAAACCTGTTCGGGATGCCAAAACGTTTAACATTTTTCGAAAGGCAGTCGTGAATAAATTGCTAAAAATAAACTGATGAAATTGCTTAAGAGAGCCCTCCGTGAAAGCTCACAGACAAGGGGCTCCAGCTGGGACCACGCACGTCACCGACAATCGAGGAATGTGAAATTTCACTGAGATTTACCGTGATTGCCGAAACTGCTGATATTATACACACCTGGACGACCGTAAGGGCTAAAGGAACACAGTGCAACAAGACGTGGATTCACAACGAGCATTTATCAAGACGTTGTATGGGAAGAGCAGGCAGGCTACACAAGTGAACCGATTTTGTAAATGGATTTTAAACAAAGGAATGTGAAAATGTATAAAGTTAATAAAATAGCTCAAAGTGAATCTGATATGAAGAGAAAGACTAGGAAAGCAGTGAATCACCACTCTGCCCCAGTGCTTAATGGCGCATTACAATTCAGGGGGGGGACATCGTTTGAAGATTTGGTTAATTTATTGTCATATTTTTATCATCCAATTTGTATTTTTTCTGAGTTGTTTCTCTCTCGTTTTATATGGTGTCATTTGTATCGATCGTTGCCTTTAAGACATTAGCTGTGGGATTTTATAACTGTTATAACAACTCAGACAAAATGTCCAGGTTTAAACTTAAAAAGAGTTAGGGAAGTCAGTGGGTACAGTGAGCTGGGAGGAGTTACACATATGTGGTCGTGCATTCTCACAGCGAAAGGAACCTCTTAAGATGCCTCAACTAAGGGCTTTCAATTTCAACAAACTGAATAAAAGGTCAAGGTGGAGTTCTCTCGCACTAATAACATTTACCAAACCATATAGTGGTGACACGGTGATTATTGCACTGTGCTATGAACCTGGTGACCTTAGTTTACTCAAGCCTCTTAATTCCTCAGCTTCCATTCACCCCCCACCAATTTGATTTGCTGTCCCCACTATAATATATCAACCTGCTCCCGTGCACGGTGAACACTTGGTGATCTCCAGCACTGCCTGATAAATCAACTCTATCCCTCAGGAAATGTCAGCCATGTGTGCGTGGTGTTTGGGAGAAATGTCAATGAAACCTCGGTTTTAAGAAATGAATTGACAAACTATGGCTTTATAACATCCACGATGCCCTGTAGCCCCGATGTTACCAGAGTCTGTATGCATGCTTAAAACGATGTTGCATTTGATACAATGGCAGCAACAGAGAGCAGTGCAGCAAAACCTATTGTTGTACTGTACTATTATTCCATGTCTATGCTCTCCACCTTCACTAACCCCCCCACTCAACTGACCAGCACGGTGAGGGATGGTCATATTACCGCCACGACCCACAAGGCATGGGAAGGTCCTCATCAAGCATTAGGTTGACAAAGGGCCGTGTATGTGATGTACAATATAGATAACATAACGGCGGAGACAAGTAAAATTTAAAACGGAATGTAGCGGAGACTGTTCTTTGACGTGAGAACGATGGTGACCTCTGGACAAATAAGAGCCCAAAGTGAAATGCTGTGAATGTGATGGCGCTGCGAAATGTGATGGGGGGGGGGGGGGCAACGGGGCGTCGTGGACACCCTGTACGTTGCAGAGAACAACAGAGACCCCAAAACGGAAACAACCGTAGCAACGCTTCCTCCCGGTGAGCTTGATCAGCGAAAGAGTTTGAAAACAACAGCAACAAAAAAGCGGTTAGTTGTTTTTTTTATATATATATACAGGACATCGGCTCAAGAGGCCATAATCCCTGTATTCCTGTAGTACCTGGTTCTGGGAGGGGAAGGGGAGGCCCAGGGAGAAGGAAGAACAGTGCCCTCCCCGTCAGCCCATGCTTCCAGAACAGACATGCTAGCACAGAGACAGAAAAAATTGGCCATCACAGCCCGCGATGAAGCGACAGACCCAGAGCAAGCAAAAGGTTGTTAGGACCCGAAGACAAGGCAACAACGGCCAAACTGGAGAGGCGTGAAAGGGAATGTGATGAATCCCACGCGTACAGAAGATAAAGAATTTCAATTCTCCGCATGCCGATGACAATTGCCATTTACACCATTGGAACCTCATTTGCCAGTAAAAAATATGATAATTGTTTTTTTACCCTTCTATCTGGCAACAAAACTGACACCTTTTTTACAAGGAGTCATGTTTGCATAGACCACAATACCTGCAGTCATAATGCAAAAAAAACACAACTCTGATAGAGACAGCTTTCCTTAGAGCCTAGTCTACGGAAAGCTGTCTAGGGTGTGGACCAATCAACTTCAAGGACAGTGCATCCATTATCAAAGTTATGTTTTTTGTTTGTATTATGACTGCAGGTATTGTGGTCTATGCAAACATGACTCCTTGTAAAAAAAGGTGTCAGTTTTGTTGCCAGATAGAAGGGTAAAACCACTATTATCAATTGCCATTTACTTAATAATCACGTGAATTCGTGTATCCGAGTGCCCACTAACAACATTTGGCCCACACAGTACTCATGCGTTACATGGGGATTGTTGCCCCTTTGTATAACTTTAATATACGGCTTGTTTTGAGTAAAGATGCAATATTATTTGGGACATTTTTATCCCATGCAAAGCTGCCAGGATCTTTAACGCCAGCAGTCAACCAACTATAATATCTGGCTTAAGACTTCAAAAGCGCAAAATTCTCCTGTTTTCAAACTTCTACAGCTGGTGCATGCAGGTGGGGGACTTTAAAAATCTACGCCGTACAGCCCTCTGGCAATCTACACGTTAGATTAAGGCCTCTCCCCACAATCATGGCAGTTTTGGGAGTTTGTTTGACCACATTTCACCCCATTGATCGGTGCCGGTTGTAGGTAGGTTGCCCGGGACCGGTTCAAGAGTTACTTGCTACTGATATTTGCCGTGGCTGGGAATCAAACTTCCGCAGCCTGCTTCAAAACAGGATGTGCTCATTACAGTGCTAATTACAGCGCTAATAACAGCGCTAATTATAGCGCTGATTACTGTGCTACCACTTCAGTGAAATTGCTTCATATAAATGAATATTAATAACCACTGGCTTGATATTTATTAATTAGCACTTGCTAATATTTAACATATCAAAAACAAATTGCATGTGATTGATTACTGATTCATGAACTAAATTGCACGGTATATCATCAGTGTGCGCACCAGCCTCTAAAGGGACATTAGGTCTCGCATCACATTTGTTTCTTTGTTAACAGAGTAGGCCATTACATACCAACATCACGGTAGAGAACCCTTGCCACCACGATCACATATTTTCCATGAGCGTTTAGAACAGGGCCTCCCAATAATATTGACGCGGCTCCCCTGCTAAACGTTTCTTCACGACGAATTAACATTCGCGACGGGTTTGGACACTGCGGTCTTTCTACGTCAAATGAGACGTTTCAACAACAGCAAGTGGATCGTATCGACCCCAGGCCTGAAATGACCCGAACACCGCGATGGGGTCCCTGCGGACACACAAAGCCATCCATCGCCATCTCCCCTCAATCACTCTACCCCCACCGTCTCACCCGTGCCCCCCCCCCCCCCCACCTGAATATAACAAAAATAGATATGAATCCACACCCACATCTGTAGACAGGCATCTGCGAATGCAGTGGGTTCCATGGGTCAGAGTGTAGATTGAGTTGTGTACTTAATGCCATTGCGAAAGCGGGGAAAGTTCATTCCGATGAGGACCGCAATTTCTGTAGTTGAAACGTCTAACTTGTTAAATAGATTTGCTGTAGTGCCCCAAACCTGCTCTAATGAACTTACACAATCCCAGGCACCATTCTACTCAAACTGTAAATGTTTTGGATTTACTGTCCCGTCGTTACTCTTTGGTACGTTTTGTTTGCGTGACAAACCTTACTAACTGGCTGTGTCGGGTGGTGGTGGTGGTGTGTAAGCGACACAGTGACATTTACGCGATCCAGCCCATAGTAGGCCATTACATACCAATATTACGCGCAGAATACAAATTCTTAACGGAGCTGCGCTTCACGAATGCCTCACCGGTCGAACGAATCGGTGGCCATCTTGTAGAGGTGGCTGAAGACGCGGCCGCAGTGCACGAGGGTCGGAGGGCACGAGTCCCCGACGACGCCGTCTTCCGAGTCGGCCTCCATCAGCTCGGCAAAGAAGGAGACCTGCTCCGGGGTGCACGCGGGCACTGGCGCAGGGTTCAAGTCGCGGGTCTGGGCGAAGCAGCCGAGGAAGCGCAAGGCGTCGGCCAACTTCTCGTAGCCGATCTCGGTGAGGAAGTAGTGCGCGTTGGCCGGCTCGCAGCGCATCGCCGCGGTGAGCGCGTGCAGCGTCGTGCGGGTCAGCTCCACCACCTCGGCGGTCCGCTCCGGGGTTTCCCTGCCGCACTGGCCCGCCGACAGGGACGACTCCATGGACACGAGCATGGAGAGGAGGTAGACGAAGCCCCCGACGCGGCGGAAGGCGCGGCGAGACCGGTGGCTCTCGCGCAGGACGCCCAGGAGCGCCTGAGAGCAAGATGGAACAACAGAATGTAGCGTAGATTACTCCTATGTCGATTTAAAGCTTTCGTGACTGCAGGGATTCATCTTCTTGGTTCTTTCGGTAAAGTCACGTGACTTTACCGAGACAACCAAGAAGATATTCCTATGTCGTGAGAACGATGGTGACCTCTGCATAATTAAGAGCCCAAAGTGAAATGCTGTGAATGTGATGGCGCTGCGAAATGTCACGGGGGGGGGGGGGGGGGGGCAACAGAACGTCGTGGACACCCTGTATGTTGCAGAGAACAACACAGACCCAAAATAGAAACAACCCGCTTCCCCCCGGTGAACTTGATCAGCGAAAGAGAGCGAACGAGCGAGCGAGCGAGGGAAGGAGGCAGCCTCCATCAAGCGGCGACGGCGGCTTCAAAGCCTAAATCACGGCGAATCTAAAGCGTCGCGCGTCCTATGACACACCCGTGGACCTGTTACACAGCCCTGTGTTAATGTCAGAGGAGTAGGAGCGAGATGTGGCTGCGGACCGGTGGAGTGGGGACTCTCCCAGGGCCTGTTGCTTCAATGACATCAGCGGTGCAGGGACCCCCCCACAGTGTCCGCACAGTGTTTTGAACGTGCGGTTGCATTTAGACGATATAATACGTTGGGAAAAATAACAAGTACATATGGATTCCGTAACGCTTTTCAACACGTGTTTGTCCCCGGAAGTCTTTAATTGGCAAGATTGAAGCTGATTGGGTGCTGTTCAGGGCAACACACGTTCATGAATTTGTAATTGTCCTTTTTTCTCTGATGTGCGTCTCAAAATTTTGTGTATTTCAACGCAGCGAGTCAATTAACAGCGGCACAACTACGCCCGAGGTCAGTTCTCACTGAATCATCGTTATGAGCATTATAGTGCCTCCCCTCAGCCCCCACCCCGTTATGGGTGGACGAACGGACACACGGGCTGCTAATCCTGCATAATGCACGGGCATAATATTAATTTGAACCCCCCCACCCACCTCCTACGCATTTTCCATATGCTAAATTCCTCTTGATATGCAAATTATTGTCAAGGCGCTCTTCTTCCCACCTCCCCCCCTCCAAACCAGCTTAAATATACGCTCCAAGCTTGGTGGTGTTTCATTCTTCACCTGAGGACGGCTTGCTTGCGTTGTGGCCGAAACGTCATGAGAATTATTTTATTTTATTATGTTTTATTTTTATTATTTTATTACTTCCCTTCTACGTGACTTTACCGAAAGAACCAAGAAGAGGAGCTAACGCGTAAACGTTTCACAATTAGTTAGAATGGCGTTAACAACCGCCCGTTATTCCTCTCATTTCCCTCCACCTCCTCCCGGACGGCTCGCCCGCTCCGGACCGCGGACTCACGGCGAGGATGTCGGCACGGAGGCGCAGCTGCGAGGCGGTGGCGAGCGAGTTGGCCAGGCTGAGCATGGAAATCATCTCCTCCTCGCCGCGCGCCGACAGCAGCAGCTGCTGCTCCAGGGCGAGGGCCCGGGTGCGCGCCGCGGGGTGCCGCAGCACCGCATGCACGCTGCGCGCCCCGCCGCACTCCCGGAACACGTCTGGCGCAGGGCAGGGCGACAACATAGCGCGGCGGCGATCAGCGCGGGGTGAACGCTCTTCCCTCCTGGGGAGGGGGCGCGCGTGTAAAAGCCGTGCGCGTCTGGTACGCGGCGTGTTCTCACGTACGTAGGATGAACTGCCTTCTTCGCGCCGTACGTAGACGACCGTGCTAATCGGAGGTGCGGGGGAAGGACAACAAACTAGACACAAAATGCAGTTCTAAACAAAGGAGTTTTCAATCTCGATTTAAAAGTGAGGAGCTCCAGTGGCTTTTCTAATATCGGAAGGAAGAGCATTCCAGACGGCCGCAGAAGTGCATCATTTTGATTCGGATGATCTTGATTCCAATTGGTGGGGATAAAGAGGTCATTGTTTGGGGGCAGTTACCCGACACACAGGAAAAGAGTGGTGGTGCAGTGGTTAGCGCACTTCGCTATTGACCCGTCTGACCTGAACTAGATACCAGGCCACCAGCTAACATCAGTGATGTCTAAAGCGACCCTAAGCCTCTTCTCCCCTTTACCAACTGACACTGTCCAGCATGATGAAGTTTGGTCAAACAACCTCCATGACTGATATGGAATGGGGAACGCCTTCACATCCAACACATTGTGTCATCTATTTATTTTCGACATTATATTTTATTACAAAGTGCCAATGGTAATGTTATTGTGAGCACGGTTTGGTACTGCTGCTGCTGAAACACACTCGGTTACCTGAGTTGGTGTTGGATCCTTGTAAGATGATGGTCAGGGTTTCGAGCACCAAGCAGGCGTACTCACTCCACTCTTTGACTGATCCATCTACAATGCCTGAGGGGGGCGGCAAATGTTACCGCTCCCTCAGTTGTCTATGAACACCCACAGACTCTGAACATTAAAAAATTAATTGACGTACCGGTACGTTAACAGATAGAGAAAATAAAGTTATATTTGATTTCTAAGACACCTGATTTACTTCAAATGCACATTGTACACAAATTAAGTAATTCACATTACTTAACAAAAACAGACCAAAAAAATGTCAACATATTTCACACATTACACTTCACACAAATTGAGTATTCACATGAAGCATGCCCTAACCTCATTCACAAACTCGTCATTACAACAGAGATGCAGTGCCTGGCAAACAAGCCAAGACCGTGACGCATTCCATGGCCCAGCAAGCAGAACCAACGGAAGTGATCAAGTCAGACTGTACACCATAAGAGAAAGACAAAAACTAAAGTATCTTGGTCATAGCCAGGTATGACATGCATAACCTGGTAGAAAGCTGGTGATATATGGTCAAGAGGAAAAGTAACAAATCTAGATTAAGGTGGACACAGAGCAGTGTAATTTAACTTGGAGGACTTTATAGCGATGCAAAGCTGGAATGCGCATCCAGTGAAGCTGCTTCATCATCGATGTGACAAGTATGTACGTACGTTGGACTTCTTTGGGACCGTACATAGCCAACCGTGACAATGGAACGTGCGGGAAAGTACTCAGTAACGAGTAGAATTGAAAAAGGGAGAACAGGGAGATTCAATATTTGCACAGGAGGGCTGCACGGCTCGCAAGCTAGGCGGGGCGTGGGGGGGAAGCTCACGGTCTCCTCCGGCTGCCTCGCGCTCCTCCGCATTCTTGAGGAAGGCGGCGTAGTGGTGCAGGCCCCCGACGAGTGCCTCCAGCAGGCCCGCCTCTCGGTAGACCTCGCGGAAGATGGGCGGGGCGTGGCGCGCGAACCGCAGCAACGCGGCCGCCGCCGCCGCTCCGAGCGGTCCCGGCGAGGGTCCCCCGGCGTTGGCGCGCAGCGACGCGGCCACGCCGGCCAGCTCGGCGCGCGGCGCGTGCCGCAGCTGGAACACGACGTAGTCGAGGATCTCGAAGTAGCGCGTCTGCGCCGACGCCGGTTTCCCATGCAGGGCGGCAGAGGCCTCGTGACCTTTGCCCCCCATGGCGCCGTTGATGCCGCCATTGTTGCCGCCGCCGTTGCCGCCATTGTTGCCGCCATTGTTGCCGCCATTGTTGCCGCCCCCGGGGCCCTGCGACGCCAGTATGAAGTAGTTGGCGCGGTCGGACATGTAGACACTGGCCATGGCGTCCAGGGTGGCGCGCGCCAGCTGCTCGCCGTGAGAGCGCACGAAGGCCGACTGCAGCACGGAGAAGGCCTGCACGTTGCGCACGCTGAGGCCTGCGCAAAAAGGAGACGGCGTTTGGAGGGGTACGAAAAAATCATGAAGCAGAGCGGAATAGATCACTTAACTCTCATGCGAACGGCAATGCATTTTATAATCAAAACCATAAAGTATTACAATACAGGACTTTGTCAATCCACTGCTGTATCAATGTATTCCAATGCCATTCAGGCATGAGGGTTGTTTGACCATCCCTCATCCTTTTGGTCAGAGTGGATTGGTGAAATGGGGATCCGAGTACCGGTTCCACGTAGCCATGGCTAGGAATCTAACTCAGATGGCAAGTTTGTAGTGCAGTGAACTAACCACTGCGCCACCAGTCCACCCCGTAGCCGCACTTAATTCTGGATGAATTTTGCCCAGGTGTGAATTAAGCAGCCACAGTCCCATGCTGGACAATTAAGGTCACGGTCTCCCAAGTTTACCAATTAAAATAAATTGCCTCATTAAAATGTGAATCAGGAAATAAATTACACAATATTATTTCATTATACTGAAACCATTTTCCAGGAACAACAACACCATTAACAACCTATCAGCAACATCACATCAACAGCATTATTCTGTGACAGAACCGATTCCCGTGCCTTAATCGTCCCGGCCATCATCATTAATCCGCTATTAAGCAGGCAGACTGACGTGTGGTAATGACACAGCGGTGAATAAAGGGACAACTTTTAAATGGGTGGAACGGACAACGGGCGAAACGGCACAGAGTGACGGGAGGGGAGGGCAGGGAGGGAAATGGTGACACTGGGCGTTACCTTACCCCTCCCAGATGGCTGGGGCAGGATGAAGCCGGGCAGGACGAAGGCCCTGGCGCTGCCTCCGGTCGTCGCGCGAAGTTCGGTAGCCCCGCACGTGGTGAGCGACGCCACGAGCATGATGAGGTCGCGCAGCGTGTCGCTGCATTCCTCCCCCTCGCAGTCCTCCAGCCTGGCGGCCAAACAACCGGGCAGCCCGAAGGAAAGGCTCGCGCGCACGTAAAGACAATGATCCCGCGCGCAGCCTCTAATTGGCTGCCGGGACAAGTGCTGTTAGCGAGCAGCTGTTCAAGTCAACCGACACAAAAACGGCCGCGAACGCTCGCGAAAAGAACGTAAAAGACACGAATGTGCCCTACGTAGACTGCATAGACTCAAAGTGAAAGCGCTGTTAGTGAACATGAGGGGGTGGTGTGGCCAACGCTACGTTACATCGTCCGTGCGAACCGGTGATTTTGCTTCCTCGATGGAAGCATAAACCGGGGGGGGGGGGGTGGGGGGGGGCACCTGAGGAGGAAGTCGGTGAGGCCCTGGTATCCGTGGCAGTCGGCAAAGTCGTCCATGAGGATGGGCGAGGCCTCGCTGGAGTCGCGCAGGAAGCACACGAGCCACACAAGCATCTCGCCCGCCTCGGCCGCCGACAGGTCGGGCGTCTTGAGCGCCGTGTGCACGCAGCGTGCCACGCACTGCTTCTCTGCTCGCCGCGCGCGACGCGCAAAGCACACAGAAGGCACGCGGCCACACGTCACTGTGTACGTACGTTGAACGTATTTCGCGCCGTACGTAGCCGACCGTGCTCATCGGAGGCGCGTTGTGCATCGGCCGCTTGGTTGGCGCTCCTCGCGGCTCGATGAGCACGCTCGTCGCAAGACTTTGAATAACATTTTTATTTGAGTGATGTCGCTGTGACGTCAAACGGGTTTCTGCAATGGAGCCCACGGGTGTAACTTTAGTCTTATTATTAACAGAGCTTCAATCTATTGTCGTTTAGCTTGGGACACATGCCAGATAAATATATATACAAAAATTATTTAGTTTTTATTCAGATGTTCTTTCTTTTATATCAAAGGAAGAACATTAATATCAAAGAAAGAACTTCTCACAATTTCCGGAAGACAGGACATATATATAGCTTGGTGGTGTTTCATTCTTCACCTGAGGACGGCTGCTTGCGATGTGACCGAAACGTCGTGAGAATTATTTTATTATGTTTTATTTTTATTATTTTATTACTTCCCTTCTACGTGACTTTACCGAAAGAACCAAGAAGAGGACATATATATGTCAATGCATTGTCTTGAGTGGTGTATTACTACCCAACTGAAAAAAAAATGACAATAATAATCCTAGGAAGACTTAAACATTTCCCAGGGAAATGACCTCAACCTCAAAAACAGGACAATCTTGGCAAAAACCAGGACAAGTGCTGCAAGGATGCAAGACCGGGGAAGGGCCCAGCCAGAGGCACTCACCATGGAGATATCGGATTACGTTGTTGGTGAGGCCGTGGCGCGACACGGCACGCAGGACGTCACCGGCACTCCTCCGCCACGCCAGGTTATGTGGGGGGCACCAGGACGTGGCGGCACCGAACAGCAGCGCCAGATCGTCCTTCTGCACCAGCTCCTCCGCTGGGGACGGGTAGCGGCACAGCCGGACCAGGATCTGTCGCGCACGGCACCCGCCACCGTCAGCGCGATCGGGGGCAGGCAGCTCTCGCACACTCGCGCGTCATTTTATCTTAACATTTGAGAGCAGATCGAGACGATATGTAACATTTTACAAAACACCTTTGAGTAAGTATCATGAAACAAAATCAGGGGATAATATGGTGTGTAAACGTTTCAGTGTTAAAACGACACAATCCTAAAAAAAAAAATTGTAAAGAAAGACAAAAATTTACTCTTGAAATATCGTATACTTTTAGAGGAGGTGATCACAATATTTGTTTTATTTTGGTTTGAATGAGATTTTTAATGTTTCGTATTATGTTTGAAATGTGAGATGCAAGTAAAGTGAAATTAAGGGTTAACCTGGAAAAAAACCTGATCACCCACAAAATCTTATTGTCCAGAAAATAAGCTTTCTTTCAGAGTAGGCCAAATAAGTGAATAAAAAAAATTACGTACATTGTCCATCTCAATTGTTATCTGCAGCAATGCTGTCATTGAATTGCCACATCAAAGCATCAACGTGGCTATGGTATTTTTGAAAGTGACAATGATTGCGATGAGTGAAAACCATAGGGGGAAAATAACAATTCTCACACAAAACTCCCAGTTTCAGACGCAGTCTTTAATTTCCGTACCCTGACAATATTCCTATTGCTTTTTCATTGACACTTACACCCAGACATCGCACCGCACTGGAACCACTTAAGCAAGGCACCTGCGGGTTTCTTTAACACCGCTCTCACCAGTAACTCCGTGCAAGCCATCCCCGTACTGCCAGGATCCTGCGGGTGGCTTTAACACCGCTCTCACCAGGAACTCCGTGCAAGCACTCCCTGCGCTGCCAGGCACCTACGGGTTTCTTTAACACCGCTCTCACCAGGAACTCCGTGCAAGCACTCCCCGTGCTACCAGGGTCCTACGGGTGGCTTTAACACCGCTCTCACCAGGAACTCCGTGCAAGCCCTCCCCGTGCTACCAGGGTCCTACGGGTGGCTTTAACACCGCTCTCACCAGGAACTCCGTGCAAGCACTCCCCGTACTGCCAGGGTCCTACGGGTGGCTTTAACACCGCTTTCACCAGGAACTTCGAGCAAGCCTTCCCCACGCCGTCAAGCACCTGCACAAAAGCGTCTGGAGGTTGACCCGCTTCTCCAGGGCGACAGGGTCGGGCCGCGGGTCGCCCTCCCAGCGGCTTGCGGGCGGGAGGTCGAAGAAGAGGTACAGACACTTGACGAGGGTGGAAGGCAGCGACATCGTTGTCATGCAGTCCACCGTTTTCTGCGAAAGCCGCATTCGTTCGACGATCAGTTACGTGACATCCATGGGCCCGATTCTCATACTGCTTGAGAAGGCCTATTTTTTTGTGCAACGTTGTGCTTTTATACATTTTGTTGTTGGTTATTTTTTAGACTTGACAAGTCTGACAAAAAGGCCCTTTCTCCATAAAATGGGCATCCAGCCTCTTGCGCGAGAAATAAAATGGTGCAGCTTTTCACATTTTATTTTCCATTACAGTTGGGTTGCATCCATTAGCCTGCCTGACCCTCCTCCATCGTAGCAACTGTGCCAGTTTATATGAGCAACAGAGTGAATGCAACCATCCACCCACGCTCTGTTTAATAATACAATAGTGCCACGGTGCTTTGCCAAATAGAGCCTTAATTTTATGCAAAACGTCACAGAAATGCACGTGCAGTATGTTTCCAGTACATGTATCATAAATACACGGGCGCAAATGCAACTGCAGCAGCAGCAGAAACTGCAGCAGCAGCAGCAACTGCTGCAGCAGCAGTAACTGCAGCTCCCTTTGATGCTGTTAATCCTGCATAATGCACATGCATATGCAGTACTAATTACATTCCTGCATTTCCCATAAATATGCTAAATTCCTGTTGATATGCAAATTCCTTTGTCAATGCGCCCAGCTTATATATATGCTCTAAGCCCGTGTGCTGTTTCATTCAGACTCTGTCGCCTCGACGGACCTGGTTTTCACCTGAGGACGGCTGCTTGCGTTGTGGCCGAAACGTCGTGAGAATTGTTTTATTATGTTTTATTTTTATTATTTTATTACTTCCCTTCTACGTGACTTTACCGAAAGAACCAAGAAGGCAAATGAGGAGTTTAAATTTATATATATTTTTCCGTGCAGGAAACTCGTCTGCTTTAGAGAAAAAAATCTAGTGTTGATCTTAGCAGCCACAAGGTGTGTAATTCTTCACAAGGTGTGTAATGCTTCACATCAACGGCAAAGGGGGGTACATCACTACACACCTGCCAACCATGATGAGTTCAAAGCCTTCACTAGATATGATTTCCCAACACCCAATAATTTTGCCAACACCGAAACATTTTTGATACTTTTAAACCGACACATTAAAAAAAATCGCATCTGAGCATCAACTAAAACAAGTTAGGCTGCTGTGAGGTGTCGGCACAAGGAGAATGTGTGAGCTCATTCTACCTGCCCTGTTCCAGACAAGAGGTTGATGGTTGTGAGAAGCCTCCAGCCTGGGTTGTCATCCTCTCCAATCGTATCTTCCAGGAACTCCACAATGGCACGACTAGCTGCCTCTGCAAGGTCAAGCGCGGGTGAAACCATCAGCTTTGAGATGGGGGGGGGAGCTCAAGGGGAGGTCTGCAGTATCGAGAACCTTTGAAAGACAAACGCACCCCACGGCAAGATGTGGTCCAGCCTACCACAAACTGTTACTATGTGGACATCCTTTCAAGGGCTGCTGCTGCTGCTGTAGGTTATAGATGCGTGCGGTCAATAATTTAAAAAGTCAATTAAACACGTAGGCTTTAGCGACCAATATTATCCACAATAGAAGTTTTTGGGTTAGATCGTATAAATATAAATGTGTCGTTAAACCCGCCATTGCCCGACGCAGTCAATTAGTAAGGTTTGACAGGTAAATAATGTCAATTCTTTACTAGTACAGCACACCGGTGTTTTTTTCACGTGACAACCCTTACTAGTTGGCTGTGTCAGGTGGTGACGGGTTTAACGACGCATTTATATTTACACGCTCTAACCCAAAAACCTCTATTATGGATAATGAAAAAGTCACTTTTTTAACACAAAATCACTATATGAATTTTTTTTTTCTTCCTATGGACAAGTTCAACTGGCTATAATTGAAGGCCACCTTCCAAAAGGCACAACCCCGTGAGTCTAAGTTATTGTTTTGAAGAGGCAAGAAAGTAAAAAAAATTAAAACAGTCTCAAGTACACGCTTGAGTATGAGCAATGCACTTTCGAAACTGCTGCGACATCGTTGTTGATTCCTTGAAATGTCATTCCCATACTGGGTGTAATCACAAACCCGAAGCACACTTTGGACAGTCGGGGTATGCGCTCCGCTCTGCGACATGTTTTGTGATTCAGCTGGCTGGCAGCCACAAAGGTGGCACAAACCCAAGCAGGGCATCTAAGTGATCCTCTGGTATGTGCCATGTACTCGCCCCAAGGGCAAAGAAAAGGCCAAACGTATCGGGACAAGTTGCGTGCAACTTTTTTTCGTGAAGAGCACGTGGCATGAACATTTCTTTCGGTCCACATTCACGGACCTGTATATGTGCGTGGAATTTTACTTTGAGCACTGCAGAAAGTAGAAGCTGCTACGATCGCCACAGAGATTTACACAATCCGTCTTGTTTTAAATTCCCCAATTCGGCCTGATTCTGCAAAAGAGTTACCATGGCAATGCGCTTATACATCTTAATGAGGGTCTGTGTAGTGGTCAAGTGAGATTAGCATTTCAAAGGGGCAACAAAATCCATCAGCAATATCTGTCCATGAAAATCTCAAGACTTTCTAAATAATACATTTGTGCATTTCTCCGCAGCATATTTCCGAAAGCCATGAAAAATCTTGAAAAGATCCTGTCACCATAGATAACTTAAATTATTTAACATGTAACCAAACTGCAAGTTACTGGTTTGGGAGGTTTATAACTCAACTAAGTAAATAAACCCACTGCGTGAGAATAGATACATATAGAGTCCTCTGATTGAGAGTCATCTGATATAGATAGCGTCGTCTGATTTAGAGTCCGATGACACTCAACTCTGAGAGACAATGACGGGTAAATTGTTGTACAGTACTGACCAATGTGCTCTTTACTTGCACAGTAACACAAGATATGCGCACATTTAATCACATACGCCAGGAACAGTGAATTTCCCTTGGAGCAAAAAACAAAAGACAGCAGCATACTCTTAGTTTTTTTTGGTAAAGTGACGTAGGTAAAAAAATAATAATAATAAAATAATAATACATGAAAATAACTCAATTAAATTTTATAATAAATGAAAATAACTAAATTTAATTACATTTAGTTGTTTAATAAAAATAATAATAAATGAAAATAACTAAATTTAATTTAATTAGTTTCATTTATTATTATTTTATTATTATTTTTTACTTACGTGACTTTACCGAAAAAACCTAAGAGTATAAATCCTTGCAGTCTTAGGTTTTTTCGGTAAAGTCACGTAGGTAAAAATAATAATAATAAAATAAAAATAAATGAAAATAACTAAATAAAATTTAATAATAAATGAAAATAACTAAATTACATTTAATTTAGTTATTTAATAAAATAATAATAAATGAAAATAACTACATTAAATTAAGTTAAATTTCGATTTAAAGCTTTCGTGACTTCAGGGATTCATCGTCTTGGTTCTTTCGGTAAAGTCAGACGCTGTCTTCCCGACAGACCTGTTCTTCACCTGAGGATGGCTGCTTGCGTTGTGGCCGAAACGTCGTGAGAATAATTTTATAATGTTTCATTTTTTAATTTTATTATTTCTCTTCTACGTGACTTTACCGAAAGAACCAAGAAGATACATTAAGTTATTTTCATTTATTATTATTATTATTTTCATACGTGACTTTACCGAAAAAACCTAAGAGTAGGAATCCTTGCAGTCACGAAAGCTTCAAATCTAAAAGACAACAGCACCTCGAGAAATAAGCTGTGGCGAACTCAAGGATGTTAACGAGTACCACCAATGCACACGGATTTATGATGAGGACTTAATTAAACCTTGGAGCAGCTGTTCGAAAGCTCTGGCAGCTGTGGCCAAAACAACACGCAAAAGCTATTTCTCCAGATACGCGTCTCTTAGCATGACATTTAAAAAAAAACAGAGAAAAATTTAACTCATTCGTCACGACCAGCGTGCACACACCACGCACTGGGACAGCACATGAGGTGTGTGCGTGCGCATTATGATAATCCTTCCCAAAATTAAGGTGACGTTAGAGTATATTTTTGTTCTTGAAATATTTTAAAGCAGACTGACAAAAAAATATATTAAAAAATTGCCTTCGCATTGCTTAAAAAGAAGTTAATCCTGTATCAATATCATCCTTTGAAAAAATTTGTAATATTTAGATTTCAGTAATTATGCATGAAGATAGACAAACTTCAAATCTATAGCAATCCCAAAGAATGATTTCAATGTCTTAGTGAAGTATTGTCAAACAACCCCTATGACCCGCCAGCGTGCCAAGATACTCATCCAGCAGTGACGTGACAAAGGTATGACGCCAAGAGGCTCCGAGACACCAGGAAAATGTAACCAAACAGCTGATCTAGCTGATGCAACTTCCCATACATTTGTAGTGACATAGAATTAGCTATGTAGTAGCATAGCGCTGGCTGCTGGCGGGGTAGGGGATCTTCAGCTTATAGCAGGCCAGGTGATACACCAAGAGGGGGATCTAGGGGAAAGGTCACGCAAGGGACACACGGGGAACCCGCCGGTAGGTTCTAGAAAGGGGGTGTGGCTGGGGGCGGGGCTGGGGGCGGAGCCAGGCCACGCTGGCAGCATAAGAGAGACCCAGAGAGGGGACCTCGGGGCTGTCGCGTGGAGTGAGATCCCCATCATGCTGCTGGAGGAGTCTTCACCTTCGTCTACGTCTTCACCATCTCGGCGTCGCCAGTCAGGCAGTCTAGCCACTGTCCTGACCGGGAGCCGTAGTCGACTGTAGACGGATTATTTGGAAGTGTTAACCCGTCGCTGCGTGTTAATAAACAGTGCCTCCAGCTCTTAGTGTCTCCGATTCAGGCACTACACATTGATAGAAAACACATTTGCCCCAATTTCATTATATAAACCTGGTTGCTAGACTGACTAGCCTGCTTAAATCTTGACTTAAAGCTTTCCTGACTGCAGGAATTAATATTCTTTGGGTCTTTCGGTAAAGTCACGTAGGTAGGTTGATAGAAAATAACAAAAAACTATGATGTTGCGATCACAACACAAGCGATCATCATCAGGAAGAGGGGGGGGGAAACTAAACGTGGTAGTTTTTTGTTATTTTCTTTCAACCTATATACGTGACTTTACCGAAAGACCCAAAGAATATACACACACCCTATTTTGATATTTAAAGGCATTTGTGTAGCATCCCCCTGATGCTGTGCAGTGTATCTTACACAATAATCTGTTAACTCCCATCTCTTGGTGTATCACCAACCAATCTGGTTGGTGCTAGTAACAGAGCTTTTGTTAAATTATCTCCATTAGTGTTAAAAAAACCACTGTCCATTACAACGTTGGTCATGCTCTTCATCGTCTGGTTTCGAGACAGGCCTGAAAACATGGCTCATTTTGTATGGAATAATCAAAATAAAGGATGGCTTACGAGAAGAGCATGTGGTGTGGTGGGCGATTGAAGGTGGTACCATTAATAGCTAGTCGAGCATGGTGCGAAAATGGGTGAAAGATACTCATTGAAAAAGCCTTAAAATGTTTTCAAGAGGTCGTGGGTTCAATCCTGATCTTCACGCCCCGCTGTATATTTGGAGTTTGCGTGTTTCTCTCTCCGTGGTGGTCACGTTGATTTTTCTCCAGGTCCTCCGGTTTTTCCCTCCACATTTAGAATCAACACGCATTTAGAGTATTTGGCTGCTATAAATGTCCACTTGATGATAAGCCACTTCGTTGAGCTATCATTTGTGGCCAGGTCGCTTCTGAAAAAGAGCTGTATAGGTCAGTGGGCCTTACCTGGGAAAATACAAAAATATCTCAGTTCGGATAGTTAGCTTCTTGGAATTATAATTATCACCCGAGGGACAAAATATTTGATACCTGTGGACTTGTTGGCCGCGCGACGCCTGATTTCGCTCACAGCGAGCCTGGACACCTGGGAGGTGAACTGCAGGAGGCTGGGGAAGCGCTCGCACACCTGGTGGGGCGGCACCCCTTCAAACACCTGCGAGGAAAAATCAGAAACGCTCACAGCCTGTCGCCTCGCTACTTACTCCGGCCCACCTCATTGGGATTTCTATGGGACCTTTTTTGTCAGTATCAAAGGTCCTATAGAGATACAGGGTGTTTTAAAACGATGGACCCGATTTTAAATCGCTATATCTCTGCAACCACGAACCGCCCTTGAATGAAACTCTTACCACTTGAAAGGGCGGGGCATAGAGTTACAAATGATTGCCGTTCGATGCCTCTCCCAGCACACAAACAGCCCCTAGCCTCAGTAATTCGCAAGACACACTGCCTCAGCGTTGGATTGGTAGCACGGGACCCCAAGACTCGGCGCTACACTCTTAGCCCCCAAGATCCCCAGACATCACACCCTGCGACTTTTTCTTGTGGGGATACGTCAAAGACCGTATTTTTGTGCCACCATTAGCGAATAATCTGGATGACCTCAAAATCAGAATCGCGGCAGCGGTGACTTCAGTGGAAGAAGACACTTTGAGAGGCGTTTGGGACGAATTCAACTATCGTCTCGATGTTGTCCGTACAGCAGGTGGAGGGCACATTGAGCATTTATAAAATGGTTAGTAAAGCTTGATAACTCATTAAACCGTTTGTAACTTTTCGTGTAATTTTAACATGTTGCCATCGTGAAATATACTGCTTTGAAATTGGGTCCATCTTTTTTAAACACCCTGTACAACTTCTCAACCTGAGCTATTAATGCTTCGATGTTTGCGTTGCCTTTGTAACTGTTTGCCTTTTGGTTTGTTCTCTGGTTTAACGCCGGTGGTTAAAGAAGGCCATGAAGAAGGCTGTCTCTACTTCTTGGTTTTTTCGGTAATGTCACGTAGGTGAAAACTAAATAAAAATGAAAACAACTCAATTAAATCACGACGTTTTGGAAGCAACACAAGCCTTCATCATCAGGTGTGACTGCTCCAGCAAAATTACTGTAGCGTATACAATTTTGTACGCTTTTATACGTATTTTATACGCTACAGTAATTTTGCTGGAGCAGTCACACCTGATAACGGAGGCTTGTGTTGCTTCCGAAACGTCGTGATTTAATTTCGTTATTTTCATTTTTATTTTGTTTTCACCTACGTGGACTTTACCGAAAAAACCCAAAGAGTATGGATCCTTGCAGTCACCAAAACTTCAAATCAAGGCTGTCTCTGGTGCAGGCCAATCAGTTTCAAAGACAACGTGTGTATTATCAGAGAATGTTTGTTTACATGTTTTGCCACAAGTATATGTGATAGGCTATCTATTTTGTGTTTGGACATCTTAACACCTATATTCTTGGTTCTTTCGGTAAAGTCACGTAGAAGGGAAATAATAAAATAATAAAATAAAACCACAGCAAGAACATTTACTTGCTGTGGTTTTCACACCTGATGATGATTGCTTGTGCTACAATCGAAACGTCGTGAGAATTTTATTGTTTTATTGTATTATTTCCCTTCTACGTGACTTTACCGAAAGAAGCAAGAATATGAATCCCTGCAGTCACGAAAGCTTTAAATCGAAATCTTAACACCTGTTTTATTGTCATAAAGGTTAAAGCCTATTCTTAATTTTTTTCTTTCCTGATAGCATTTCATCATATAATGCTGCGGATGTATTCAACTCGTAAGGATGAGACCACGCTTCAACTTATCGATTAATATCGGTTCTTAGAGCTCACAAATCACTTGCGTGAGAATAGATAAGTTTTGATTCGTATACGTTGTAAGTGATGGGTTAAAGTCTCCCCTGCAGCCATGGGAGGCATGACCAAGCATGGCAATGTTAAAGAAGATTAAACAAATTATGCAATCAAACCTTTGAATCGCAATGATTCTTGAAATCGCTGGAAGAGGGGGTGAATGGTTCCACACCCCCACATTTTGTGTATGAGGTGTTCTTGAGAAGCGTAACATCAGATCACTGTGACCTTCTTTAGCATTCCATAATCAACAAAATACCATCCGTCAGTAGATGCATTCATTACAAATTCGAACCTAATAAAATATCCAATGTGTTAAGAAAAATGAACATTCAAAACGAATTCTTTTTTTTTCTTTCACTTGTAACACTGCACTAAACACAATCTATATATCACACACCACAACAAGTACAGTACTTCGGACAGGCACTCTAAAGTTACAGCAGAAACGAGGGCCGTAATTACTTATTTATGTGCATTTTCCTGCCAGCTCCCCCCTTGGCAACCTCCGCATAAGTCCACTCTGTCACCAGGCCGCGGGCCACAGGAAAATCCGAGGCCCATCGCTTCGCCCGAGGAAAAGCGGCGCGGCGGAGGCAGAGCTGACCTTGTTGAAGAGTGGCAAGGCCTTGTACAGCTTCTCCTCCTGATCCCTCGGCGAGGAGGCGGTGGGTGGCCGTCCCGCCTGGCACAGCTCTGCAGCCAGCCTGCGCAGCTCACGAAGCCCCGGGCAGGAGGGCGAGCTCTCGGGCGAGGCCTGCTCCGAGTGGGGCTGCGCCGGTGGCGTGGCGCCCGCCGCCGAGCCGTTAGCTGGCGCCTGCTGGCCTTCCTCCGAGCGCTGCCTCCCTCCGCTCATGATGCGCCGGAACACAAAGCTCATCGCCCCACGGCGTCCTGACCCGGTGGCGGAGGGGGGGGAGAAAGAAGGAGGGGCAAAAACCAAACGAGACAAAATGAATCGACGGCTTCCAAGGCGGGCAGGTGCAATCCTCCAGGGGTGTAAAATTGGACTGGCACCACTTCACTGAAGCCACCACTGGAGCAGATATGGCCAACTGCACGTGTGAGCCGTGGGTCAAAGAAGGTCGGGCTGAGAAACCCGATGGGCTGCGAAACGACAGCACGTAAGGCTAAGCGTGTAAAATGGGACCTCGTTCAATATCGTCAATGAATGCAAAAGCCATCTCAGTCTTAACCTATTTTGAGGACATTTTCAGAAATTGTTTGGGGCAGATGGCAGGGGGTGGGGGGTTATAGTAGACATTGACTCATTTAACAATGAACTAAATAGCATCAATATAAAGCAACGAACTAATTATACACTTAGTCATCACACTTGTCTTCATCCTCATGACTACTTGCAGCTGTTATCGACTTGTCTACCACCAATGTTTTCCTTGGCAATACGAATCTCACACCTTTTTAGACCTGTTGAGATTTGCTGATTTTCTCTCCTTGAGGAAAGCTGAAAGTGAGATTTCTCTCCCTTTTGAAGGGCATTCGTGCCAACAAAAAATACAAAGTACCCACACACACACATACTCAAACAACTTTAGCAAGCTTGTTTTTGCCTCGTAATACTGCAACTCGTATGCTATTTCACGATTACTTCTTAAATAATTAACTTAGAAATGCTCAAGTAATCTGCGAATATGAGATGAGATTGGCAACAGTTATTGCAGTCTTCATTGGTTTATTTGTTTTTACGTTTTCTACACGACTGCACAACTATTGCCCAAGGGCTTGGATAGAGAGCAGATAAGTTTGACCTTTAGAGAACACGGGAAGGGCTCATGCGTCGGTGTTCATTGTGCAGCAAGACATCCTATCGAGTGAAAGTTTGGTTGTGTGGAGTAAATGGGGACCATTATTTAGCTCTGCTTACAGACATTCAAGATCTCGATGCGCGCGTTCCATAAACGCAGAACAATGCGTTCCTCTTGTGCCCCCAGGGAAACGAAACACTGTAGCAAACCAAAGTTCTATCTCCCGCGAGGCACCCCGTTGCAACGTTGCATCTTGTCAAAACTTATCACGATGCGATAAGCCGTTTGAGCATCTGTTGATCGCAACGTGACCAGGAAAAGCAACGGAAGGCTCATTACATTTTTTACCGCAGAATGTAAAGTGGGCGAAACGTGTTGTTTTTGCATGTGGGATACAGTGCGTGTTGTTTAGCAATACCGACCACAACAAGATCAGCTGTCTTCTCCTTGAACTTTCGCAATATTATCCACGAGACAACATAAGTGACTACGTGCCATCAAACTCTCCCTCGATCATTTCCCCACTTTGCCCATGTACATTTTAATAACGTAAAATAATTGTCATTTACTGCCCCTATGCCAATCTACTGCTAGATGAAGGCCCCCGCAGGCATTAATGTTCTGAGGGGTTGTTTGACCATACATCATTAAGGGGTCGTCCATAAATGACGTCACGCGATTTTGGCCGATTTTTTACCCCTCGTCACACGGCGTCACAAAAAGTCAGACCCCCCCTCAAATATGACGTCACAAAGCTCTGCCCCCCCCCCCCCCCAAAAGTCATATTTCCATTTTGAAAATAAAAGATGCTTCAAATCGCTTTAAACTATTGTCATTGTAGCGCGTATTTGATGTGGCGCTGCACTCTGATGTTGTAGGAGAAAACACGTATTAAAAAGGAGGCGTTGGAAAGCTGAAATTTAGCATAACATTCACTTGAAAATATTCAACGTCTAACTAAAACTGCAGATGTTCAGAATATGATATTGAAATTCTCTTATAATTATAAAATATTAAACCTAATTAAAACTATAAAAAAAATACTTGAAACTTTGTAGTAGAACGAAGCAAAATGGAGAGTACAATTTATAACAACCACATATTCATTCCACGTAATGAAAAGCCCTAAGAAAATAATTAAAATCAAAATATTTAATAACAATCATTCCCATGGAGAAGCAAAATGCTTCTTCATGGAATAAATAAAAGGTGACCTTAGTAAATTTAAATAATAAAATAGTTAATAATGAAAATTAATCAAAATTAGTGTTGTTATAACAATTCCATTGTTTATATTTATTTAAATTTGCGCATTTTGATGTGACGTCACATTTCTCAACCCCCCCCCCCCTCGTCACACATCGTCACAAATGTCTGACCCCCCCCCCTCCCTCCCTAGGTGTGTGACGTCATTTATGGACGGCCCCTAACGTGCCGATAAGTGCAGGTTGGTGAAGTGGGAGTGGAGGGGCAGTGGGGGAGGGGGTAGAAGGGCCCAGGACAAGTTCAAATCTCACTTGCCACAGACGTGAGCTGTGACCGGGACTTGATGACAAACTTATGGGGGTTCAGAGTTTAATGCTCAAAGGGGCCGTTCATAAATGACGTCACGCACCTCGGGGGGGGGGGGGGGGTCAGACATTTGTGACGAGGGGGAGGTTTGAAAAATATGACGTCACATCAAAATGCGCAAATTTAAATATATACAGACAACACGTTCTACTTAATTAAATAGACTTTTAATAAATGTTTACTCCTACAACATCAGAGTGCAGGGCCACATTAAATACGCACTACGATGACAATAGTTTAAAGCGATTTGAAGCATGTTTTATTTTTGTGGGGGGGGGGGGGGGCAGATCTTTGTGACGTCACACTTGAGGGGTGTGTTTGACTTTTTGTGACGCCGAGTGACATGGGGGGGGGGGGGGTCAAAAATCGTCCAAAATCGCGTGACGTCATTTATGGACGGCCCCTAACCACTGAACGACTGCTTCCACCGCCTTTACTAAATATGAACATTTCGATTTAAAGCTTTCGTGACTGCAGGGATTCATCTTCTTGGTTCTTTCGGTAAAGTCACGTAGAAGGGAAATAATAAAAAGAGAACATAATAAAAAATGTTTTATTTTATTATTATTTCCCTTCTACGTGACTTTACCGAAAGAACCAAGAAGATAAATATGAACAGTAAATAGTTAAATCGGTCCTCATTTGGCACAACAGGTTCACGTGACAAGGATCACAAAACGTGGCAGCTGAAACCAGTGGGAGACCTGAACGATATAATCCCAAAAAACGGCGCGAGCGAGCATACATACATGGGATCGTCACTTTAAACGAGGATTCCGAACCCCACCAAATAGTGTAAGCAAATGGAACGTGTTTGCCTTCGTGCTTAACCAAATGCAGTATCGATGTCACGTGGTACGCTCTCTGCCACGGATCATGGCGCTCGCTCGCTCGCTCGCTTCATGGTTGGGTTCCTCTTTGAGGAACGTGGTTAGCGACAGCCAAACGCCGTTTTCTTTCGCTCAGTGAGGCAAGATCGAGGAGTACTGTACAACTCACGTGTGGAAGGTCCTAACGAGATACGATGGAAGCCAAGTCTTTACCTAGTGTGCTGTTGCACAATGTGATTCACTTGCCGTTAGGTATACAATGGCTTACCCTCCATAGCCATGTCATTGCCATGAGTCTATGTTGCAGTTCGATACAAAAATGTATTATTTTAGTCTTCCTTGTTTACTCTCTCCTTTGTACGATTCGTCACGTGTTGTCCGATTTGTACTGGTCTGCTAATTCCATTATCCCAAATATCTCATTTTTATATTATTTGCAATCACGATAGAGAATCAATTCTAAAAAGCACTAGTCAAAGCATGTGTCCTGAACGTAAAAATGGGTTTTAATGGCTGAATTTACGGCATCGTTCCTTTCCCACTAACCATGGTGTCATGAGACCCACATGAAACTCTGAGCGTGGTGCCTGGGCATGGGGCATTGCAGATTTCAAGCCACGCGTACACCTTTAAAAAAAGTTAAAATAAGCTGCCATGTGCAAAGATGTGCAATGTAAATATTCACATCTACTGCGAATTCAAATGACTGTATACCAGTAGCCCAAATAACATCAGGTGGTACGAAACTGCCAGGGTTTACTCATAATTACATGCAAACTCAGTGCCAGAAGTATACAATTACAACAGTGATGCAGTGCATTAAGTCAATGCATTAAATATACATAGGCCATAAAATAAGCAGCAACATTAGGCCCAGTAGTGAAATTTTAAACAGCCAACTTGACTTCCAAAGAGTTACTTCCCAAATGCTCTTACAGAATCGTGGTATGTTTATTTCATAAACTAGAATGCACAACACTGTTTTTAATTTAATTGTCAACAAAATGGTAAAAACAACGTAGGAGGAAAATGATGCATCAATTAATTAGTCAATATTAAGTTGATGATACACGCATCGAATTGTGTTTTCTTTGTATATCTTGAATGTAACAGATTTACATCAGTTCTGCAGCCACTAGAGGCATTACCATTCACCACAATAACAATAATTGTTTAAACATATATCTAAAAGTATGACACTGAATCATGACACCCTCACTCCGCCAGAAAAGAAGAATTGAATGTGTGCGTGTGCAAGCCAGCATGATGAATGTATAAACTATAAACAAACCTTCACAAACTGAGATTCTAGAAAAAAAGCACTTTTTATTGGATGATACAGAGACGCTCTTGCAATTTATGGTGAACAAGGGTGGAGACATTGAATTGTCATCAGTACTCTTCATTCACTCTGCAAAGCCTCATGTTCCTGCATTGGGATGTCTGGCCAATTCCATTAATCAATGTTTGGCTGCGTGTGGGAGGATAGTAGTGGAGTTCCCGTTACTTGGAGAGAAAACAACCCCAAAGCGTGCAAGGGGTGACAATCAGTGTCGTCATCTCCTGTCCACCTTGCAGCCCAAAGTTTACAATTCCTAGGCAAGCCCTTGTGGTTACTTATTACAGGAGGGCGTGGGTTCGATCCCAACCCTGACGCCTGCTGTATATTTCGAGTTTCCGTGTTCTCTCTTTCTCCCCGTGGTTGCGTGGATTTTTCTCGGGGTCC